ACTTTAAGGCCCGATTCGACCAAACTTATATCCGAGAATAACTCCTGGTACAACTGGCACATTGACAGTTTCAGTATGGGAAATATGGCAAAATGTCGAATAACTGACGATTTATTCTGAGATTAATATTTACTCTTGTTTAGTCGAATCTACCCTGACACCGACCAACAACTATCTTCATTGATGATTAACTTATCCCTCGTTGTAAAATTAAGTTTTATCATAATTGACAGTTTTTGTTGCGAACTTTAGTAAAAGTTCCAGTTCTTCTTCTTCTTCTTTTCGTGTCGACAACAAATCTACACAGTGTTAGCCAACTTTACATCCAAGGCCATATTACGAAAATACAAAAATATTAAAAAAATATGTTTAGTTTAAAAACATTATTTTTAATATTACAATGTTTTTAATATACACACAAACGGTACTTCTACCCTATTTTTATATCCTGTGTGCTTACCATGAGCTTACGTGTCTCGATAGCGACTGCGTAAAAAAATGACATTAAATGTATGACAGATTGTACAGCGCCCCTAGCGGCTAAGTACTTTCAAGAACTAAAATCTTCATAATATATTCGCTAGCGAGCACACCTAGCGTAAACTCATGGTAAGCACACTGTAATCAAATTGAGACCAGCATTGCTTTTAACCATTTTAGTTATATGCCGTATCTGAATAAAAAACAAACAAACAAAATGCGTATTAAATTGGATTGGGAACGTCAAACAGATGAAATACGATCTACATTTTTATTGCAAAATTGGCAATGAATACGAGTATACCAATATCGCAAACTTAATTGAAAGCTTTGAAATATGAAACTTTTATTTATTTTATCACAATGATCAATGTTATTTGGTCATATTACAAAGTCTGTCAAATAGTGGTAGAGAGAGAATGAGAAATAGGACAGATGTAGCAATATTTTTTAAAATATCTATTCTTCTATACTAATATTATAAATGCGAAAGTTACTCTGTCTGTCTTGCTTTCACGCCTAAACCACTAAACCGATTTTGATGAAATTTGGCATAGAGATAGTTTGAGTCTCGGGAAAGGACATAGGATAGTTTTTATCCCGGTTTTTGAAACAGGGACGCGCGCAATTAAGTTTTTCTGTGACAGAAAAAAATCCACGCGGGCGAAGCTGCGAGCGGAAAGCTAGTCTATTATTTTTCGCTAAAACGTGTTTATGTTTCACACTTTCTAATTTTCATGACAAGTTAATACTTTTCTATACGGGACTATTCCCACCTCTCGTTCCCACCGCTGCAACTCCTGTGTAGCCAGGATCTACAGCTTGACAATATTAATTCGTCAATGGACATGGCGCACAATTTTTGTTGAAGATGCCAAAAAAAACTACAAAAAATTAGAATGAATACTGTATTTTTACTTTTTTGATATCTTTAAAAATGACTGAAATATTCAAGCTCAAAGTGCGCTTNCCTCCTCTCTACAAGTAGAGTTCAATAATTTTCCCCTGAGCTCAAGTATCTGTTTCTCCAATTTATCTATTTCCTGATGAGCGTTCATAAGTGACTGGTTAAGGTCTGATATCAGTTTTTGTAGGCTCAATAATTCAGCTGTTTTTGTAGTGTTATCAGTTGAAATGCTTCTAGGTGGTGTAATGTTATGGGAAAATTGCTTCGAATATCTTTTTTTTTCAGAACAGGAAGATTTTTTCTGTGGAGATGTACAGATGTTTTTCAGAAGTTGTATTTCTTTGTTTAATTTGTCTATACATTTTTTTAAATCTTTATTTTCTAAAATAGTAGTCTCTAATTCTGTCTCTGTTGAAATTAAAGTCGTTTTTAGCTGGTTTATTTCTTCTCGGTACTCATGTTCTGTTGCTGAATCATTTAGTAGTGTATGTTCTGCACTCTTTGACAGCCTTTTACTTGATATGTATGAGTCCTCCGACATGTCTGTATTATTCAAGAGACTATGTGATTCCTCTTGACAAAGTCCGGTTTCAGTTGTGGAATTTGTGTAAATCGGAGAATCATTTGGAGTTGGTGAAGGTTCTGTATTTTCAGGTAAAGTATTTTTTATTTTATTATTGCTTTTTGCAATATTTTTCCTCCTAGTTGTGACATTATTATCACATTTGCTATTTTTAGCCTTTGATTTCATACAAGATGGGCAGGCCCAATTCTGTTTCTTGGTTTTATCCATAATACGATATAATTTTTCTGAAACACCTACACATCCAAACTCAAAATGTTTCATACATTGTGTGCATTTTATGGTGTCTTTTATATCAGTCTTGGATTTGCATTTGTAACAAGATACAAGTGTCGACATCTTGTGGGCGTTTACAGAAGCTTTTTGTTGTGGTTCAGATGCCATGTTGATCGATTGTGGATCTTAGTAATATTGTAAGATTGTACCATAAAAATTCTGCCACTCAACAACAGATGGCGTTGTATAAGTTCTTGTTTGAGATAGGATTCTGTCACAAAGTGTCTTTTCTACTCGTCAATAGATGGCGTGGTTCGGTTGTCGCAAATTAAATGTCTTATTTGTAGGCACATAAAAGTCATTATCGTGTCGCACTATTTTTGAAGTTTGAAATAAACAACCGTCCGTTTTTGTTTATGTTTGTCTTTTTGTTAAATATTTCATTTTATTCACACTATGTTTGAAATATTTATCTTATATTGTTCACAATCGTTCAAAGTTACTATTGTCTTGTTTTGTTTACACTTTCAACGCGATTATTGTCATTTTATATACACGATTCACTGTTTATATTCATAATATAGCGTAATTGTTTCATTTTTACAATAATATTTACGGAGCTCGATATGAACGTGACGGACAGCGCCATCTAGCTGAGATGCTCATTCAATAATTATTACAGCACTTATGACCAATTACGTAACCCGGTACAGCTGGATAAACACTGTGACGTCATACCCCCAACCCGTCTGGCCAGCGTGGGGAGTGAAGGCCAAATCCTCCATTTGCCTCTGGTAATTTAGAGGGCAGTGCTCCTGTAGTGGAGCTTTCATTTTGCGACTTGGACATTTTGCAAATTGGACATTTTGCAAATTGGACATTTTGCGACTTGGACATTTTGCAAATTGGACATTTTGCAAATTGGACATTTTCAAAAATTGGACATTTTGCAAATTGGACATTTTGCATATTGGACATTTTGCGACTTGGACATTTTGCAAATTGGACATTTTGCAAATTGGACATTTTGCAAATTGGACATTTTGCGACTTGGACATTTTGCAAATTGGACATTTTGCAAATTGGACATTTTGCAAATTGGACATTTTGCAAATTGGACATTTTGCGACTTGGACATTTTGCAAATTGGACATTTTGCAAATTGGACATTTTGCCACTAGGACATTTTGATACTTGGACATTTTGAGACTAAACCATTCAACCCTTCTTTATTCAAACGTATCGAAAAACATTAGTTCTTCGCTTTAAATAAAAGAAGACCCAAATCACTATTACCTCTCTCTATCAAAAGCTGGAAACATTGAATTTTCGGATAGATCCAGTTTATTCTGTTACCTATTATTGGTACCGTTTAAAAGAGCCCGTAAAGCAATTTCAGGTTCAGTAACCAGTTTTTCGATAGTTTATAAATAATGGAGTGAGATCACTTATCGTTTCCACCCTGTATACTATCAAAATATCTCAACCCTCGCTTGTCTACAATAAGCACTTGAAACGCGTTAAACAGAACAATAAGCGATCTAATTGCCTCCCTAATGCACATCGGATATACTTGATTACATTCCATTAGTCACGTCTTCTATGACCGTAATTACATGTCAGTATTAATCAGTTGAATATTATTGCAAGTAGAATATCACAACACAACTTGATTCTCTTGAATCTCCAATGTATGAAGCTCTCTGATTTTTAATTCATCATCATCTCAGCCATAGGATGTACTGCCCGGTTGGTAGCGGCCTGAGTCTAGCGACTTCCTGCTACCTTTACGATGTCGTCGGTCCACCTTGTGGGTGGATGTCCCACTCTGCGTTTTCTGGTACGTTTTTTATTTACCAGAGGCAAATGGAAGATTTGTTCTACCCTACCCACAATGGCCAGACGGGTTAGGAAGTCCTGATGTTCGCATATCGTCCCATGATGGATACGACCTGCAAGCTTTCAAGAAGAGAGCGTATCTTCACCTTAAAGGCCGGCAAAGCACTTGTAACGCCCCTGGGTCTGCGGGTGTCTATGGGCGACGGTAATCACTTACAATCAGGTGAACCGTCTGCTCGTTTGCCTCCTGTCACATAAAAAAAATGGCCTTCATATGCTCGATGCGTGCTTTGATAAACTTTTATCGATTTTGCACAATCCGTACATTAATTTGTTGTCTAAAATCGTCGATAAGATTTTATCACGACGTGCATCTTAACCCGCCTAGTCACCTTTTACGACTTCCACGGGAAGAGTGGGGGTAATGGTTTTATAATAATGTTCATCGTCAGGTCATTCAGTCTCCACTGCAGAAGTATGACCCTCTAATTTACCAGAGGCAAATGGAGGATTTGGCCTACACCAGGCGTGAGGGGTTGAGCATATAATAGAATAATTATTATTGACGGGATCGCTACCATGTACCTCATTTACGAGCCTCCGATATTTCGGCGCTGTTGCAAGCGCCATGATCATGGAGTAACATTCCCGTCAATAATTTATTCTGTTAAACAACGGAACTATTCCCACCTCTCATTTCCACCACTGCAACTCCTGTGTAGCCAGGATCTACAGCTGGACCGCCATAAAAACCCAACCAATGAAGGTCAAGTTTGTCCCGGGGGAAAGTTAAACTGTCATTGGACCAGCAACGAAATTAATCAGAAGAACATAGGAGGACTTCGAAATTAAGGTTCGACTTCCCTCTATTGCAAAGCTGATGGACAATTTATTCTGTTAGTGAGCATAATAATGTTACGAATAAATAAATTATGGTATTTCTTTCTTTCTAAACACCGTGTCCATTGTCCACAGTGCCAGACGACGTGCAGCAGCCAGTGCAGAGGTCAGCTCCTCTGCTGCAGTCGCCACAGTACACCGGCGGCAGGCCCCAGCCTTACAGTGAGTACATGCATTTACATAACTTTGATATTAAATACATTATACAGACGTAGTGTATGTATAAACATAAGTAACGCAGGGATACATTCAACAAATTCAAGCTAAAGTATTTTTTTTACAAAAAAAAACCTTATTCATTTATTTACTAAATCAAAGAAGAACTGTTACCCTAACCAACTGTGGATGTGCCATGAGACGCATGGAACACCACTACACATCCACACAGATTGCCTACCTATGATGTGGACAAACACATCCTAAGCTCACAGGATGTAAAATATATCACCCCTGGAAAGATACAGTAAAGAAAGTAGAGATAATATTATAAATGCGAAAGTAACTAAGGAACTGCTAAAGTTCAAAAGATACAAAGCCTGTGCAGTGACTAGAATACTGACCGGCCACTGCAAACTAAACAAACATAAATCGAACATGAACATGACCGAGGAAACTCTGTGCAGATTCTGCCATACAGAAGAAGAAACGGCCATGCATGTTCTTTGCTCATGCTTCCCGCTTATGAGCAAAAGAAGTATCCATCTCGGGCGACACATCATGCACCCTGATGAGATAGCAGATATCACGCTCCAAAGAATCTGGAAATTTATAGACTCAACGGGACTAAGCAGTGAACTCTAAAGACAAGGGCTGCCACAATAGATCAAACCTGGTCGAGTTGGCGCAAGTAAAGGCCCAAAAACCAATAATAATAAATAACTCTGTCTTTTTCTGTGACAGACAAAATTCTACGCGGGCGAAGCCGCGGGCGGACAGCTAGTTTACCATAAACTCAATTCATCACATTTTTCTACGTTCCAAACACTGAAGGTTAATTCTACACAAATATATGCAAATTTTTCATTTAAATAGATTTTACACATACCTTATTCTGTGACATATCGACATACTATGATCCATATGAAATTACTTGCTATAGTTAATTGGATAACGTGTTGCAGACTTGCAGACATGTGTCTACGTCGTGTTCAAACTTCTCTAATCTAGCCTGTTCAGACAAGTTTAGCGTTGTCTGGTGTCCCATTTATGTGGGACGTCCCGATTTTCGAGTCTCTAGTGACATGACCCGATTTACCCTTCATTTGCATAGTATAGTATATCTTATTTCCAGGTTTTTCGCTAACCTCTGTGTAAAAATCTATGTACACACGGCCACAGTGTTAACTATCCATTTCCGTTTTTGCTCTCACTCTCATTAAATGGTGATTCTTTGCGATAGAACGAGATGACATGACCGGCAATGGGCAGTTAACGCTGTTGCCGATAGTACATACATAATGTTCAAACTGATAAATAAATAAAATATTTCTGCACTCGTTGAAAAGCAAGAAAAATAGCAAAAGTGCAAATACAACGACATTTAGGAATCAATTTTGATAAAGTGATCATAGAACGGTTCAAAAAACATATTGTCCCATTTTGAAAATGTCCCAGTTTCTACCTTCCGTCCCGATATTTATCTGGAACTGGCAACACTAGTCTAGTTTCGTACTAGGTTTAGAACATGCGTGGTATGAGTTCTGCCTACGGATTGCGCTATTAATAGAACTGACTTCCGACATTATTATGGAACTTGTAGATACTTGTACTTAAGTGTTTAATAGCAAATTAGAACCAAAGTAACCATATAGCCCAAAAAATTTCTTAACTATCAACGGGATTATTCCCACCTCTCGTTCCCACCGCTAGAACTCCTGTGTAGCCAGGATCTACAGCTTGACCGCCAATAACCCAACCAGTGAAGGTCAAGTTTGTCCCGGGGGAAAGTTAAACTGTCATTGGACCCGCAACGAAATTTATCAGAAGAACAGTAGCTCCTCTACGAAGATGTTAAGGTTCCAAACTGAAGTAGGCAGTGGATGGGGCACATAGCTCGTAGAGCTGATGGGCGTTGGGGCAGAAAAGTTCTCGAGTGGCGATCACTGGTCGGAAGACGTAGTATGAGCAGGCCCCCCACTCAGTGGACCGACGATCTGGAGAAGAACGCGGGAAGCCCCTGGATGCGGGTAGCGCAGGACTGGTCATGGTGGAAATCCTTGGAGGAGGCCTTTGTCCAACAGTGGCAATCTTTTAGCTGAAACGTACAAAGTGCTTGTAACATAGTACAATCTCTTATAGTAGTAGACTAGCAGCCGCCTATGACTTCGTACGCGTGGATCCCGTTTTATCCCCTTAGGGGTTGAATTTTGCAAAATCCCGTCTTAGTCCCTGCGTTCTAAAAGGAACTCCCATGCAAAATTTGAGATTTCTAGCACTTGTAGTTTCTGAGATTTAGAGATTAATATTACTTAACTAAATGACAACAAATATGATATCCTTCACTGCAAATCTTTAAACAATAAATTATCGGTACTATTTAAATGCTAAATACCTTATACAATCGAAAGCTCTCAAAAGCTCTAAACTACGTCTAAACTAGAAACAATTAAAGTGCGCCAACCGTGAAATATCTAGGAACAAGCGAGTCGGAGAGCTGTTCAGGTCGCCCCTTAGAAGGGATGCAGTCCGACGCGGAAATCCCGTATCCCGGACCGGGATCAAGGGGTTTAGTTGCACCGCCAGGGCTGGCAAAGTGGCTAGTTCAAAATATCATTTTCTTTTTAAAGCCGTATACGGAAAGAAAGCTGGAAACTTATAAGTAAACTTATAAGTATACTTATAAGCGCTTGTCAGCGCTGGTCCGTTCTACACAAAGGAAGCAAGTTGAATGGCATTTTAAATGGCAGCGTCCAGCGCTGACCAGCGCGTGTTGAAACTTGTCGGCACCGTTCAGTGCTTATCGGCGCGCGTTCATATATTTTCCTGCGCGGGTTACCAGCGCTGTCAAGCGCCGGTAAGCGCTTATAAGTTTCCAGCTTTCTTTCTGTATACGGCCTAACATCGGGAAATGCTTTGGGCATATCCACTGGTCGATGAGCACAGCGAGTGGGTTATGTGGGACTAAAGACGGGGCTGCTCACCAAAGATGGGGCCTACCCACTAATACCCGACGGTGTCCACCTGTGCCCAATGACACGCAGCCGCGAGTTATTGCTCTAGCTCGGACATTCGTCCGCAGCTCCGCTCTAGGCTATAGCGAGAGAACCCCCAATCCCTTCCTCCAGTTGTTTTTTATACTGGTTTTCTGCTCGTGGCCCTGGTACAACAGACCCCCGGCCCACGGTAGCTGGTTAAAATATCCTAACCCATCGTATTCTGCAAAAAAGTGTGATATCTTTCATTCAATTTGCCTGCATCCAGTGCTTTCCTGCAACCTTTATAAGGTCGTTGGTCAACCTTGTGGGTGGACGTCCCACGCTACTTATTTCAGTAGATAGCCTCCACTCCAGAACTTTGCTGCCCCGTCGGCCGTCAGTTCTGCGTATTTTGTGCCCTGCTCATTGCCACTTCAGCTTGCTAATATCTTTGATTCTGATGGACCTTTTTGAAGGCGAGAGTGAATAGGCACTTACTGGGCAGATAGATATGTACCATCCTAGACTGCATCTCACTTAACACCAGCTGCGATTGCGGTCTTATCTGATATCTGCGTTATCTTGCATTATAAAAAATAGTTTTCGTACTTTTTTCGACAACCCTATCTAAGTCCGACAATCGATGCCGAACTGTCCCCGTCTCTGGTCATAGCCAACTTTTACCGCGTCCGGTGTTTCGGCCGTCGATTCTCGAGTGCAAAGTTGATACTTTGTTTGTATGCAGATGCCTTAGATTTAGGACGAGTGGGGACTTCACAGTTGGAGCATTTATCTGACTTACAGTTGCATAACTATTGTACGAACTATGGAACATCAAGTTACAACGTCTGTAATTGTAATAAAGTCACATAGAGGCAATTTTGCAACAAAAATGAATGTACGAAACATTATTGTATGAACTCACTGGACTATTAGTTTGACTTGCTTTAATTTCAAGCTTTTATTTTCAACATCAACGTCATAATCATCATCATCGTGATATTCAGTGCCTACAAGAGCCAATTAATTCTATGTAGGTAAACATTATAGAGTTTCTTGGTCTGAATTATTCACTGGTTGTATGGAAAAAATATAAAATGGTAATAGTCTCGTAACTGCCACTTTTTGTTTTTTACTATAAACTGCAACTCAAATACACAGATTTCAGTCAAACGAATCTAATTCATTTCAAACTGGCAGCGAACTAACGTCCTCTGAACTTTGCCCGCTGAACTTTCACCGTGACGCGGACGTTTCGCGAAACGCCCTGCTGCTCTCGGCTGGGTTAACAAGCGTAGATTTGAATGGGAAATTCGCGGATTTGTCGGTTAAAAAGCATTTTAAATCGGTCATGGAAATAAAAGTATGTGACATGTAAAACTATCTCTCATCTAAACGGTCTTAAATATTATGCTGAGTTGCACCACCAAACTTTGACCGTAACTATAACGATAACCGCTGTTTTTTTGTATGGAGTTTGACAGATTTTTGACGTTTGTCAAAGTTAAAGTAAGATGGTGCAACCCAGCCTTGTGTTTAGCAATGTTGTCAATAAAATAAGTTCGACAATGTGTAAAATTGTGTCCAAAATTAATAAACGCACCTACTTTCTCCTTTCCTCACTAAAATCAGAGTCCTAATTTGGCTGGAAATTATAGTCTCGTATTTTGATAACATTCTATAATATTTTTTTCGAATTCAAATATTCCCTTAGTGTCTTTGCGTATTTCTTTAATTGTTTAGTTTAATTTCCGCGAAAATAGGCTACGTAATAAGTAGGGTTGCCAGGCGTCCGGCTTTTTACGGTCTTGTCCGGCCAAATATTGTGTTGTCCGGCCTGTCCGGCTTTTGTTAGGCTTTTTATTGGGCTGCCGCGCCAGGCGAAAGTCGAGCCACAGTCACATATCCGGCTTTTAGGGTAAAATGTCCGGCCAAATGAAGCACGGAGTCCGGCTTTTCTAATTTTGGACCTGGCAACCCTAGACGTACCATCTTCGCGCACACCAGCGCCGCCAAGACAGCTAGGAGTCGGAGTGCTCGCGATGGCCGAAATCGGTCGGATGGATCATCATCATCATCATCATCATTTCTTTAATGTATTTTCCGTACTGCATAAAACAATAACAAGGAAATAACGCGCTACAGAAATTTTTGATCACATTTAGGTAAATAATTATATAATCTTCAATCTTGCTCTATAAAACAGAATCTTTGTTATTCCGACTCGGACTTAAGTTCTTTTTTGCAATACTCACTACTTGATAAGTAGTAGTGGAAGTAAAAACCTTACTTTTTTACCACATTCAAGGTAGCATTTTCCGATATTCTCAGTCCATTTGGAATACGTACAGCGCATTACCTCACTCTATAACGTTTTAAATCCGCAATTTGATTTAAATGTGCTCAATTTTATTTAAATCGTTGTGCCACTGCTCATTTGTAGTCGTCTTACAACTGAAATAGATTACGTAGCATCTCTTATATCTATGTTACAGGAAATGTATGAAATCCGTCATTGTATACAATTCCTAGGAATTGTGTATAAGTCCTAAAATCACCCGGAAATGTGTGATGTAAATTATATGAGACACATTCCTAGGAAAATTACACATTTCCTAAACAGCAATCGGAAATGTAATTAAGATTTTTTTTTTACACAAAATTATTTTTATTACGCCACTTTTTGTTCTCCGAAACTTAAATGGCGCTACCGCGCCGCGGCAGCTGTGTATGTGTAAGGTCGCAAGTCTAACCTAACCTAACCCAGACTTTGTTATCCAGCTACAGGAGTACTAAAACCTTCATGTCAATAATAGTTTAATAAAAGAGATGTTAAAATTACGGCTTTCCAATACTTCAGCGTAATATGCGTGATGCCGAAAGAAAGGTATGCCAATAAATTTAAGGCAAACATTTTTTTCGACCAAAGTATAATAGTGCGAAAACAACTGTCAGGTTAAACAATAATAATTGTGAGTTAAGTACCTATCGGCCAATGTGGTTTGGCTAAATGAAAATTTAGGCGTACCGAGGGACACCCGATCACGCGACCGCGCTTGTGCCGCTTAGTTTTATACATTTCCTAATACAATATTGGAATTCTATAAAATTCCTAGGAAAAGTATAAATTTCCTAGGATATGTGCGTATTAAAAAATCTCTGAAGCAATATTTTATACATTTCCTAAATAGCTTCGGAATTGTATACATTTCCTAGGAATAGTATACAATTCCTAGAATTCATACATTTCCTGTAACATCTACACTAATATTATAAATGCGCGAGTTTCTGTGTCTGTATGATTCGGTTTTATGTCCGAACTGTTGAACCAATATAAACCGATTGTGGTATGTAAAGGTAGCAGGGAAGCGCTGGACGCAGGCCGCTACCAATCGATCAACATGGAAAGCATTGGGGGAGGCCTATGTTCAGCAGTGGACGTCCTATGGCTGAAATGATGATGATGATGATGATGATAGAGATAGATTAGATATAGAAGAAAGACAAAGCATATTGTCGCTAAAATATCATTATTTTAGCCCGCTGCAGCTTTTTAAAGAGCAAATCTTATCTACATTTTAAAAGTTAAATTATACATGAAATATAGTTATATCATCAGGTCATTTAGTCTCCATTGCAGGAGCACGACTCTCTTTAACTTTACTTGAGGCAAATGGAGGATTTGGCATACACTCCCCACGCTGGCCAGACGGGTTAGGGAGGCAGATCTGGGGGCACGGCAGTGCCCCCGCCAAGTCGAGCGCGAAGCAAACACTGCCGTACCATCCTTTACTGGAACCATTTCGCCGCATTTTCAGGCCCCTATTTGAGAACCTCTGGATAAGACCAGAACGCAGAAATTTTCGTCATCTAGTAAGCTATAATCACATACTTTAAATCCAAAATTTCNTTCTGCTGAACATAGGCTGTATAAAATATTCTCAAAATAGTAAAAAACCTTTGATAATTTACTATTTGATAAAGAATTTACGTATTTATTATTGATTAGGACTAATGTATACCATTATTTATAATTATGGAGTCGGTGTTGGAAGATTTTTTCAATTATTGGTAAACCAAATAAATAAATAAAAATAAATAAAATAAAAATTTGAAGATTTTATAGTTTCCTTGAGCTGTCACTTGACAGCCTGGCATACTTTTACGATGGTGGATCAAAGTATTTTGGTTTGACTATAGAGCGTGAGAACACGCACACAGTCATAATTATTTTAGTGTGAATAAAACTAGCATCGAAATTACCTAAACTTGACATGCCACGCTAGACGTAAACGCTCTTAAGTAATGTTAGTTAGTGCACACTAAGTTTTCATTTTATTTGGCCTACAGATAATTGTATCCAATGTTTATTTTCTTTCAAGGTTGTTAATGCATTTCGTGGTAGTTTCCGTTATTCTGCCAAGAAATGCTGGAATAACATACCACCACCTTTTAAAAGTTGTCATTCATTTAATTCTTTTAAATTAAATTATAAAAAGTATCTTTTAAACTTGCAAAAACATACATAATTAACAATAGTAGTACTTGCCTATCAGTCTTAAATGATAATAGACACCACCTATCCCTCCATGTCATAATATAGTATAAACTTATTTCACCCGTGCATGAGTTGCTTGTTCTTGGTTGTCATCTGTCTTCTATTTTATAGAGCTTAGATATAGAGTTTATGAACTGTATAAAAATATGTTCAAGTTTCACGTAGGTAAATAATGTTGATTGATGTTTCTGGGCGGGCTGCGCCCTTCTGCTGAACTGGCATCCGCAGAATACCAGTGGTCGTGACGTGCTCTCTGTCGTCACGGCTTATACTGAGCAGATGCCATTTTGGTGCGTGTACTCTGTTTTTAGTGTTTAAGTTGTTATTTATTTGTAACGCTTTTAATACTCGCATCAAATAAATACTTTCTTTCTTTCTTTCTAATGCTATTGGTAAGAATTGAAGTAATTTTGATCTCTTTTAAGTACTATGAAAGTACTACTATCTCCAAACCAACTGAACGTACTTCATTTGTGACAGGCCGATCGTATGGAGGGCATCTTTTGTGCATGCAATCTTCGCTTAGCTGGAAAAGTTATGGGTTCCGTCTTATGTGGATAGTTGGACTATTTCTCACATTTTGGGAGTCTCGAAATTAAACCATTAAACGCGAGGGGATGGGAGTCCCTCCCATAGCTTTCCTCCTGTTCTCCTAAGCTTTAAGATTGAAGTAAATAGGTATTTACTAAGCAAGCATGCTGTATTTTAGCTTTATTTTATTATTTTATTCATGATAATAAACAATGGAGAAGTATCGTGGTATTGAAAACATTAATTATGTTTATATCCGTTGTCTAGTGCCCATAGTACAAACTTTGCTTAGTTTGGGACTAGAAGCGTAGTGTAAAATGTCCAAGGATATTTATTTATCTTTTTATTTTATTTTTGGTGTTTCACTAAATGGGATTAAATATGAAAAATTTAGAAGCTTCTCCTTTCTACAATTCTATATGAATAAAGCCGGGTCCAGGCGGATGTAATGTGTAATGTAATCCACAGTGTAATGTAATCCACAGTGTAATGTAATGGAAATAGTATGGGCAGCACTTTACATGTATTGCTCGTAGAGCCGTCCACACGTAGAATTCTTATTACATTACACGTAATCTTACATTACACATTACACTCGGATTAGATGTTTGACATTGGTATTACTTAACCCTATCTTACTAGTACCATTATCCCTATCTTAAAAAAAAAGTTTTGCCTCTTTGTACTAATTACTAACTAGTGATCTATGGAAATATGCAGAACAATCCGTGGAACCCACAGATTGCTCTATTCATTACATATTACCTCTTTATATTGAGCCGGATCCTGACGGGTGTAACGCGTAGTGGAATGTGTCGTTTAATGTAACGAAAATAGTATGGGCAGCGCTTTACATGTAATGCTCGTAGTGCCGTCCACACGTAGGATTTGTGTTACATTACACGTAATCTTACATTACACATTACACCCCTCCGGACCATAAAAAGGTCTTAAAACGAAACTTGTTTTAATGAATAACACTTTATTTATTGCAGATTTAGTTCGAGTCTTCGATTGTGAGAATTTTGGTATGTCACAGAAATACTTTATCACGGGCGTGTCCCGTTTATAAAACCGGGATAAAACGATCTTATCCTTTTTAACAGTTTTTCCCTGGGCCTTGAACTAAGTATTTACCCAGCAAATTTCATCAAGATCGGTTCAGTCGTTTTTATTCTAAATACACAGATGATTGCGAACATATTGGAAGGAAATAACTTTAGGTTCGTGGTGCGCTGCGTGCCCAAACAACTGCACGCAGGAAGATTTAATGAATGCGCTACTGACAACGCCACTCTTGTAGCGGAGTTTTGGGCTGACACTGTGTAGGTTTGTTGTCGACATGACAAGAAGAAGATCATATGATATGTTAAAAGCCTTGTTTATTTGGTAGAGCACAGTAACTAAGAAATCTCACAAAATGTTACGAAGGTTTTTGTTAGTTATTTTGGAGACATCTTAAGAAAATGTTTTAAATGTTCACATTTCATCGTCTTCAAAATGAGGTCGCTTTAGTGTCTGGGGACTACATATCGTTATCAGTGGTACCTTAAGGGCGTAGTTTCTAATCTGTCGTTTCAATAGTTGAGCCAAGAGCAACAAAACTTGCTCCTTTCATTCGTAGGGCCCTCGTAAACGGTTTGCGGTACCCGCAGGCTGGAGGTGGAGCATAGGGGAAGACGAAGCGATTTTAGAATTTAATAGGATTCTATAGAAACCTTTTTTATGGATAGTATGGGATGACAATGGGTGCAGAACTGCTAACTGCCTGCAATCCTCGGGTGAAATGAGAATATGATCTTGGAAGAAGTAGCCTGTCTAGCCTATCCAAGTCCACTTGTCTAGCCTTGTCTGTTCAGGCTAGAGGCTTCCCTAGCGAGTCCTTAAACCCTATAGGGTTGTATCATGATCCTGCAATGCCTTATAAATAGCTTTTCTACCCTCACAGTAATTACGGTCCTGGATTCGACCATATGGGGCATTATGTGGTTATCAAGTGTTATTAATTGTAAAATAATCAATTATGTAAACCCTGGTCTTCCTAATATAAATAAATAAATAAATTATACCTATCCCTTTGTCCAGCAACTGTAGTCTTTTTAAAAATCTTTTTTTAATTAGTACTTAGGCCATTTTTAGGGCACTTATGTACCAATATCGGCTAGTGCTGGGAAGAAGTGATCTCAAAAATAGCGTTTCTACCCTCACAGCAGCCGCACCGTTGGATGCGAGCTCATCACAGCGGATAGTTTATTCACAACCGTATCTCTTTCTCGATTCCTTTTCTCGAGTCTCTTTCTCGAGTCACTTTCTTGAACGATAGTCTATCTGAACTTAAGTAATGCTCCTCTTAAATCGCGTTTCTACCTTCACAACAGCTACAATCATGGATGCTACCTTAGCGGGCATCAAGTACCTATTTCAGAGTCCAGAAACTGTCTCTAGTTTTTTAATATAATTATTAGTAAGCATTGCAAAAAATACTAATAGCCCCGTTAGCCCCTCGTAGTAAGCTAAATATGCTTGTGTCACGAGTGGGCTCACCACAATAGTCGAGCAGCGCGTCGTACCCGCGTTCTTCGAATAACGAGTCCGACCTCTTCACCGTTCGGCTATCGTAGCTTCAAATAGTGGTATTATTGTCATCTAGGTCTTTATCTTATTACTCGCCATCCTACAAGGGTTTGTAAATCGCGTTTCTACCCTCACAGCAGCCGCACCGCTGGGTGCGAGCTCATCACAGCGGATGGCTTATTCACAGCGCGTTTTGAAGGCGCCGTTTGTGGGCCGCGACCCAGTTGCGATGTCTTTTGAGTGGCATCCATTACGGTTTCTGAGGCTTTTTTAAGACAAGGTCACTTGCATTGGGTTGGTGTTTATTTATCCAGCAATATTTATGTTGTTACATAAATAAAACTTCGTAGATGGCCACAAAAGTGCGATCTGCTCCTGCCGAAGTATCAATTCGTTTCAGCCAAATGACGTCCACTGCTGGACAAAGGCCTTCCCCAAGGATTTCCACAACGACCGATCTTGCGCCGCCCGCATCTAATAGAAGTATCAGTTACACCAGAATTGCCAACACATCCCGTTCCCGTCTGGTCAGCGTGGGGAGTGTATTCCAAATCCTCCTTTTCATCATCATCATCATCATTTCAGCCATAGGACGTCCACTTCTGAACAGAGGCCTCCCCCAATGATTTCCATGTTAATCGATTGGTAGAAGCCTGCGTTCAGCGCCTTTCTGCTACTTTTATGATGTCGTCGGTCCACCTTGTGGTTGGACGTCCCACACCTCCTCCTTTTATGGTAAATTCGAGAGGATCATTCTAAATGATCTGATGATAATAATGATATCCGATTTTTTCAAGCCATACAGACGTGCAAAGACAGGCTCCTTCACCTTTTTTCCTTTGCTTTTATCTAAGGATCCCTTAAAGTAATTGATTTTCTACAACTACACTCACTCGTACTGCCAATGTTGCCATCCTAAATAAATTCGTACAGCAATGTTGCCAAGCCAAGTAAATAATTCATACAGCGCTCGCGTACTGCTTACGAGTCGGTTTAAGTATTCCACTAATATGGTAATGTGTATGTGTAGATTTTTAGTTGAAAGCAAACAGCATTTCTGCAAGTTGGTTCCATAACGTATTCGCATTAATAGAAACTGACGACAGTCTTGCAAAATGTATCGTTTCAGCCAAATGACGTCCACTGCTGGACAAAGGCCTCCCCCAAGGATTCTGTCCTGCGCTGCCCGCATCCAGGCTCTTCCCGCGACATTCACCAAATCGTCGGTCCACCTAGTGAGGGCCCACGCTACATATTCCGGCTCGTGGTCGCTACTCGAGAAATTTTCTGCCCCAACGGCCATCATCTATCAAATAATGTATATCTACTGTAATGTGTTGCATAAAAACTTGACTCAATTTCATAAAATCATTTTTAGCCTTTTTTTATCGCATAAAAATAACTGACAATTAATCACTTTTATTTGAAACTCACGTTATATTTTCACAGCATATAAATTTAAATTCACACAGTTAAATGACGCGCACGTGAAAACGTATAAAGCGGCAACACCTGGCAAATGGCCGCGGGTGACGTCACCGGGTGTCACCTCGGTGTTGCCAACGCTAAATAATTCAGAGCTGCGGCCACGATTTAGAATTTTTAAACGCACAGTTTTTGTAGGTCCTCTCGGAAATATAGACTTAAAAAGTAGATTTCAGTTTTACGGGGTTAGTTGGTATTTTTATTATGCCTTTGTTGCGTAATTTTAACTTTTTTTTATTCACTATGAGGAAGCTCTTGGCCTGCATCTCACCTGATGGTATGTGATGATCAGGCCGAAGGTGGAAGCGAGCTTCACCCTGAATCCTCAACCACGGAGGAAGTGGCTATCTTACCTCTAACTGTCGGAACACAATAATGCTGTTAACATTGTTGTTATGGCGACAGACTTACGTAAGATGGTGGTAGCTAGCCAGGCGTACTTAAATCAAGCCTTACCACCAACCAAACCGAACAGAAAAATCTGCCCTCACTGGGAATCGAACCCGGGACCTCTGCGTCTGAAGCAGGTGGTCTTACCACGAGACCACAGAGGCGGTTATTCGGACGTCTCATTTTATATTAACAACCACATAAACGCCCGTATACACAAACATTACTATGAGGTCTCACAGTGCGCGTGGACGCACAGAGTGACACACTAACCAATCACAGAGCTGTATTCAACGCTGTGCGTTCGATTTGCTGCTTCTATTAAGCAAGCATCGTTTATGAATACGGGTGACAGAGTTCTATTCAACGCTATTTGTATATATTTTTTCTAAAAAATGATGGTCAAAATCTGACTCCTTTTCCTTTAGCTAAGTGCTTATTTATGTGCATAACTGAATCTATTTGTTTGATTAAACCTAGAAGGACATAGACATCTTATAAATACCCTAAATAAAAGAGCAAATAAGTATTCATTATTTTAATGTTTACAAAAAATACGTTCTGCAGGTAAAAGGTAAGACAAATTAATTAATGTTGCCTAACAAAAGTAACAAAGCGAGCTAAAAATAGCTCAAAGAAATGTTTAAAAGCTCACCAATTAATAAATGCACTCTAAAGAGCTATTATTAAAATTAACATAATGGTTTCCATTATAATTATCTCTTTTAAATTGCAATTTTAAATAAATCTGAATTTTCATATTTTATTCATTCTTAGAACCATAATAAAACTCTACTAAATAAGACTTTATTCTATAAAATTGAATGAATGGTTTTCATTATTCAAAGCCGTTTAATGAATGGTTAATTGTGCCGTGTTAATTACCCTAACGGTACTTAAAACTTTGCTCTTTTAAAGTTCGTATGAAACAGTTTAATCGTTCATGAATTTTAGAAATATTATTTTAGTAAACTAGCTTTTGCCCGTGGCTTTCCTCGCGTGAAATTCGATTTGTCACAGAAATATCATTATAAAATTATAGCCTGTGTGTTATTTTGTCTGATGCATACATCAGCAATACAACAATAATACCACATGCTATAAAGTTTCATCAAATTTTTTAATTGAATTGCCTAAGGTTGGGAATCGAACCCACAACCTTTTGCTTGTCGAGCGTCTGCTTTGATTTCTGAGTTACCTACTTAGGCTGAGTTACACCACCTTATTTTAATCGTAACAATGTCAATAACCCGTGCTTTTATATGGAGTTTGACAGATTTTTACGTATGTCAAAGTTAAAGTAAGATGGTGCAACTCATCCTTAGACATAGGGTAAATCCGTCAAAGCTGTTTTACGTGAAAGAGTAAGAAACATCCAGTCTTCCTCACAAACTTTTACATTTATTTATAATATCAGTAGAATTTTTCACCGTCACAAAACTTTGTTACTTTTATAGTTCACAGTTTCACACACCCGTGTCCGAATAGAAAATAATAAAACTGGATTGCTTTTTATTTCAATGCATTTCTATTGCACCTGCAGTGTATTCCATGCTGGACGTATTAAAAAATATGTTTGCTTTCACAAAAGCATTTTGTTTACTTTGTTATGGGTTTTTTAAATTTTCTAGCGTTAAGAGTCGCATTTCAAATAAATTTCGGTGACTGAATGAATGTGACGGTTTTCCATAAAAGGAAGTCATTTGGTTGATTGAAATAATATTTAATATAAGTGCCCGAACTGGAGCAAAATCCAGGCTCCCCATCAACAAATGCATTTTTGTTCGTTTCTTCTATGACATTGTTATACGTATATCACATCCACATCATCACATCCTTTGGGGCGTTGCGTTTTTTTCTGTAATCAAAATGGCAACACTCGTACGTGCCGCTCGAAGCGTCGGCCCAAAATGGGAAATAATAAAAGCAGTTTTTCAACGCAGCCACACCTGGTCTGTAAGGCTAGCCACACACGGACAGCTTGAAGCTGCGACTGCATAGCAAACTACAGTATTTATGTACACACATAACTGCTCGAATTGTCGGCACGGCTATTGTCGAATCAGAAATTAGGAGATCCGCAGGAGCACCAAAGTGACTGACATAGCTCGCAGAATTACTAAAATCAAGTGGCAGTGGACGGGGCACATAGCTCGTAGAGACGATGGCCGTTGGGGCAGAAAAGTTCTCGAGTGGCGACCACGGGCTGGAAGACGTAGCATGGGCAGGCCTTCTTCTAGGTGGACTGACGATCTTGTAAAGGTCGCGGGAAGAGCCTGGATGCGGGCAGCGCAGGACCGTACATTGTGGAAAACCTGGGGGGAGGCCTTTGTTCAGCAGTGGACGTCATTTGGCTAAAACCGCTCGTTGCAGAGCAGTAGTAACCGCTCGTTGTGCGGCCGAGCATTCGCCAGGCATACACTGACTGCTCGAGTTGTCGACTCCTCTCGCCCAGTTACCTCAGCCCGCGTTCATCATTCCATGCTTGACTTGTTGAGCAGTTAATACCAACTGCTTCAGCAGTCCATAGCAGCTTCAAGCTGTTAACTATGACTGATTAGGGCCGTTCTTAGTCCGTATATGTTGACCACTAGCTAACTGTCCGTGTATAGCGGGCTTTACGTTGAAATTTTTATAAAAACCGCTCTTCCCAGCTCGAGTACGGTAAACAACGGATTTTAGAACTGAATAATTGAGGTGTATACCTCACGGCGAGGTACGGTTAGCAGAGACACATTGCGAAGAAATTGAAAAGAAATGGTCACAAAAGAATTCTTTTTTAAAGGAAAGTGTTCCAAAAAAAACCTTTTTGAGGTTGGAGACTCGCACAAAATTAAAGAAAATATGTTTAATTCTTCGTTTTAAATTACATAACATTGCGGACTTTCATCAATACTAGTTGTTCTACCCTTAAACCGTTATAGCAAGTTAAAAAAATTCATTGTTTTTGAACCATAAGACAAGAGAATAAGGTAAAAAATAAGGTGGTATATTCCATCCACTTTATTGAGTTGAAAAAGGGATGATAGCGTACGAAAGTTACAACTCCAATTTTCAACTGAAATTAATTACATACAACATTATATGAATATTTTTTTGCTGACGGTACACGCAAATATGGACATAGCCCGACGTTATTCAAATAGTAAAATAAAAGTTTGATTGTGAGCGAAATCCCTCGGAAGATTTTATATATTCATTGTTTTACTTTTTAATTTCGAGTGCCATCAGGCTTTCAAAGAAACCGTTAGTATTTCTGGAAAAGGAAATCTTTAGACACCGCTAAATACACTTTGAATAATGAACAAAAACTTCTATGTTAAAAAAGTAATTAGTAAGATACTATTTATTGTAAGCCCTTGAAAAAGAGGCTGTCAAAGGTGACTAACTTTGACAATCAATCCCTAATTTTTAAGTGCCCCTTTGAAAACAAAATTCCTGTTAAGTGTTACCATAAAGGTCACTTAAAAATTAGGGATTAATGGTGAAAACGGGCATAAGTTCCATGTACTGCTTCTTCTCAGTACTGGCCCTTTATTGTCCCAAAATCAAAAAATCAAAATCAAAAATATTTATTCAATTTAGACCACAAGTGGCACTTATGAACGTCAAAATATAGTAAATAATAAAAAAGAAAAGGTAGCCCTTATGGGGCACTTTACATGTCTCCTTCTCTTTTGGGCCCTACCAGCCCTACTCCCGAAGCAGTGGTAGGGTTAAAGTAATACTAGAATGTAAAAGAGCTTTTAAAAAGCCTATTTGCAGACAGCAAATGACGTTTAAGACCACACATTTGACATAAAAAACACTGTAAGATCTTGTATAGTACAAATAAGCGAGAGTGAATAGGCACTTACTTACATGGCAAATATGTACCATCCTAGACTGCATCTCACTTAACACCAGGTGCGATTGCGAAATACCTGCCTTGTTATGCATAAAAAGATGCTATTGTGTAAAAAAATATCTATAGTCTGGTCCGGGAGCACGTAGAATTTTGTCCAATGACCCCAAGCTACCCATCCTTATCGCTCGCGCGTAATTATATTGCTGTCGCGACTGTGGGATAGGCGGCCGCAGTGAGTGTGCGAGCGCGACAGCAACATAATTACGCGCGAGTGATAAGGATGGGTAGCTAGGGGTCATTGGACAAAATTCTACGTGCTCACGGACCGGGCTTTAGTCTAAATAATTTAGACTGTACTGATAAGTGCCTAAATGAAATCTAAAAACGGTACGAAGAGACAACGTAGCTGGCTGCCTTCCAAACTTGTCCTAACTCGTTTATGCATTAACTTTGAATGTTAATTGTTTTGTGAAGCTTTCAAGGTGCAATTAAAAATTAGCTCTTTAATAGTATATTATGCTCTAGATTCTGTTTCACTGTCTCAAGAGTTAAACTAAGTTTCTCTGTTCATTAAGGTAATTTTGTTAATAATTCAAAAAGTCATAGCTTTATATTCCTTTGAAGTTGCTTCAGTTTTATATCTACTTCAACACGCAGTAATTGGTACCTTGTCTTCAAGAGAACCGTCATCTAGTTTGAAAATATTACATTGCCCATACATTAAGGGCACTTAATATAAATAAAGGATTTTATTAATTTACAATAAAAACTAGACTCTAAAGAGTACATGATCCAATTAATTGGTTGAAAGGGATACAGTTTATGACTCTACACTATACAGGGGCAAATTGTTTAAAAGCATACTCATGCTTTCAAACAATTACAGGAGCAACTACCATAGATTGGAGTAGCAGGGCCGCTACTTGTCATTATTGAATAAAAAAATCATTTCAAAGTGATACTTTTTCTTCTATTCACTAGAAACCAAAAGAATACATTGCTTAAATTTCAGCGATAATTTCTTTTTAAGTAAGGTATAAAAAGCATAATACGTAGGGATAAGTAATTACTTGCTTATTAGATACCTCATACTTGTATCTACCTAGTTAAGTTTCTTTCGTGTTATTTTACTGATGGCTAGAAAGCAATACATTTTTTATTTCATTTCCTTATCATATCAACTCATCATCAAATGCTGAACAAAAAATGGGAATTCTGCACTAAATATTATCCAGTATGACTAAAACTCTTCCACCGCGCTACGTTTTAAAATGTAACGGTTAAAATGCATTACCAGCATGAAAATTGAGGCTTTTAGTAAATAACATTGGCGTCTGACGTGAAAGAGCGTTTGACCACCACATAATAGCTTTTAAGCTGGAAATCCAAACAGGCAACCGTAAATACAGCGGTTAGTCCATTTTGAGAGAACATAAAATGAACACCAACATCAATACTAATATTACATGTGAATTTCTGACAATTTTTGTAAGAGAACCACTTGTTTTTCAATCTGGATTTTACCCTTAAAATATTCAATGTATATTGTTCAAGATTCATGACGAAATAGAAACAAATACACGAACACAAACACACAATAACAGAAGACGTAAAAGAGCACACCGGAATTTCCTGAAGGCATTTAATATTGAAGACATACATAAACACAGAATGCTGCCAACACGACATCAAACGAGATAGATTTGGGGAATCAACGATTTTCGTTTGTCTAAAGTTTCTGGATTGATCCGTCGACTGATCGGCAGATCCGACAAGCCAACCGGTGACTACTACCAGGTCGTGCAGCGAAGACTCTTGCAGCCAACACAGTCAGCATTCATGTGACCAATCGCAGAACGGTGTGTATTAACTCCAAATGGAATATAAAGTGTGCCACTCAATAAAAAAGTAATCCCTTATGAATGTGCCCTAGTAATATTGGCTATAGAAGTAATTTGTTTACCTAGATGATAGCATGGTTTAATGTCGTGTATTTGTAAGAATGCTAGCAAGCAACTAATGTGTTTTGTGTTAGTACTAACCTAGTGTGTATTGTCTACTTAACGGACGTATCTAGAAAGCATGTTGTTGAAAGGATACCCTTTCAATTTTGTTTTAATTAAACTCTAGCTACGTCCGATGTTGTCGTTACACTTAAAATGTTTGCTATCTTACCGTGTTTAAATATGTACTTACTTACATAGTGTTGAATAAACCCCTACAATGTTACATACACCTGGGATCCTCGTTACTAGCGCCTTAGTACTCACATTATACGACAATGTTACATTTACGATTATAATACTCACATTTCATTTAAATTGTACCCATTCTTAAGTATACTTAATAATTTTAATAACATTTAAGAATCACTTTTTACCTAAGTCGTTTTACTAAACATATTTTATCTTCAATAATTAAATCTAATAGTATCTAACAAACTACATACTAATTACTATTTTTAAGATTATTACATAAATATATTCCTGTCTATACACTATGTATCACGAACATACATTATACAATAAACAATTTATTACAACAAAGACTTTCATTTCTACCCACTAAAAAACTTCCTGCATGTACAATTTTATTTTCAACTATCATTAAAAATTAGCACATGAGTGTATGTATTTGAATAATTATATCATAGACGTATAACTTATGATTAGAATAAACAATAAGTATTAATTATGCATACCTACATATTTATGTGACGTGTGTTTTTTTTTCTTATACAAATATTTTGTAACATTTATTTTTAGCACTCAGCTCCTAATGACTGCACTTCGTTCACTTTCAATAATTGTAAAGAACTAATTATTGTCTTTAATGTGCATAAAATAAGAAATAAATATTTAGCAAGAAACATTTACAAAGTTACATGCTAATGCAGATCAATAAAACTCAAATGAAACGTGGAACGTATTTTCTATTAAAAACTAGGTTAATACTGCAAATTGCATTTCGATTCCGTGTCATGGTCTCTGTAATTTCATTGAGAGTGCTATTGCCATTTTAATTATGCAGAAGGGACGAATTGGCATAAATTACGACTTGTTTTTTATTTATAACCAGCTTGTAAATATTTTCGGAAAATTCGTGAATATTGTACATTGTTTTATTTTTATTTCTGTCGTTCGCCTTATCTCGTAATACACGCTTTTTTGTGATAAACTATAAAAAACTAATTTAAATAAAGCACTGTAGTATTTTAAAGATGAAGGGAATATAAATGATAAACATGGAAGTGGTAAAAAATAAGTCTCTACCTTAATTTCCTGGATAATAGATGTTCAAATATTTCGGGACATTAATCTGTCTAATCAAGTTTATGCCAATTGCCTCTTAGGCCCAGAACACACGGTGAAACGCAACTGCAACGAAACTGCAATTTCTAGTTACTTTTGAGTTGTATCTATGTTTCTGTCATAGATTCCCTTGAGAGGCCACACATGACGCGACCAGTTTGACCAGTTCAAATCGGTTTCAAACTGGTCGCGTCATGTGTGGTCTCTCAACGGACGCTATGGCAGGAACTTAGATGCAATTCAAAAGTAACTAGAAGTTGCAGTTGCGTTTCACCATTTGTGTTCTGGTCCTTAAAGTGTTTATTTAATTTTTTTAAACGTTATTAAAAAGGTAATAATAGATGTCTTTCTCGTTCTTTCAGACATGGACTACGGTAGCGGTGGACCCCCACCGCCGGGCATGATGAAAGAGAGACACGGTCCGCCGCCCCCACATCACCCTGTAAGTATAGATGTTCTTCTATCTTGTAATCTGAATAAATGACGTTACAAACAATCCAAAAGTAAAACCATGTGTTGAACACATCTCAACCCCAAAAACATCTTTAAAACACAAAAATTGGTAACTGAGCCCTGATGAACGACCAGTTTTAATTCTGTTGGAAACGAGTTTCAAATCTTCAGTTGCATGGTGGAGATTTTCTGTGGCGAAAACAAGAGATGGTGCTTTTATTTATTTTACCGTGTTTTTATTTATTATTGAAAAAAATACTTTTTGCTGGTCTGATACAAGATCACATTCTTACGCCCGTATTCACAACATTACTATGAGGTCTAACAGTGCGCGTGGACGCGCAGGGTGACACACGAACCAATCACAGAGCTCTATTCAACGCGGTGCGTTCGATTACGATTTGCTGCTCCACCTAAGCAAGCATCGTTTGTGAATACGGGAGTAAATCATGTTCGTGATTCAAAAACACGTCTAAAATTAATAAGTAGAGAGGTGCAAGTAGCTACAAATATAGACAAATTTCTTTTATCAGAAATAAATTCTAGCTACAAATGTGATGTAACTTTTAACGATCTTACTATGATTGAGTAACTTCTCCTATCCTCATAGGGGTCGAAGTTAGTCGCAAGACCTTTTGGGTTTTGGGTCGAACTTAAATAACTTTTATATTACTTGTAACGTCACTTTCTGGTTCGAAATACATATTTATATTTATATTATCTACGTCGTGACCTTATCCCAGTTTTGCTAAATCTAAAGCTGAAGTAATTGTTTTATTAGGTCGTAAAAATCGAAGTTAATTTAATTCACCATCTAGTTCTCGTGTTCTTTGTGAATTGGAACTATTTTTATCTTGTGATAAACTGAAATTATAAATAGACTTGTCATGTTTTCTTTGTGCTTGGATAATTTTGTGTTACGTTATTAATTTTTTTTTTTGCTCCTGTGTATGTTGATCGACTCTTTATTAGTTAGAGCTTTAGTTTTTTACAAACTCGTATTACAAAATTCATGCTTATCTATTCATGTATTTCCTCCGCCATTTTCCGCAGTTTGGCACCTCACATCACAAATCACTTTACCGATATCAGCCCTATTGGCCCTATGGCTTCGGCGCAGTACCGATCACTGGCGTTTGTCAACAAAATGGTGCTCGACTCTTAAGACAAGCTAAATTACACCATATTGTTAGCGACATTGAGCATATTTTTTTAAATACCTTCGCTAAGAAAACCTTCTGTACGTAGTTATTATTATTATTCTGTGATATTACTCCTTATCCAGGTCATAATAGAATCAAACGTTTTACACAAGAGGCGTCAAGATTTTCCTCCGCCATTTTCCCAATTATGTCATACAAAAGCCCCTGAATTCAGTTAATTATAATTATCACCGTTTGAAAGGACGAAGCAAAAATAAATTAACCATAAGAAGAACGTGTCCCGGCGAAGCGAAGGCTAATAATTTAGCCCAATTAAATAATAATTAGGAAAATTATTTCTAAAGACCGCTGTAGACGTGCTACTTGGATTGCTCACGTGTATTTTTTCAATGTTTACGTACATCATCTTTGTTGTTGAAAAGCATCTATTACCTTCATTTCACATGATGATGCCACAGTGTTTAGTCGTTTTTTGACGGTTTTATTGGTTCTTATACTCGACTATAGCTACGTTTGGAGATTCGAATGCCACTGGTGGAGATGTATACGCATTATTATAACCAGAATTTTACCCTATTATAGCCCAAAATTTAGTTTTGGGGTTCAGTTCATAAATGATATATTTCGTTTCTTCAGCGACTTAATTTAATCGCCGATGCTAAAGTAGCAAGTCTGCGCTAGCCCTAAGATCTGAAAAGCGTGTTGAGCTGTGTGAAATCTCATAATGCAATTGTTGCTTTGTAATTTAAAACGGATTACTCGTACTATTTAATGAATGATTTATTATTGCCTTACTCGTATAATTGAGATTATTCAGATATCTACGTTATACAGGGTGTTAGGTAAATGGGTATATGAGCCGACACTAGCCAATGTTAACATGGGCATATAAATGGTATGGTGAAGTCAGAAATTTGATATTATCATTTTATTTTTTTTAATTTTCATACAAAATCTATTCTAATATTATAAAGCTGAAGAGTTTGTTTGTTTGTTTGTTTGTTTGTTTGTTTGTTTGTTTGTTTGTTTGTTTGTTTGTTTGGTTGAACGCGCTAATCTCAGGAACTACTTGACCGATTTGAAAATTTCTTTTTGTGTTGGATAGCCCGTTAGTTCCTGAAGGCTTTAGGCTATTTATCATCACGCTAAGACCAATAGGAGCGGAGCACCAATCAAGAATATTTCAAATCAGTGATTTTTTTCCTTTTAAGAGCTGACGCTGCGTAAACGGTTAAAGTTTCGCAAAAATCATGTATGACAGGATTGTTCCCGTTTAAAAGTTCTTTAAAAAAGTCCGCGGTAGCATATGTCTATCTTTTAAGGTTGGCTCATAATAACCATTTTTATGCAAAAAAAAATCTGTTTTAAAATAATGCATTATTTGCGAAGGTGTTTTTATAAACATGATATTAATCCTTATCCAAATAAATAAATTATTCAGAGAAGTTAATAATGTGGGTTATTAAAGGGAGAGTGCAGTCGAGCAGAATCGATATCATGTACCGGCCTATGCCATCGAAGTAAATGACTCTTAAGTATTTATAAAACATATATTTTGTCTTATTTTCATAGATAAATAGCAATAACATAATATAAATAAGTACCTACTTAAATATAAGCTAAAATTTTACCGATTACGTCACTTACTAAGTTACAAGATTCTACGCAATCGGTTTTAAGAGCGTTGTCACATTTTTCATGCAGAAATCGAGAATTTGGCAGATTTCGAAATGATTTTAGTCATATAATTTATTGTTATAGCTTCTTTTGACTTACATCATCGTAATTATCATACGTTTTTACTGAATGTCTATNTACTATTACTTATTCTGTGACATGGGCTAGTGCCGGCTCATAATATGAGCCGGCACTAGCCCATGCAGGTAAATGGGTATATGAACCTCATATACCCATTTACCTAACACCCTGTATATTCTATAAATGCTTCTTTTTATTTAAAGATATAATTCAATCAAAAATATTGCAAAAACGGGACAAAATATTCAAACTATTTTCAGGCGACGAAGTCACGTACCTTGGTACTATTACTTATTCTGTGGTCAGGGGCTTTTACCATCTTTATATTCTGTTATTTATTTTTATGTTTCTTCTCATTGAAACCCCATTTTATGTAGTGTGTTCTTTTGCCCACAGCGCGACGGTCGCGGTTACGGCCCAGAGGGTTACGGCGGAGAGGGGTTCGTGCCGCCGCCCCCTATGCACCACCCCCCCATGCCCCCACAAAACCAGGTCAGTATATCAGGATGTGACCCTTAAGATAGCATTCGGATCAAGTCGACCGCGACGAGCGACCACGACCCGAGACCGCGACAGGCAACCGGTCGCAGGTCGCAGGGCGAGAGCTACTTACGAATCTTCGCGACACGAGTCGTGCGACCCATACGAAACTTATTAATTCTATTAAAATTTCGTCTTCGTGCGAAGAAAACACGGCCATTTTGCATCTGTCTGTCTTGTGAGCGACCGAGTCGCGCGACGCAAGTAGCCGGCAGGCCACGCCCACACGTCGCGCGACTCGGTTGCTTGCATCCGTCAGCACTTCCTATTAATTCATATAAAACAGTGGGTCGCGGTCGCCGGCCGCGGTCTCGAGTCGCGGTCTCGCGTCGCGGTCGTCTTGATCCGAATGCTACCTTTAGATAGGCAATGAAACCCCTATAAGGGGGACTAACGCCCGTATTCACAAACGATGCTTGCTTAAGTGAAGCAGCAAATCGTACGCACACCGTTGAATAGAGCTCTGTGATTGGTTCGTGTGTGACCCTGTGCGTCCACGAGCACTGTGAGACCTCATAGTAACGTTTGTGAATAAAGGCGTAAGGCCCAGAACACACGGATTTGAAACCGGTTTGAAATGGTCGCGTCATGTGTGGTCTCTCAACGGAATCTGATAGATGCAACTCAAAAGTTTCGTTGCAATTGCGTTTCACCGTGTGTTCTGGGCCTAAGAGTTGAGGCACAACCACAGTGCTCTTAAAAAAATATTTTGCTTTTTGCAATTACGGTCGACTGTCTTTCGTGGTATAGGCAAGTTAAAATACCTTTTTCTTCATCGACTGAAAAAGATAATACTCGTATGGATTCAGCAGATAGTTCATCTGAATACGACTAAAGTAGTGTAAAATAAATAATTGAAACATTTTTGGCAACCTCTTGCTTCTATTTGCATCTCTGTCCATCTCGTTTCATTCCACAATTCCGTTTATTCGGTTCTTCATCCAGAAGTCCATTGCTGGACAAAGGTGACCCCTAAGGATTTCCACAATTTTAATGACACCAGGTCCAACCAAGATTTTATTCTTAACTATAGTGGTTTAGCACCGGTCGTTGTGGAGATCCAGCTACGTCCAAAGTCTGGTCGCCGAGCACGTAGAATTTCGTCCAATGACCCCAAGCTACCTATCCTTATCACTCGCGCATTGTTATATTGCTGTCGCGACGCGACTGTGCTACAGCAGTAAGTGTGCGAGCGCGACAGCAATATAATTACGTGTTCGGCGACCAGACTAATACCTACTAAGTACATCTTTTGGTTGAAAAGAAACGAAGTTTAATAATATTTTGACTTAATGTGACTGAAATGTGAAAAATATTTTGCCAAATCGTCGTTGTCTACTCACGGACATTACTCGCGGGCGGCGTGCGAGCAACGAGCAATGTTCGGTTCGCGAGCGAACATCGATGAAGACGATCCTGACGCACTCTCTTCAACGACTTTGCACTAAACGGTCTCGATATTATTGTAAAATACCGAATAGACAAGTAATCTTATACTGTCCACTCTTTTCATTTATTAACTTCCACTACACTCACCATCGAAGTAACAGTCGTATTGCCACATAGTGTACAAATTCCCCCTGTTTCCAGGGCGGGCCGCCTCAGCAGGGTGCGGTGATGATGGTGTATGGGCTGGACCCCAGCACCGTCAACTCCGACCGGCTGTTCAACCTGTGCTGTTTATACGGGAATGTTGTTAGGGTAAGTTGTTACGTAATTTTTTGACTTAGAGTAGGCGCACACCGTTGATTTTTAGTTGGCCGATAGTTGTGCCCGATTTTAAATTGTATGAAGAATCAGCCAAATCGAATTCGCGCGTAGTGTGCGCACTCCCATACATGCCCATACTGATCAACTGCCCGACTAAACTATCGGCCGACGAAAAATCAACGGTGTGCGCCTACTCTTAGTCATCAAAATGACAACCGGGATGCAAAATGTCCACTTCTCGAAATTACAACTTCTTAAAATGTCAACTTCGCTAAAAGACAACTTCTCATATTAATGTTGTCTATTTCGGATATTTCGATTATTTGTGGACATTTTGCGTCCCGGTTGTCATTTTGAGAAGTTGTCATTTTGATGACTAATCCAATTTTTTTACTTACTTACTCCTATGGCTCAGCGAGCGACCCAAAGTGTGTCTATCGAGCTTCGATGGAAGATTTCGCCATTCACTTTAGCTTTAACCACACCAACGCGTGCAGCCCCCCTAGACAAAACGCACTTTTTGATCGAATCGAAAATCGAATCCGTCAAAACTCCATACAAAAAAGGGGCTTTTCGACCACTTTTCGACTGGTTTGCGATTATAATTTGCACTTTGTCTAGACCCACAGATCGCCATCGCCGGCGCGATCACGGCGAGATCAAAGGCCAATGACAGGTCGCGTGAACTTGACAGGTTGTCATGTCACCCCAGCAATATAGATGACCCACGCTGAACTGTCCCACCAAACTCAATGACAGGGGGGCGCTACAATCGTTCAACTATATGGTTTCCAACATGGCAAAAATCGGAACCAGCGATCCGGTATTGACGGTGGCGCCCCACTGTCAATGTCATGCATAGGACAGTTCAGTATTTTGGAACTATATCGAGGCAGACCCATTGAACTTTTTTTTAAAATTAGTGGATTCAATAACCAGTGGATTTAAAAAAAAAATAACACGTTTACCATCAAGACTAAAGCTTCAACCACACCAACGCGTGCAGATCGCCACCGCCAAGGCCAATGACAGGTCGCGCGACCCATGACAGTTCACGCGACCTGTCATTTCCCCACGATCGCGCAGTGATCGTGCAGGTGCAATGCCGGTCTATTCCACTTTGATCACCTAGCTTTGATGACCCAGGTGATCAAAGTCCACTTCCAGCGACAATTTAGTGTCCTTTGATCACCCACGGATACGATGCCCTGGGTGATCAAAGTGGACTCCAGGTAAATTATTATTTTAGTGTCATTTGATCACCTACATACAAATCACACCTCCTCTTATACTTAATGTACGGACAAACATTGTTCAGGTAAGTAACGCTTTAAAATATTTCATGCTGTAAAAAAAATTTACTATATTAAGAAAATGTTTGTACTTACAACAATTGGACATGACGTGTCTATTCAGAGGAGGTGTGATTTGTATGTAGGTGATCAAAGGACACTAAAATAATAATTTAATTGGAGTCCACTTTGATCACCCAGGGCATAGTATCCGTGGGTGATCATAGGACACTAAATTGTCGCTGGAAGTGGACTTTGATCACCTGGGTCATCAAAGCCAGGTGATCAAAGTGGAATAGACCGCGATGCGGTCGCCGACCTGCACGCGTTGGTGTGGTTGAAGCATTAGAATCCGAGTTGCTGCCTTCATTTTCTTTTAACTGGCAGGTCACTGGTATTTTGAAGAACCTGCTGATCTTACATACTACCATTAGATGTGTTTACTTGAAGGTTACATAACTACTAAGTCGTGTGGTTCCAGCAAAGTAGAATAAGACAACACTCGACTCTCCCCTCTCACTCTCTCGTAAATGGCGAATAAGGGACAAATATGCAAACATCGGAAGAATAATCTTATCAATTTAACTTCCAGATAAAGTTTCTGAAGACCAAAGAAGGCACAGCGATGGTGCAGATGGGCGACCCGGTATCCGTGGAGCGATGCGTGCAGAACCTTAACAATGTCACCGTTGGCGATTACACGTTGACCCTTGCGTAAGTAGGATATTTTACAAGCGTTTATTTTTAGTAATTAATTTTATTAACACTTTTTAACCCCTTAACCCCTTTAGCTAAGATAAATCGTATTATATTTATTACTAGCTTTCCGCCCGCGGCTTCGCCCGCGTGGAATTTTGTCTGTCACAGAAAAACTTTATCGCGCGCGTCCCTGTTTCAAAAACCGGGATAAAAACTATCCTATGTTCTTTCCCGGGACTCAAACTATCTCTATGCCAAATTTCATCAAAATCGGTTGCGAGGTTTAAGCGGGAAAGCGTAACAGACAGACAGACAGACAGACAGACAGACAGACAGACAGACAGACAGACAGACAGACAGAGTTACTTTCGCATTTATAATATTAGTTGGGAAGTTGGGATAAAGGTCATCCATTAATTGCGTCACTTTACGAAAATACAACTCACAGAAAATCTAACAATACGTAAACCTAACTATCTGAAAACCTAACTATTCGAAAACCTAGCTAATCAAAAACCAAACAACCCAGTTTTTGGAATACCCAAGTATTTATTCGAAAACCTAACTTTCGCAAAAAATACTTTGAAATATGACCTCACCCTTTAGACCACTAAATTCAGTCAATTTTCTAATACTAAAGGCCGGTCTGTGAGCACGTAGAATTTTGTCCAATGACCCCAAGCTACCCATCCTTATCGCTCGCGTGTTATTATATTGCTGTCGCGCTCGCACACTCACTGCGGCCGCTCGTAGTACAGTCGCGATAGCATTATAATTACGCGCGAGCGATAATGATGGGTAGCTTGGGGTCATCGGACGAAATTCTATCTACTCTGCGACCGGACTTTACTTTTTATTTTGTTTTTATTGAAAAAAATCGAATAGTCTCGTTACCCCTTTTACCCTTCCAGCTTTGTGTTAGGGATCATCTATTAATCACGTTACATTGATATCAAGATTGTTCAGTGCGCGTGCCTGTGCGGTTTCTAATAACAAAACAACGATCTCGTGAAAGTGTTTGTGTCGACACATAGGCGCGTCCATAGATTTTTATTCTTGTATAATGTAGGTAGTTCACTTGCCATCCAGCTCTCACACTGTAAAAGTATATCTGAATAGATTTACTCTAATTTCATCAAAAACCTAGTTTTATTGCTGCTACCATACTGTGCCTAAACACAATACAAAGATATTTTTAAAATTGAAAACCTAAATTTCGAAAACTTCGAAAACTTAACTTGCTGAATACCTAAGGTTTTGAAAACTTTACTATTCGAACACTCAGTTTTCTGAAAACCCAACTCTCGGAAAACCTAACTATACGAAAACCTAATCTCAGAAAACGCAACTCACAGAAAACCTAATTTCAATCTCATATCAACCTAAATTGTCTAAAATGTGACATCAATCACCCCTTAAACCACAACCCAATCTAGACAACCTTTCTAATACTAGCTATAATAATTTGTTTTCTCTTACAGGTTCTCAAAGCAAGCGTACCTATCAGAGGTGATGAACCCGTACCCCCTAGCAGACAAGAGTCCCTCGTTCAAGGACTACGTCGGGAACAAGAACAACCGCTTCCTCACGCCCGCCTCCATACACAAGAACAGGATACAGCCCCCTTCGAAGGTAACAGGACATAGTCATAGGACGTAGTCATAGGACATTGTCATAGGGCATAGTTAAAGGACAAAGTCATAGGATAGGACCATAGGGCAGGGATGGCGAACCAATGGCACGCGTGCCATCGATGGCACGCGCCACAATATTTAGGGCACGCCCACCTATCACAAAATTCACTATGAAATAAAAAGTAAATAATATGTTTTAAATAAGGGCTATCGTATTTGCCCTCATCAGTTAATGCTACTGTAGAGTAAGGTCCTGTCACTCGCCAGTGGCGCCACTTGTACTATACCCCTCATTGATAGCATTAGGTGATATTTGATGGCATGTCTAAGACTTTATCAAACATTTTTTTCGGAAAAGTGGCACGTTGATACATAAAGGTTCGCCATCCCTGCCATAGGGCATTGTCATGGGTCATAGGACATTGTCATAGGGCATTGGCATAAAATAGTGTCATCGCTATGTAAGCCCTACTCCCTTAGCAGACAAGAGCCCCTCGTTCAAGGACTACGTCGGGAACAAGAACAACCGCTTCCTCACGCCCGCCTCCATACACAAGAACAGGATACAGCCCCCCTCGAAGGTAACAGGACATAGTCGTAGGACGTTGTCATAGGACATTGTCATAGGGAATAGTCAAAGGACAAAGTCATAGGATAGGACCATAGGGCATTGTTATGGGAAAATGTCATAGGGCAGTGTCATGGGGTAGCCATAAGACAGTGTCATCCCTATGTAAGCCCTACCCCCTAGCAGACAAGAGCCCCTCGTTCAAGGACTACGTCGGGAACAAGAACAACCGCTTCCTCATGCCTGCCTCCATACACAAGAACAATACAGCCCCCCTCGAAGATAACAGGACATAGTCATAGGACGTAGTCATAGGGCGTTGTCATAGGACAAGGAGAGTCATGTCATAGGAGATAGTCACAGGGCATGGTCAAAGGACAAAGTCACAGTATAGGGCCATTATAGGGCATTATCATGAGACGGTGTCATTAGGCATTGTTTGTTAATAACAATCCATCCATAATGTCCTTTATCAATTTGTTTTAGGATGGTGTCATAGGGCACTGTCATAGGACTGTATCATAGGTTATGGTCATAGGGCACTGTCATAGGACAGTGTCATAAGCCATTGTCATAGAATAGTGTCACATGGCATTGGACTAGGACATTGTCATAGGAAAGTGTCACAGGAGTTCACAGGACAGTCTCAAAGGGCATTGTCATAGGTCTTATTAGATTTCACACCTTATCGGCCGTTTGGTGTAGTGGTTCGAAACGGACAAATATTCCGGAGGTTGCGGGTTCGATTCCCGCACAGTACAAACATTTGTGTGCATGAACATATTTGTTTGTATTGGACTGGGTATTAACAAAAAAAAAGTATTTAAGTATGTTTATATCCGTTGTCTAGTATAGTATAAGTATAGTACAAGCTTTGCTTAGTTTGGGACTAGAAGCGCAGTGTAAAATGTCCAAGGATATTTATATTTATTTGTAATGCAGCGGCCGCCCGCGGCCCGCGACTTCGTACCCGTGGATCCCGTTTTACCCCCTTTTCCCGAATTTTCTTTGCTATAAACCACACGGAGCCCGAGACCTTTCCAACGAATGCAAAACCGTGGAAATCGGTTCGTGCGTTCTGGAGTTATAGCGTCAGGGAGGAAAACCCGACTTATTTTTATACACCACTAAATTTTAATCACCGAAAAAAAAAATTCTGGGTAATGAGTTATTGATACTGATCCCATTTGTGCAAAAAAAAGAGTAAAATAAAGTGACTCAAAATATCCTCCTAAAATTGGTAATTTATTGACACACGCGTCGCTAGCACTATTTAAGTACGATAATGTAACACTTATTAGAAATAATAATGGTCTAAGTTAGCTAAGTATGTAATAATAACACTGGAAGCGTGGTCGAGGCGTGAGCGAGACAGACAGATCGATGCAACGTGCGAGCGCGTACGACTACTCTAGCAAGCGGCGGAGTGACCCAGCTGTGACGCGTAAAATACGGACTAACGAAAATTTAATAAAAAAAATTAACTTCATGAAAACCATTTCTTTTGCTTTTAATATTCCACACGTTTCTACATAACCTGTTAAAATTTTTTCGGTGATAAAAATTTAGTGGTGTATAGTAGATAAAGTTCAAAATCCATCGTCTCCAGGTGCTGCATTTCTTCAACACGCCGCCTGACGTGTCGGACGACCAGCTGCTCCAAGTGTTCAAGGACTACGGGGTTTCGCCGCCGCATACCATCTCTAAGTTCCCACTCAAGAGCGAGAGGTGAGTCGTCTGTCCATCGGGTATTATAGGAAACTTGTAGACCACTAACGACATCTATTGGCGTGATTTGACAGCTCAACTGACAGTCGCGAGTCCATCGACATCGCGAGACGTTTCGTTTTGCCGCTTACAAAAAGTAAATACTAATAAAAACCATGATGAAAACAATTTCCAGAACACTGAAAATATTATATTTAAAAAATAGAATAATCAATATAAAAACATTAGGAAATGTTTCATTAAAATATATTTTAATTGACTGAGCAAAAAACGCCATCTATTGCAAACCACTTCCAAATCACGCCAATAGATGTCGTTAGTGGTATCCTAAATCCAAATATCGAGTAAGAAAATCATTTGTGAAAAACAGCTAAGCCGCAACGTTACAAGAGCGAAATATGGGAAAAAGAGCCTTGAAGCCGTACCTACGTGCCTGCATCCAGCGCCTTCCCGCTACCTTTATGAGATCGTCGGTCCACCTTGTGGGTGGACGTCCTACGCTGTGCTTTCCGGTACGAGGCCTCCACTCCAGAATCTTGCTGCCCCATCGGCCGTCAGTTCTGCGTACTATGTGCCCTGCCGATTGCTACTTCAGCTTGCTAATCCGTTGGGCTATGTTAGCGACTTTAGATTCGTTCGTTAGTTTCAGCTAAAAGACGTCCACTGCTGGACAAAGGTCTGCTAATCCGTTGGGATATGTCAGCGACTTTAGATTCGTTCGTTAGTTTCAGCTAAAAGACGTCCACTGCTGGACAAAGGTCTCCCCCAAGGATTTACACAACTATCGGTCTTGCGCTGCTCGTATCCAAGTATTTCCCGCGACCAGACCAGATCGTCTGTCCACCAAGTGGAAGATCTACGCACACCACATCTACTCGAGATTGTTTTCTTCCACAACGGCCATGAGTCTACGTGGTATAAGTATCAATAAAAAAATTAAGGGATATTAAAAATACCAAAACTTTATTTTCCAGATCATCGTCGGGCCTGATGGAGTTCCAGAATATATCGCAATCGGTGATGGCCATCATGGCGTGCAATCACGCCACCATACAACACCCAGGTGATTATATTTAACTTATATTTCCATCATCATCATTTCAGCCATAGGACGTCCACTGCTGAACATTGGCCTCCCCCAATGCTTTCCATGTTGATCGATTGGTAGCGGCCTGCGTCCAGCGCTTCCCTGCTACCTTTACGATGTATATATTTCCATAATTATCAAATTCTTTTATATCTTTATTAGTATTCCCTTCGCTCTATTCAAGGCACACATCCACCACTTCCGGAGAATAAAACACCCAGCTTTATGCTGGAGCCAAGAAGTAGTGGAAGAAACCATGTTGGTGCCATGCCTTCTATGGGTATATTGAATTCAGGATTAAAAAAACCTCTAAAGTAATCATGCAACTTAGGTCATGTTCAAACGAGCCTAAGTAGTTTTTGGAAAAACAAAACATAATCTTTACGACTTCTTCCAGGCGCCAAGTTTCCCTTCATAATGAAGCTGTGCTTCTCTTCATCGCGGCAGATCGGCCAAGGGAAGGGCCAAGGCAAGAGCCCAGGCCCTACCGGACAGAACAACGGCGTTGATCACGAATACTAGTAAGAAATTAGCCTAATCTCCTATGTATAAATACGCAAGTGGTATAAAAGACATGTAAATTGACTTAGGGACGTTGGACCAATGTTAAGACGGATTTTATTAGGTTGGCAACGCTGGAGGACTTCGATGTTGCCAGTTTCGTATTGCGTTGTTAATAGTAGTTTTTAGTATTCTGTTGTGTCGTAGTAGTTTTTTTGTTATACGGCTGGTTCATGTTTTACCTTGCACAAATTGTAGTTTAAGTCATTGTAATAATTTAGTGATGTTGACGTTTTCATACACCAATGTTTTAACGGCCTATGAGTTGGGGCTGTAAATAATTAAAATAAAATATCCGTGATTGATTTTGTTGTTGAACTTGCCCATTGAACTGCCGTGCACTTAGAGTGTGCAATATTAGATGTAGTTTAACCTAGTTCTCATTATCTCTCGTTGCTATAAATTATTTTGTATTTTTTCGGACCTTTTCTAGTCAAAATTTTATTGCATAATGAAATGTTGTTACCAAAAGTTTATTTAAAAACGGACTGAATATTTCGTGTTTTCATCAAATATAATATATTTTAACTCTTGTACAGTAGGGACCATAGAATTATTATGACTATCTCTATATTTGCTTGAAAATACTTTGATGAGGTGATATTTTTGGTCGTTTTAAACTGTTTTTCCTAAATCTTGTAACTGGGAAATTATTATGTTGTTTCTATGGAAATTTTATTAAAATACATACCTACTATTAAACTATTTCCCTGCCACATTTTAAAATATACATTCGCGTTTTATGTAATACATAAAGTATATATTTTTCCATCGACTTTTAAAATTCGCGTCATTTTACACTATGGGAAATAACCATCAGTTTATACAAGCTGGCAACACTTTATTAACTCTCGAATAAAATTTGTTTGTTGCCACTCCTTCCTGATAAAATCTACAGCCAATTTTTGGTTCGATTGTAGTATGTAAAGGTTTAAAAAGTGGCTCTTATTAAAATAATGTAAAATTTTATAGAGATAAATCTCTATAAAAGTACCTATTTTAAGGTTTCTGAAGTTTATTACCAGACAAGTTTTTTTGAAGGTTTATTTATTTCAAGCCTTCGGCCGTTGGCGGTCTTACGCGTTGGTGTGGTTGAAGCTTCATTCATTCAAAACATTGTTGTGTGTTGCCAGCTTTGAAACTGCAAAAAAAAACTTCATACGTATTTTACGTAGAATAGATTTATCCGTTAGTCTATAGGCCTGCAAATTCTAAAACTTTTCTAATATATATCGTGATTTGCTAGACGAATTTGAACAAGCAAATATAAGATGTCTGCTTTTATATAATATACCTTCTTTGTTATATACGAAATATTATCTATTCTTGTAAAGATGACTTGTACACAAAACTTTCTTAAAAACTTTCATTTTTTAGAAAAATAAACTCTGACACTGGAGCATTTGAAGAATATAAACGAAATTGTACCTTGAACCCGCGTTTTAAAGTAGTTTTTAAATGGAAATCAAAATTACATATTGCTTTCTTTTCTTCTCTGCCTCGTCTAAGCCAAATAATACGCCAAAGTTTTTAAAAGATGATAGATTGTAATATACATATTATATAAATAGAGAGAATTAAAAAGAAATAAATGTACATATGCTATAAAAAATGATAATTTGCGTCAATAGATTTTTAAAGTACAATCAAGTACTCAAGTGTCATGTTCAATATAAAAAAAAATATTTAAAAATATAAAAACGCAATGTTTGTGTGTAATAATGTAAAATTTTATCAGACTAGTTTAATGGACTCAATAGTAAGTTTTAATGTATAAATAAATGTGAGGAATGACATATCTTTGTGACAATCTCGTTGGATTGGTATGACTAGAATGTCAATTTGAATATCTGCTAAAAAGAGCATGTAGATTTATGTAAAGTGTATATTGTATCTGTACACTCGATGTACACTCGTGCACAACTGTGTTAAATATATTTTGTGAAAAAATCACCTTAACGCTTTATGCTTGATATTTAGATTTGTACTTAAATGCTGAGCTAGGGAGTCGTAGTGTATAAAATTAAATTATATAGGATTGTGCAGTTGTGCACGGGTGTACATCAGCTTGCCCTGTCAAGAAATAATGTCAATTTGTACATTTTATTTTAGCAAATACATGTCGATATATACTTCGAAATAATTACATATCACGGAGACAAATAATTCTACTACAATCATAAATAATGTGTATTTAACGTCTATTAGTACATGTCTTTCTCGAATATTCGATCACTCACATGTGACTAATTTTGCTCAATCCCCCTATGATTTTCGTTTCCTTCTACATTTTTTGGTTTTCTTTTTTTTTGTCTTTTCTTACTCATTCGGAATTTTTTACATACATCTTTACGATACCTAACAATCCGTACTTACATTTTCACGTTTTGAACGAATATGGGTTTTTTTAAAGAAAAAAATCTGTTTAAAAAATACACCTATCCCCATATTCGCCTCAAAAAATTCAGTTTCCGTAACAGCGAACTCACATGAACGTATTTGCTTCTAGCTAACGGCGACGAGCGGCGCACACACACAAACACATATCAAGAAGGACGGCAACACACTGACACACACAGCCACACCACGACTGCGGGGGGAGGGGGTTGCCATTGCACGACACGAAAAATCTACCCTGCCTTTAAAAACGATTCCTTAGACACGCTTTCGCGTCCTATTTAAAAAAAAGACAAATGTCACTGGAGTCGCGCCAATTTAATCCCGGGCAGATTTTTCGCAATGACAACGTCTTAATAATTCCTTATATTTACATTTTTGTGATTTAGATCACTTCTATAAAGACATTAACAGTTAGTTTTTTTAATATATGAATAGACACAGTAACATTTTTTTTCATTATTATATTTTATAACACATATTACATTTCCATATTATTATTTTTCTTTTTTTTTTTGTTCTTTTTTGTTGTTACAGGGCCTCGCCCTATTGGATGCGTTGTGCATTTTCTTTATTAAATCTAGCGGCTTAGATAGCTTTTAAGTGATATTCCCATTTTATTTGTGTAATATTAGAATTTATTAGTTATTCGTTCCCAGTGCCATTTTCAAACACTCTACGATGTATATTTTATGGCTTACGCAATTTTCGACTTTATCTCTAGGAAAAAAGAGTTTAGTTTCAATAGAGTTTTGAGGATGGTACTGCAATTTCCCATTTTAGTGAGTTATAGTGATTGATATTAATTTGTGAGTTTGTTTAAGACAATTGTTATAATATTTCGGTTTGTATTCCCTTTTTGTGCGTTCGTCGACTGAAAATGACTTTCGACGCACGAGTTATAATTTTGAAAATTTGGTTGTTTTGTAAACTTGACAGTTGTGAAATATGTACAAGAAATAAAGATACTGTGGTATAAGGTAGACACATTTGAGTTTCATTTTGATTTCAGTCTTAGCACCGAGCTTAGTGTGCATGTTTCTTTTTTATTTTTGCATGATTTCAAAAACTTGAAAAGTAGTAGTCATCGATTCTTTTGACCATTTTTAATAAACTGTGTAAGAACCAAAAAAATATCTAAATGTAAGAAATAGTTTAGCACTCTTTAGGATAGTAGTAAGCGTCATTGCAATGTCAATTATATTCGATTAGTGAAAAAATATGACAGTATGGATTTTCTATAAATTTTTCTTAAATATAAAAAAAAACAAATTTAGCGACTACTCGAAAATGAGTGAAAAGCCTGCACAAGGATAATTTAGAATTAGGTCCAGGTCAATAAATGTGAAACACCATGATTGCGCTATTATCTATTTATATATTTTGTTCTCGTGTCTAAGATTAATGTTTGTATCGTGTGATTCTTGTGGTAGATCGTCTATATTACTGTTTATGGAATGGCGCTCGGTCCAAGGCCCTTAGGTGAACGATCTCTCTCTAAACTACCTACATTGTACTTCAATCACTGACACAGACACTAAAATACTAAATGTACAGTGAAAAACTAAGAACCGTTCTTCAAACATTGACACGTCAAAAGTCAGCCAATCACAGCAAGCAGAAAGAGTCAAATTATACTTTACAACTGTCAAAATACAGTCCTGCCAACATAAAAATTAAAAATTTAATTCCCAAAAAGTACTAATGTTGTTGTATCGAAAAGACTAGTGTAATGAAAAATATTTTGATAGATGTTTGAAGAACTGGGTCTAAATAGAAAAAGACATTACTTCATGACATAAACAGTGAGTAGTCACCAATTAAATAGTTCCATAAATAGCTGATTTAAAATTATTAACATTAAAATTCAATGTTATCAGGTAAATAGAAGCATATCTTTTTCTCTAGAACTATTTTCGAATGAAAAATAAATGTTTTAGTACTAGGACATGGATGTCGTGATAGCTTACTTCTGTTTGTGTTAAATGTACAGAGATTATATTATTAATTGTTTTAAATTCAACAATAATTTTATCGTAGTTCAGCGTAGTATTTAAATTATAATATTTTTTACGAACAGACATTTTGACACTAATTTACTCATAGTACATAACATGTTATTAGTTTGCAAAACTGGAAGAGTTTTTACTTTATAAAAAAAAAAACTCAAGATATAACTTTCCAATTTTGCAGGCTGAAATCACATACTACAACAAAATATTTGAAGCATAGCTAAAAAGATTATCAAAAATAACACAAGAAACAGCACTACAATAACAATAAACATAAGATGTATTTTTTTAGTTCCAGTGTCCTTTATTTCAAAGTATTTTAGCTTACCTTTCATTGGATTTAGGTACTTGTAGTTACATGTTAAACATTAAATACATGTCAACACAACAAATTATTCTTTCATTTCGACACAACCACTTCAAAACATGACTGCGTGACCTTTACAGTAAGTTAATGCTACCTTCCGAGTACCAGTTTTTAAACAACCAATAAAAATTGTTCAATTAGGGCTATAGTTGTATTGTAGCACTCACCAGCTGGCGCCACTGGAGTAAGGTCCTGTCACTCGTCAGTGGTGCCAACTGTTGGTTGAGCACAAAAAGCCCTTTTATTGTAATGGCTATGCAATTTTACTTCTTCAAAAACTCGCTGGCTTTGAGACCTCAAGATACCTATACAAGCATATTATTATCTCGAGGCAAGACCTACTTATGTGCCTTTAGAGTGAAAAAATAGATCCGCGCTAGTCCCACTTAGATTACATTCAGTGGGACGTTTTTCGCTCGGAAATGCTCGCTTTTGGTGATTTGCAGAAAAATGTTTTTTCTGCAAAATCGCCAAAAGCAAGCATCCAAAAGCTGCAGAAAATATGCATCAATAATAGCAAGCAGTTGTCGTTACTANAAAGTCAACCCAAAAAAAAGATAAAAAAAAAATTAAGCCACTAGGTCATGAAATTTGAAAAAATCACAAAATTAACGATAACTTCTAAACTACGAAAAATCGTAGAACATACATGGGGGTGAAATCGATAGGTCTAGTCCTCACCTATCACCTGCCTTCGGCTTGACACCTTACAAGAAACACCCTGTAGATTAAGTACGGCTTCAATTGGCATAAGGCGAAGAAAAATCACACAGAGCTATTCCAAAAACATTTTTATTTCTATACAATATACATTCCCGCGGTTCGAGTGCAGCATTTAAATTTACAATTAAACTAGTGAAATAGGTCTACCAGTTTATTGAGCCAGTTTTCATGTAAGAGTCCATTCATGTCCATTCAGTGTAAGAGGGATATTAGACCCACTCGTTTTGCCCCCCGGAAATCTTAAAACCACTCACTAAAATGGAGACCTACAGTAATAAATTACAGAACAAGAAAACATTCAATATTTACATAACTTACAACACGCACCAATTTAGAATTTCAGTTGTATTCACTATTCTTTATTTTGTGCATAATTAATCATTTGCAGTGTTTTTAACTAACAAGTGAAGTGATACAATAAAATATTCGTACAAAGCAGCAAGTCGCCTTTTCTCCCGCCAAAATTGCGCTTCAGAAAAATAGTAGGACGTTGTTGGAGGAGCAAACTAGATGGCGCCAGTAGTAGGTACATTCGAGCTCAAAAGTGAAATCTTTGGTTTTTGGAAATTGAAAATTTAATTACCTCAGCATAACAATTGTAGACAAAGCTGTTGACGAAGCGAGGATTTTTCTTGTAATATAACTCTTTAATAGCATTTTTATCTTCTTGTATGAATAAAAAATACTGTTGTTGTGAGGAGAAGTGGTGAGATGTTTTTATTTGTCAAAAGTTGTGATCGTGAGGCTTTTAGTTTTTTTTATTTAATTAATAGTAACGACAACTGCTTGCTATTATTGATGCATATTTTCTGCAGCTTTTGGATGCTCGCTTTTGGTGATTTGCAGAAAAAACGTTTTTCTGCAAATCACCAAAAGCGAGCATCCAAAAGCTGCAGAAAATATGCATCAATAATAGCNCTACGCTATTGTAACTTCAAAATATGATTTACTAAAAAAAATTCAAAATCCTTTGGTAGAGTTCCATACAGTTTGATGTGGTACAATTTAGCCGACTAGGTGATAGCGCTTTTAAAAAATCGGTAAAAAATATAGCTTATGAATACCGAAAAATGTTTCAAATAATTGTAATCCACACTAATTTACGCTTCTAAATAATATATTAGAAACACCCTGTGATTAAATTTAACAAAATTACAATCTAAACATGTATTGTCAAAAGTTACTTGAAAACAATGAAAAAATTCTTTTCAAAATAAAACACACGTATTTGTTGTCACGGCAAAAACCACATGGCCGATATTAATTGATTTTAGTTGTGTATCGCTGGGTGTTGCAATTACAGACATTCAATAAATACTTTACGTAATATGAGGGTGGTACAATTTACCCGGCGGTACAATATACCGAACTCTCCCCTAATAAATAATTTCTGTTCAAAACTCATTTTCAAATTTTGAACCACCCGCCCCATAGACACACCCGCCACTGATAACATAACACGATAACGGTAAAAATAACGACCATAAACAATATGATCTAACAAAAAAAGTTTTACTTGCTAATCTTTTAATATTTTTTATTACTTGCTGATTAATTTCCAGACAATTTTACGATCATTTATATTAATTATAAACACCTATTATTTAATGTAAATTAGAATTACAGTCATGTAAATTAACTAAACCTAAACGTCAAACTGACAACCCGTTTGTTAATTTGTCACTTGTCTATGGAAATTATTAAAATCGTAATGGTGGCTATTCGTGCTTGTGGAAATCATTGCATTGCTGACAACATATTTTAGAAAAAAGGATTGGGAAACCTTCAAAAATTAATAATTAATGGATTTCGGCTGAAATAACTCAGGTAAAGCGATAATTTATGTTATTCTGCCCACATTTATTCTGTTTTATAAATTCTTTTGCCAAATGACATCAAAATGGCTGCCATTTTCTATAGAAAGTAATGAAAAACCGGTTTCAAATTCGTGTAGTTATGGTGGCAACAGTTTTGAAATCACTTGCCAGATAAGAATCGGACTGATAACAATAAAAACAAACAAAACACGGGTGCTATTGCTCAATTAATTAATTGCATCTTCATACAGATGATGGGGATATTTTTAACACAAAAGCAATTTATTTATTGCTTTCAGATTCATAATGCTAGTTTTTTCCGTAATTTACATAACTTTAAGTTAAGTAAGTAGGTAGTCATGAAGGACTGCTTATAGGCCTATTCAGACCTAAGCGGTATTCGGTCTGCAGCAGAGAAAACCCAGTGTGTATGCGGTAATAATACTGTTCAGACCTAAGCGGTATTCGTCGCGATACTTGATACTAAATACCTGAGCGAAACCCGCGCGGTATGTACCTCTACCCACAGCGGCAGCGAATATCGCTCAGGTTTGAATAGGCCTTTACATGCATTTTCATGTCTGGAAATCTTTCCTATCTTTTAACTTTTAAGCATGTTCCTACCTTTGAAAATTAAACTTGAATTAGAGACAAATTCAACCTAAATTAATTAATTAAATAAATAAAAACATGCTATCTTCAGGGATGACTTACAGGAAAATTGTTTACACTAACTTAATATTGTTTTCAGGATGGAGCGAGTACAGTATTGTTTCATCTGTAACGTCACAGTTGGAACATCAACAAGGCATTGTGTTCATGTTTTCGATGATGACGTATGTATATATTATTTTTGTTAAAACTTTACTGACAGAATAGAAAATTATATGAAAATAAATTACATTTCTTGTATTTTTTAAAACCTCATTCTATAACATTTTCGTAAAATATTGCACAGGCTTATCATTCTAACATTATCATCAATATTATTTTCTCCAACAGACTACATTTCAAACGGATAAAAAACTACCAGAAATAATCGAAGAGATCATTGGAAAGAGCCTGGAAGCGTCTTCATTGATATCGCAAGTTATCTGCAAAAAATGTCTCAGGACGTTGGTTGAGTACGATGGCATTACAAAACGGTGAGTAATACATATAATAATGTTGGTCATTATCTGGTATTCAGTCTATGCTACAGAAGGATTACACTCTTTAACTAATCAGAAACAAATGTAGGATTTGGTTTACAATTCTGACGCTCCTGATCCAAATGCTGACGTCAGACTAGGAAAGACTGATGTTTGTTATTATTTCTCTTTTATTTATTTTTATTGATATAAAATTATGTAAGTATTGTTTCTTGGAGGAGGGCGTTGATAACACAGTTTTATACTTCTGCAGGGGTCATCGTTTTTTCATTGTATTATGTACCCTTGTACTACTATACGAAAATAAATAAATAAAATAAAAAAAAATTGGGCTATCAACATGAGATACAGTATTTATTCACCCTTTACGTCATCCTCAAAAAGATATGTGTGGTTCTATTACTCTTTTAGAACCATAGGGCATAGAATAATGTTATTATGCGATTAAAATAATATGATTAGACCATGACAGATGTTAAATGGTTGTTGTTTTGTATTATCATTTACCCAGTGCCGTATTATCCATAAGGCACTTTAGGCCAGTGCCTAGGGGCCCACTATGGCCAGGGGCCCACTATGACCAGGGGCCCAGCACTCCCGATTAAAAAATTAAAAAAATAATGTTAAAGATTATTTTTATGCAACAAAACTCAAACCACATCAAAACTTCGCCTTATTTTGGTTTACACATTCAATCGTCATATTTCGATATTGTGGAACCTGATTCATTCCACTATACTCTAGGCACTTCAACATCACAGAGTGCCTTTGAGCGCTGCTGGCCGATTACTCACGGAACCGCGAAGTCCTGTATGTTAACAGAGACGGCCAGCTCAAACGGCGCGGCGTAGCCCGCGGGATTCCGCAGGGTTCGGTGCTCGGTCCACTCTTGTGGAACCTAGGCTTCAACTGGTTCCTGCGGGGCGTCCTACTCGCGGGCATGAGTGTCATATGCTATGCGGATGACATTCTGGTCACTGCCCGGGAAAGACATTTGGGGCCGCGGCACGGCTGGCGTCGGCGGGCGGCACATTAGTCGCTCGCAGAATACGTTGCCTCGGCCTGAAAGTCGCGCTGGAGAAAATTGAGGCCCTCTTCTTTCCGGGGCATCGCCAGCGCGCCCCTCCCCACGCGTTGAGGACGTTAGGATTGACGTCAAAGGCCATATGAAATATCTGGGCCTCACGCTTGACGGGAGGTGGCATTTTAGCCCGCACTTCAACGGGCTAGCGCCACGCTTTCTCAAGGCAGCCGGCGCACTGAGTTGGCTTCTCCCGAATTTGGGAGGGCCACAAACGAGGTGTCGTCGACTTTATGCCGGCGTTCTGAGGAGCATGGCGCTGTATGGCGCTCCAATCTGCGAGAGAGCACTCAATAAGAGAGAGAATGCTGCCCTTCTACGCAGACCCCAGCGGGCCATAGCGCAGAGGGTCGCAAGGACCTACCGCACGGTAGGGCACGCTGCGGCGTGCGTTCTCGCTGGTACTCCTCCTTGGGAGCTAGAAACTGGGGTCTTGTCTGTCATCTATCACTGTATGGCAGACCAGAAGGCGCGTGGAAGGCGCCCGGCCCCGGAGCGGTGCGGCACCGTTATGAAGACATGACTCGCGCGCATTTTGGCCGCCGCACTCTGGACGCCATTGGTCCTGTTCTGGACAAATGGTTGGAACGACCTCACGGGTTCCTCACGTTCCGTCTGGCGCAGGTGCTGACCGGGCATGGCTGCTTCGGTTCGTACCTGCATAGAACCGGGTGAGAGGAATCCCCGTGTGCCACAAATGCGCGGCGCGGCGGTCGTGGGCCGGGATCTTTCGCTTCCGAGCCTGGTCAACGCCATGCTGGGAAACGAAGGATGCTGGAAGGCGGTCGCCTCCTTTTGCGAAGAGGTCATCCTTCAGAAGGATCCTCTCGACTCATCGCTCCGCAGGCGGAGAAGGGGGCGGGAGAAGGCGGTTGTACGACCGTTCTACTCTGCCCCCAGGTGGCGGCCAGCAGGCCGAGGGTACGGGGGTACCCTTGTCACCTTCGTCTGACGGGAACGGCTTGGCGTTTCGGGCATTCCCGTCGGACCCCCACAAGGGGGGTGTGTAGGGTCCGCCGTGTAGGCGAGCTGTCGCTGCAGCGTGGTGTCGCGGAAGTCTAAGGCTACGGCCGGATACTCACGACACCCCCACTCGGGCTACGACGGAACGCCGCGGAGGTTTTAGTGGGTATACCCCGTCCTTTTCACTTTTTAGGGCGCCGGGAGTCCCACACACCACCCTGTCCCCCGGCAGGGGTGAAAGTGCGCAAAGCATTTCCTCCACGACAAAAAAAGGGGGGGCCCGAAACGAGCTGTGCCTAGGGGCCCTGAGATGGTTAATCCGGCCCTGCATTTACCTCTATTTTATTATTCATGTTCCAGGCTCGAAGTGTTAAAAAAGGAAGTACAAGAGAACATGTCAAAGACAGCACAGATTCAAGCTTCTAAAAAGAATGTTGTTACCATCAAGAAGCATCCGAAACAAATTGTGTTGTCGAAGTCTAAGCTTCAGCCGTTACCTGCTAACTTTGTTTTGAACATGAAGAATGTACCAACAGTCACCAGGACTCAACTTGTTAATGATTCAGATTCTGCAACGGCAGTGCCACAAAACGTGTTCAAGGTGGGTTCTATGGTTATTTTTAGTAATAAAATCAATGAAATAGCTAGAAAATTCTTATTCACGTCTATTAGAGTAAAAAATATTTTTTTCTTTTACTTATCCAGACAATGTTAAAGAATTATTATGAATGAGTATGCATTCTGGTAGACTTGGTTTTGAATGCAATTTTCAATAGAATAACTATAACGAAATGAACTAATAAATAATGCATTTCATGTAACACTTTAGTGGTGCTTTAGTAATGTTTTTGTAAGAAAAACTGTAGGTATATTTGAAATGCATGTGCAATTTGTTTGTGATTTATATTTACTCTACCTATTACCTCTAGTATTTCACTTATGTACTTATTTCAAACGTTTATAAATATTACAGATGACTGAGCCAACAATAAGCCTTAAAGCAACTATTGGCTCCACCGTCTTAACTCACACTCTAAAATCAACAATGAAAATGGAACCAGACCCGTTAAGCATCACACCGTCAGATATGAACTTGATCATGACACCGAGTAAAGCAAGCGTTAATAAAAAGACTGCAGTCAAGTCATCACAGAATTCAGTAGCAAAGTCAACGAAGAATCCAATATTGAGTTTTAATGTGGATGCGTTGCCAAAAGAGTTTTTCTCAACTACCGATAGAGAGACTGCGTTGAGGAATGAACAAGTTGACCTTGATGATGATAGCGTTGATAATGATAGTACGGAGAATAACGATGAACAGGAAATGGAGATTGATGAAGGTATGTGGTTTTTAGTTAAATAAGTTAGCAAAAACATTCTAGTGGATAGGTACTACCAATCAGTAAGGCCCAGAAACATAACTACAACGAAACTGCAACTTTCTGATGATTCTGATGAATGAAACTGAAACTGAAAGTTTCAAACTGGTCGCGTCATGTGTGGTCTCTCAACGGACGCTATGGCAGAAACTTAAATGCAACTCAAAAGTAACTAGCAGTTGCAGTTTCGTTGCAGTTGCGTTTCACCGTCTGTTCTGGGCCTTAGTTTTCAATTTTAGTCGGCCGTTTGGTGTAGTGGTTCAGAACGGACTACTATGCCGAGAGGTCCCGGGTTCGATTCCCGGCCGGGCAGAAATTGAAATGATGAATTTTAATTTCGGTGACGGGTCTGGGTGTTACTATGTATAATATGTATGTATTAAAAAAAAAAGTATATAAGAAGTATATCCGTTACGCTAGCACCCATAACACAAGCATATTAATTGCATACTTTGGGGCTAGATGGCGCTGTGTGAGATTGTCCAAAGATATTTATTTATTTATTTATTTCCATAACGACCAGTCCTGCGCTGCCCGCATCCAGGTTTTTCCCGTGACCTTCACCAGATCGTCGGTCCACTAAGTCTTCCGACCCGTGGTCGCCACTCGAGAACTTTTCTGCCCCAGCGGCCATCGTCTCTACGAGCTATGTGTCCCGCCCACTGCCACTTGGTTTTAGCAATTCTGCGAGCTATGTCGGTCACTTTGGTTCTCCTGCGGATCTCCTCATTTCTGATTCGATCACGCAGATTTCTGATTTTTCCGAAACTCCGATTCGAAACGCAGATTTTTTCATACAAATGTTTTTTTCCCGCTAACTCCTGTTGTAACTAAGCTTTAAGTTTACTAAGGTACCTGCATGCCAAATTTCAAGCGTCTAACTTAAGCGGTTTAGATTTTTCATACAAAAGGATTTTCCTACTAATTCCCGTTCCCGTGGGAATTTCGGGAATTCCTTTCTTAGTGCACCTCTACGGTACCTAAGCTACGTCCCTTCCAAATTTCAAGTGCCTACGTTTAGCCGTTTAGGCTGTGCGTTGATATGTCAGCCCGTTTTCACCATCAATCCGCAATTTTTAAGTGACCTCTATGAAAACAAAATGCCTGTTATGTGTTACCATAGGGGTCACTTAAAAATTAGGGATTGATGGTGAAAACGGGCATAAGTCAGTCAGTTTCTCCTTTTATATACCAATTTAGATAATTTAACTCATAACNCATCACGATCCCTGTATGCAGTACATACATTTATACTGATCCCAAGGAACCCACTCCGTAGGGCATACAGGACAGACTCGTGACAAGACACATAGTATTTGAACATGTTCATATTATTCATGCTTTAACGAATACATATACTACACATTCACACCTTCACACTCACATTTACACATTCACACTTACACACTCACACTCACACTCCTACACACAACCATACATAACGAGCATTATCCTATTCTTTTCTTTTTTAATATACTATCATTAAGCGTAAATCTTTCTATGTCAATGAAAGAGAGTCAGTAATCAACCATAACTTATTACAATATACTGCTGTAATTTTCTTACATACCAAAGTAAATGCTTATTTAGTGAACTAATACTCCTAGAATTAATTAGAGATATCCTAATGGGAAGTAGCGAGTTATTCCCAATACAAGTGTCTCTGACTACTTACCGGGAAGACTCGGTAATAACTCTGTATACAAGTATTTTTGGAAATAAATGAATTTTTATTTTTTATTTTATTTTTATTTTATTTTAAAAAAAATTTAATCCTTTTCCAGATTGTTCGCTGGCCGTGGTGCCTGTCACCACAGATGACAGCGGAAAGTTAATCTTTGACGTTGATGTATGTATCTGAACCCAAATGGTTTATTTATATTTTTTCATAAATATTTAAGCTGAATATAAATCAGTGTTGAGTAATACACATTGAGGCCGACTCTTTTCTTCTTTTTATGAATTCTTGCGGTTTCAATGAAAACAATGATTTTGTTAAGAATGTTGATTTAAACATTTTAAATAAGTATTTGATGCCCGTTTTCACTATCAATCTCTAATTTTTAAGTGATGGCTTTTGGTAACATAACAGGAATTTTGTTTTCAAAGGGGCCACTTAAATAGTAGGGATTGATGGTAAAAATTTGCTATGAAGACGTATTTAATTATATTATTGGTCAATGAAATTGATTTTGTTCAATTTCTATGGCCTACCACAGAAACGAAATTAGGTTTCTCCAAAACTATCTAGACTTTATGCGCCTGCCAAGTGTCGCCTATTGGTTTTTATCTGTATTTTGATTCTGAAATTAATTTGCATATAGTGTCTGCATACGACGACTAAACGTATAAAACTATGTGGTCTTTTATTTAGTTGTAAAAGGCGCTATTTCGCTACAACAATATGAAGCCTGTTGTGCTACCAACTGTAAAACATTTAAAAATATCCATAAACAATTCCATTATGTCATTTATTGTATGTAATCTTATGTAAGTAGGTATATTATTCTAAATGTAAATTTTTTGCACCGCCTTACTCTTTCTGCATGACCCGTGGTTGACTGGCAGAGAATTCCATCCGGCATTAAGTCCGCCACAGTGCATTGTTTCTATGTGTGCTAAAGTTTAAATTAATAAAATAAATTCCAGGGCAAACAATCCAAAACAAACAATTTGTTCGACATGGGTTTGCTTCTGTCGTCCGATAGCCAGGAACAAAACAACGACGCGCAAAGTAAATACATTCTTGACAAGCTGCAGATACTTGCCGACGATGATGATGACGGTGAAGAACGTAAGTGATTTTATAGTGGGATAAAAACTATCCCTAAATTGTTTTATTGGGATAAAAGTTATCCTTGACTTGTTTTATACTGGGATAAAAATTATCCCTAAATTGTTTTATACTGGGATAAAAATTATCCCTGAATTATTGTTTACTGGGATAAGTGTTTTAGTGAAGTACAGAGCGAAGCGAAAAGCTGGATAAATTGCAGATACCTACTCGCCGATGATGATGATGATACTGAGCGTCAGTGATCTATTTTAAACTGTGATAAAAGTTAACCTAGTTAGTTATGAGATAAAAATTATACCGTATACTGATACTCCCAGTATACCACTCATTTTCCCAGGACAAACATTTTCTAACTGATAAAGTAAAATGGCAATGCCAGATTTTGTATGGAAGGTGGCGTCTTTTTTTTCGCGCGGCCATCGACCAAACCTGGTTTTTTGATTACAAAATAGTGTTATAAACCAAACTTACTATGACATGTATTGAGCATACATTTTTTTAAATACCTTCGCGAAGTAAAACTTCTGTACGTAGTACTTATTATTATTCTGTGGTTTAACGTTGACAAATTGAAAGCCAATTCAATTATTAGGAATATCGAATTGTTTTAGAGAGGTTTTAGGAATTATTGGATAATAGTGTCAACCACTCAACTAAATACTACTTCCTTCTCGTGTATTTGTTTGCAAACTATTACTATAATAACGTACTAAATATAACTGCATAAGTATACGTGGATATCTGTTATTGTCCTTCTTCCATATGAAGAGTAACATTTTTCTATCATAACGAAATAAACGCAACACATGACAAGACAACCCTAGCGCGACGGCCGAGCGTGCGAGCGAGAGAGGTATGCAAAGCGAGGTACATACATGACTTTACCTTCTGTTATATTTTGTGGTTAAACTGTCATCGGACCCGCAACGAAATTAATCAGAAGAACATTGGAGGAGTTCGAAATTAAGGCTAGGCCTTAGTCAAGCTAGGACTTTTTCATTCGACTTGCTTGTTTCTCACAAAAATGTTAATCATTTCCAGAGACAATAGTGATGAAGAACAGCGATGGCACCACCATAATTAAAATGGGCGCTGGACAGAAGGTGGTGTATGATGGTGAAAACTTCTCGTTTGTGCCATGCGGGCAAACAACGGAAAACAACGATAGCCAAGGTCAGAACATCAGGTCATTCACGCCCGTATTCACCATCAGTCCCTATTTTTTAAGTGACCCCTAGTAACACATAACAGGAATTTTGTTTTTATAGGGGGGTCACTTAAAATCTTAAAAATTAGGGATCGGTGGTGAAAATGGACATTAGTAAGTCCCCATTGCAGGAGCACAACCCTATTTTTTAAGTGACCCCTATTGTAACACATAACAGGAATTTTGTTTTCATAGGGGTCACTTAAAATCTTAAATATTAGGGGTCGATGGTGAAAATGGGCATTAGTAAGTCCCCATTGCAGAAGCACGACCCTATTTTTTAAGTGACCCCTATTGTAACACATAACAGGAATTTTGTTTTTATAGGGGTCACTTAAAATCTTAAAAATTAGGGGTCGATGGTGAAAATGGGCATTAGTAAGTCCCCATTGCAGGAGCACGACTCTCTTGAATGTACCATAGAAAGATTTATCCGACACTTTCCAGCTTTTTTATCATGTACTAGCATTCCGACCCGCGGCTTCGCCCGCGTGGAATTTTGTCTGTCACAGAAAAACTTTATCGCGCGCGTCCCTGTTTCAAAAACTGGGATAAAAACTATCCTATGTTCTTTCCCGGGACTCAAAGTATTTCTATGCCAAATTTCATCAAAACCGGTTCAGTGGTTTAGGCGTGAAAGCAAGACAGAGTTACTTTTGGATTTATAATATTACTATAGATTTATTTTGTTATGTTTACTTACAGATTCTAACGAGGAGTCCCAAATCGAGTTGCAAGTGTCTGGCGACGAAGAAACCGCCAACGCGATCATAGCCGCCGCCCAAGAGCAAGGTAATGATAGATAGATAAAACGTTTATTTGCATAACAGAAACACACATTACAAACAGAAAGTAGCTACCAAAAGTAGGATAAAATAGTATCCTCAGGATAATATGACATGGTATGGTAAGACAGAAATAGAAAAGAAAAAAAACATTATGACATACAATATAGTTACACACTTTATACAGAAATTGTATACAGTGTATAGTTTAAGTATTTTTTTTTTAAATAATTACAATAAAATTGTGTTCCCGGGATAAAAAGTATCCCATCTTGGAAAAAGTTTATTCAAGGCACGTTGCAGTCACACCTGAAATTACGCAAATAATAATTTAACACAAGCATATTAGTTGCATATTTTGGGGCTAAATGGCGCTGTTAGAAAAAAATGTCCAAAGATATTTAATTATCTAAATCTTGGGTTTGAAATCCCAGATGCAACAAACAAAAAGTGAGAAAATCTGTTTTAGTACTTGATATAAATAATCGCAAAGTTGACTCCAGTGCCTGTTTTGATAAAATTTGCATTTAAATTATACAGGGTGTTAGGTAAATGGGTATATGAGCCGACACTAGCCCATGTTAACATATGCATATAAATGGTATGGTGAAGTCAGAAATTTGATATCATTATTTTAATTTTTTAAATGTTCATACAAAATAAAATTTATAAAATCAGATTTGTATGAAAATTAAAATAATTAAAATGATGATATCAATTTTCTGACTTCACCATACCATTTATATGCCCATGTTAACATGGGCTAGTGTCGGCTCATATACCCATTTACCTAACACCCTGTATAAGTTGTATTATTTGTTTTGTTGTAGGAGGAGCATTTATAAAGGTGGAGTCCGGGGAAATGTACAAGGTCAAGTCTGTGCAAAGCAAAAACGATGACGAAGAAGCTTTGCATGTAAGTACATCGATTTACACATACAATGTACGAACATTTCTAATTTCTATTGGTTCAACCAAAATTATTAATCCTATAGTAAAATAGGCTACTTTCCTAAAAAAAATTTTTTAGTCCGTCAATTTTAATATAAAAAAATATTGGACACGTATATTTTTAATTGTCAATCAAACAAATATTAACAAAGTTATAGTGCGTTGAAGTTCCGCACGACGTCACAAACTGCTGCACTTTAACGCACTCACTGACGTCACGGGCCTTTTCTTTAGAACTTTGACACGCTTTATCTCTTTACATTTTCAAATAGTGAAAATTACGTGTCGAGTAGTTTTTGATAAGCTAACTGACGGACTTATTAAAACTCTTGCTTTTTTACCCAGGAAACATCGCAATCTTGAGTTAACTTCCTATAAATACTTCTGCTTAAATAGTAACCATGTTTAAAATACATTTTGAGAACCAGGATAAAACAGGATAGATTTTATCCCAGTTTTTGAAAGGGGAATGTGTGCGATATTGTTTCTTTGATAGACCGATAAATAACCCTTGAAAAAGAGGCCAACAATAGTGACAGAGTTTCTTGCGCTGCTTTTTCTCAGCATTTATTGTCCCGAAGCAGTGGTAGGGTTAATACTGGGACGTGTAAAAGTGTGAAAAAAAAAAGAGTTTTATTCACATGGGCAGTTGCAAAAAAACTGATTTTTTTCTGGTGTGAAAAAAAAACGTTGAAAAAAAAACCTGAAAAAAAAAATATTTTTTTTTCTGGACCATGTTTTTTTCAAGAGTACGAAATCCAAAACTTTTAAGACAAATACTTAAGAATATATAGGTAATAGAGTTTTCGGTTTATTTTTAACTTTACTATACTTTTTTGGTTGAGCGGTACTAAGATTTCATGAATCTATATAATAATATATAAAAGAAAGTCGTGTTAGTTACTCCACTTATAACTCAAGAACGGCTGAACCGATTTAGCTGAAAATTGTCAGGGAGGTAGTTTAGAGCCAGGAGAAGGACATAGGATACTTTTTATCCCGTTATTTATTGCCATTAAGGCGGAACAAAGTTCGCCGGGTCAGCTAGTATTATTATATTGGCAACATTTTTACATCAACGAAAGGGAAATCCCCAAATCAATTACATTTGCACACGGAGAAATCCCCTTTAGGTTTATGTTTCTTTGAACGTAGTTGGCTTAGCGCAGTTGGGGTGTGTGACGGACGGAGAAAGTTCAATATCAAATTATTTAGTTTTTGTATTTACCAACTAAAATACCTGAGTATGCCGAAACGAGTAGGTTCAGGCCTAAAATGTAAGGCAGAAGAAAAACCAAATTTAGAAAAAAAAAACAGTGCTAAGTTTTTTTTTCAACAAACTGAAATAAAAACAAATTTGTTTTTTTTTTTCATTTTACATCACTAGGCAGAGCCATATGCAAAAGCTAGTTTTAATTAAATTTTTATTGCGTTTCAGATCCAAAGCATTGTTGAATGTGAAAATGGCCAATACACTTGCCAACTGTGTAAGCAACAAGACAGCACCAAAGGTATGTTGTGTTATGATTTATTAGGGATTCCTATGGCAGAGTATCACAATTTGATATATTTTAGATCGATCGAACCTTAATTTCAAACTCCTCTTATGTTCTTCTGATTAATTTCGTTGCGGGTCCAATGACAGTTTAACTTTCCCCCGGGACAAACTTGACCTTCACTGGTTGGGTTTTTATGGCGTTCAAGCTGTAGATCCTGGCTACACAGGAGTTGCAGTGGTGGGAACGAGAGGTGGGAATAGTCCCGATATTTTAGATCATCTAATATGTTTGGTTTCGTTAAAAATCAATTCCTATAATTAAAATTGGCTTTATTCCCGTTGTCCCCCACTGGTTGACATCGGGACAAATAGTGGGGAAAATGGGAATACACGACAAAATTCGTGTATTTGCTAGAAACAGGTAACACTGATGGTCAGATTATTATTTTATTCTAAAGTAATTTATAATTTTGAGTAAAATAAAAAGCACTTCAGCTTTTAACAAAAAAAAAATCAACTGCAGAATTACCAGTGGCATAAATCGTTTTTCTTTTTCATTGCATTTGTGATGCTAAATAGAAATAATAGTTTATTTTATTTTATATTTTATATTTCTTTATTAAGGAGACAAACAGCATGAGTTTATACATGTGTTTATAGTTGATTGTTTATTAATTTTTATTTTACAACATCTTCAGATCCGTTCGTCGGGGAGTCGGACAAAATGATGCTGCACCTGAAGAAAGTTCATAACGCGCGAGTATACATCTGCCAGATTTGTGGTTTAGTACTGAGGAAGCGCACGGAATACACCAATCATATAGGTAAGGTATTAAGCTACTGTATAAAGGTTTTAAATTAAAATTCATTATTTGTGAGACATTTTAGGGCATTTATATGTTCTAAACACAAGCAGAACACCACTTTAATACAGGTGAGATTTTAAGTTATTATACTTAGTCCAAAATGTTCCACCAACTCGCACTAAGCGTTCGATGACTCTTTTATAATGCGAACAGCTAGGGACTGGAATTCGCTGCCTGCTGCTGTCTTTCCCGAAAACTATAATCCGGGCCTTTTCAAGGCGAGAGTGAATAGGCACTTACAGGGCAGATTTGTACCATCCTAGACTGCATCCCACTTAACATCAGGTGCGATTGTGGTCAAATACCTGCCTTGTTATGCATTAAAAAAAATGTTTTTTTTGTTAGGTAAAATATGTTCTGCTGGTAATGACACGGATACGGCACATTAGTTCCACATTTCGGAATAGATTCGAACAAAATCGGGATTCTAAAAATAATACAATTCAAAGTTGGTTAATTAAGTGTAACTACACCATTGACGGGGGCTATTGGCAATCTTGAAAATTATAAATAACTTGAGAAAATCGAACTGCCTAAGGCGGGAATTGAACCCACGACCTTCCGCTTGCCGGGCGACTGCTCTTCCAACTGAGCTACTTAGACACTGGATGAACCTGTCGAAATTTTCAAGTGTAATGCGCTGTTACGGCCAGCGTTTTTTTTCAGGTTATTTATAATTTTAAAATTAGTTTGAGATGCGACTCTTAACGCTAAAAATTAAATAACTATTGGCAATCTTTTTGTTTTAAATTCCCAACCGCCCCCCAGTGGGGCAACTGGGAATAATTTTTCTCTAACAACAATTCGCTGATGTTTTCAGAGGAGCACGCAGAAAAGTCTCGCTCTACCATCAACAAATCCAAACTGCACGCGTGCAATCTCTGCTCGCGCAAGTTCACGTCGCGCGCGCTGCTCGCCGCGCATCATAATTCGCATTCTGGTGCGCGCCCGCATTCGTGCCGTCGCTGCCATAAGGCCTTCGCTTCTAAGTACACGCTGCAGGCTCACGAAAAGACGCATTTGGTAAGTGCCCGAACATTAGTAGTGTTTAGTTTCGTGCCCCTTTCACAGGGAAGCCCTTTAGAGGCCGTGCGAACAGATACTGTTGCGGACATGACACACTATCACAGAAAATCGAGTCAGAGATCGAACAATTAGAGTTCTTAGAGAATTCTGTCACAAAGCCTTCGCTTGTAAGTACACGCTGCAGGCTCATGAGAAGACTCATTTGGTAAGAGACCGAACTAGCACAAAATATCAATAGTTTTTGTCCCCTTTTAGGGTTCCGCTCTTTTTAACCTAATTCCGTCCACTGCTGGACAAAAGCCTCCACCACAGATATCCACAGTGACAGGTTTTGAGCTGCCCTCACTCTTGCTGCCACAAGGCCTTCACGTCTCAGTACACGCTGCAGGACATGAAAAACTCATTTGGTGAATCTCTAAAGAAATGCATAATAATATGGAGCACCATACACCGAACCGAAGCTAAAAATAATTTAAAAAATGGATTGAGAAATGTCCTTTACGTCTCCAATGTGTCATCACAACCCTACTAATAGTTTGCATCGGAGCTTCAAAAGAAAAACAATAAAAATTGTAATTCCCAATTGTCCCCATTGGGGACAAATGGGAATTTATTTACAACTAGCTTTCCGCCCGCGGCTTCGCGCGCGTTGACTACATTATCTACATATTTTACGGGACCCTATTTTTTTCCAAAACAAAATTTAGCCTATGTTACTCGTAGATAATGTAGCTTTCGAATGGTGTAAGAATTTTTAAAAACGGTCCAGTAATTTTTGTGCCTATTCATTACAAACAAACAAAGTTGTCCTCTTTATAATATTAGTATAGAAAAATGTCCCAAATCGTATCCTAATTCAACAAATACGATTCAATGCTGTTAAAACGTTAAATGGGGCTATCGTTTAGCGCTCACCAGTTAGCGCCACTGTAGAGTAAGGTCCTGTCACTTGCTAGTAGCGAAGACAGTGGCACCAACTGGTGAGCGCTAAAGTGGTAGGAGGACTCGCATTTGCACTCATCAAGATGGCGTCACTGTAGAGTAAGGTCCTGTCAATCGCCAGGGGTGCCAACTGTTAAGTATAAAAACGATAGCCCTCATTATAATAACTTGTATTTCAGGAGCGGCCGCGGCCCCACAAATGTCCGTCTTGCGGCAAAGCGTTCTTGACGCTGCAGAATCTAGCGCAGCATGAGAAAACGCATTCTAGTGTCAAAGAGTTCGTCTGCAAGGTCTGCGGTGAGTGACCACGCTTTAGGCTTGTTCTTACTCGGACACTGAACGGATCGCTCCGAACTACACTCGCGAGCAAAAGTATGGAATCATCCCATTCGTTTTGAGTAATCTTTGTAGCTAAACGACTATGAAGATTAAATTAAAAATGGTACCAGTTTAAAGGTTACATTACAAACTTTAATTTGATACCATAGATGCATAAATAGTCATTGAGTTCTTCAGATCGTTGGGAACAAAACACAAGATGGTGATTCCATACTTTTGCTCGTAAGTATAGTACAATCGGTCAAATGAACTACACTGGTCATCACAAAAATCGTCCCACCTACGTTTTACAGGAAAACTCGTTTCTACTGACACAATCATGGTGCCCCAACAATATTGGTGTTATTTGAAAGCCCAATAAATATCCTTAAAGAAAAACACATTTAATTTCCTAATAAACGATTAACATATAAATAAATAAATAAATATCCTTGGACATTTTACACTGCGCTTCTAGTCCCAAACTAAGCAAAGCTTGTACTATGGGTACTAGATAACGGATATAAACATACTTAAATACTTTTTTTTTTGTAAATACATACATATTATAGATAGACAAGTTAGTATAGATATACAATAAATGTGACTTGAAAAACTTGAAAAAAGACCTCACTTTGGGCTCACCTCTGGGATCAATTAGACCAAATTTTATGGTTATAAAACCAAATAATGATCACACGTATCCTCTTTAACAGATGGATAGCGATTAATCCCAACTTAACAGTTTTATAGCCATAAAAGTTGGCTCAAGCGTAACTATCTATTTTTTGAAGAAGTGACTCTGGATCGTTCTAAAGAAACATTTTTGGGGTAAAAACCTTTCCTTTAATGAAATGAAGTTTAGAACTAGGCTTTCAAATGGTACCAATGTTGGTGGGAAGTGTGGATGCATACGTTTGATAAGTGCTTGTCGCGAGAGGTGCGATTTATTTGATGCCGAGTGTATTATAAGACATCATATGTAATACCTATTCTATGCAATAAATGTTTGAATTTGAATTTCCAGAGAAAGCGTTCTCAACACAGCATAACCTGGAAGTCCACGGCGTCATCCACTCGGGCCGGAAGCCGTTCTTCTGCTCCGTCTGCAGCAAGGCCTTCGCCAGGAAGCCCGAGGTCAAGGACCACATGAGGACGCACACGGGTTTGTGGAGAAACCATAAAGTTAACTATAGTCTGGTCCGTGAGCACGTAGAATTTTGTCCAATGACCCCAAGCTACCCATCCTTATCGCTCGCGCGTAATGAGGGCTATCGTTTTTATACTAAACAGTTGGCACCCCTGGCAGGACCTTACTCTACAGTGGCGCCATGTTGATGAGTGCAAATGCGATAGTCCTCCTACCACTTTAGCGCTCACCAGTTGGCGCCACTGTCTTCGCTACTAGCAAGTGACAGGACCTTACTCTACAGTGGCGCTAACTGTGTGCCTACCATGAGTTTACGTTAGGTGAGTTCGCTAGCGAATACGTCAAAAAATTCTATGAAGGTCTTATTTCTTGAAAGTAGCCACTAGGGGCGCTGCACAATATGTCATACATTTAAATGTCATTTTTTTACGCAGTCGCTAGCGAGCACACCTAACGTAAACTCATGGTAGGCACACTGGTGACTCTGGTGAGCGCTAAAACGATAGCCCTCATTATGTTGCTGTCGCGCTCGCACACTCACTGCGGGCGCGCGTCGCACAGTCGCGACAGCAATATAATAACGCGCGAGCGATAAGGATGGGTAGCTTGGGGTCATTGGACAAAATTCTCCGTGCTCACGGACCGGGCTTTAGTTTAATCAATTCTTTAGCAACGGCCATTAAATCAACCGTTGCCATACAAAAATTCTTACTATTTTTTGATCAAAACAAATATGACTGTGAACTGTACTGTGAGTAATTGAAGAAATGGAAAAAATCAAATGTTAGCGCGATTTAAAGTCTAACATCGCCATCTGTTGCACCCCGTCGGAAAACATTCAACTTGTACCGTATTTTTTATTAATTTTATTTTTTTATCGTCCCTTTTGTTTTAATTTTAGGCCGTTTAGTAAGGAGATAGAAATTGGGTATTTGCCAACATTCCTCAATAATTCAAAAACAACTTTTTTTTAAAAGGCACTATTTTAAAGACCAAAACTATGGTCTTAAAATTACCTGTAAATTAAGATTTTTGATTGTATTGTAATAAAAAAGTAGTTTAATTGATTTGACAAAATAGTGACGACACTGGCTAGTAATTCCATACAAAATCTATGAGTCTCGTTTTGACAGTTTTAAAAAGTACGTCAATTTGATTGGTGGTGGCAAATACCCTATTAGAGTATTCAGGCTGAGTTGCTTTAACCGTAACTATAACAGTAACCGGTGTTTTTTGTATGGAGTTAGACATATTTCTGATATTTGTTAAAGTAAGATGGTTCAAACTTCAAATTAACCTTAAAATTCTGCATGCCACTTGCTAGTTAAAGCATGAGCTTTTCAAGTAAAATGTTTTCGGACGTGTCGCCAACAGATGGCGCTGTACGACTTTCAATCGCGCTAACATTTGATTTTTTCCATTCTTTCAATAAATCACTTGGTAGTCTGTTAGTTAAATCAATAATTCTTCAAATTTTTGTATGGCAACGGTTGATTTTGTTGACGTTGCTATCGGAATAGACTATGTTTAATATTTATACATAATTATTGCTATCGGAATAGACTATGTTTAATATTTATACATAATTATAATTATTACATAGGGTGGAATTTTGTAATGCCATCTGGAGGGAAAGTACTCTTAATATTGTAAACATATTTTTTTTTCTCAAAGAAAAGATTCCTTTATTTTTTAAAAGATTTAGAACTGCATTCAAAGATTTCCAAAAATTAGCTTGCCACACCCGGGAATCGAGTCAACTAAAACCTGTTAAAAATTACACCCTGTATTTTTATGGCATCGATCGTTAGGGTTAAGTATAAGGAAGAAATCTCCCTAACAATCTTCATAAATCTAATGAAAGGAAAACCATGAGATCTTAAATTATTTTAATTTTGGTATGGTGGAGAATTTTCTAAAATCTTTGAATGCAGTTAGTTCTCTTTCTTTTAAAAAATAAAGGAATATTTTCTTTCAGTAAAATTTTCTATCTACAGTATTAAGAGTACTTTCCCTCCAGGTGGCCTTACAAAATTTCACCCTGTATATTGCCCTCTTATGACAAAAAATGAAAAAATAATACACTTGTTGATCGACGTAAGTAAAGGTTGTGGTAAAGGCTTAAAATGCAATGCGAAAGTTTGTGTAGATGTAATGTAATGTTTGGTACTCTTCACGCTAAAACCACTGGATAGATTTTGATGAATGAAGTATTATTTTATTTTGTCCAAAATAACATATTACAGGCTATAATTTATTGTTCCTTTATTTCATTTTAAAAACATAATTTTAGAAAACTTTCTAAATTATCACAAAAAAATTGGATACCACCGGTTTCGGGGCAGATATGTGACAAACTAAATTTTACGCGGGCAAAGTCGCGGGCAAAACCTAGTACAACAAAACCAGTAGTGCACGTGCTATCGGTTGGCTGCTTTTTGCAGCTTGCCTTAGCACCTTAGTAAATGTTGTCGCACGCGGCTCAACAGATGGCGTTGTACGTATTTAAATCGCGCTAACATTTATTTTTTTCCATTTCTTCATATACCAATCTAGTGAAGTAATGAAGTGAATGAATAAGCTAAAATTTTCAAGAATTTTTGAATGGCAATGGTTATTTTTGACGTTGCCTACGAAATTATATCATAATCACAGAATAAGTAATAGTACAGCCCCCCTAGACAAAACGCACTTTTTGATCAAATCGAATCCGTCAAAACTCCATACAAAAAAGGGGCTTTTCGACCACTTTTCGACTGGTTTGCGATTATAATTTGCACTTTGTCTAGACCCACAGGTACAGAAGGATTACTCCGCAAGACGATTTAAATAAATGCGAGTCTTGCTGTGACGCGATACAGTGGAATTCAGCTCGCACAGCACTAAGTACCTACAAATTTATTCACCTACAAGTTTTGTCTCTTTCTATCGCGTGCCTCTGAACTCTTCTTACGTTGTTAGGGTTGCTGTCTAGTGAAAAATTAATTAATCTACTTATATGTAATGAGGTACGTATGTAGGTAAGTACGCATTCATTATGGAAAACCTTGGGAGAGGCCTTTGTCCAGCTGTGGACGTCATTTGGCTGAAACGAACGAACGCATTCTGAGCAGTAGTCATGGTAGGTTAGGTTCCTATACTATCCTAAGAATTATTGATTACCTACATGGCCAACATACCTTTCAGCATCTTTGGGAAGCGAAAAAAAATATAAATCCGGTGTAGATTTCTTTTCGAATTTAAACACCCGAACTCCGCACAATATTTATTTCTCTTTATGTCCATTTTTAAATAATACTTTGATCATAGAATTAGGTACTTAGTACTTAGGGCGCTTCGCTGTAGGTAATTATCGGATGTACCGCGCGGAGTGAGCCAGGCCTGCCGCGACTTCGTCCGCGTGGAATAATGACTTTGGATCATGCATTTTAATAATTTAGTCTAATTATTTTACAAATAGCTTTTGCCCGCGACTTCGTCCGCGTAGAAGTCGAAAACGTTCTCATAGGATTTTAAATGGTTTTTATTAGAGATGCACCGAATGTAGATTAAACCGAATACGAATGTTCGGCCGAATATTCGGTTCAAAATGTACCGAACCGAATATTCGGCCGAATCATTCGGTTCAAATTTGATTAAAACTTAAATTACCAACTAATGTTGACTCTTAAAGTTACTATAAATTTGTTTTTTAATTTCATTTGTGAACGGATGATATAATTTGTTTATTGTTGATTTTAAAGAATTTTATTTGACTTACATTGAATTAAAACTACAAATAGTTATAACAATTCCTAGTTCACCATTCACTAGCATACCTACATTCCTAGATAGATATTTATTTAAAAAAACTTATTTGATTTTATAAACATATTTGAATACTTGTGTTGGTTCCTTAAGATAGTAGTTATTACATTACAACTATTCTAAAAAAAGTTTTCTGAAAATAGTTGTTTGTTACTCAAAGCAGTTTTGGCAGTGTCCTTAAATTTTTCAATTTCATAAAAAATAAATTTATCTTTTTATTTCACAATAAATAATTGGTACAAGTAGTGTCTGGTTCATTTTCAAAAACTATAAAATACTTTCGCTATAAACCACACTTATTTAGTAATTAGTTAACCAAACTGTTTAATTAAATATTATTTTTTTAATTGTTTAACAATACTTTTAATATTCGGTAATTATTCGGCAATTCAACCGAACATTCGGCCGAATACGAACATGAAAAAAATATGCCGAATGTACCGAATACGAATATTCAACCGAACATTCGGTGCATCTCTACGGCCATGTTTATTTGTTTACATTATTATTTGATCAGTTTGTTGCGATGTTTTGTTGTTCGACGTTCTGGATAATTAGATATTCAAATAGCTAAGTAATACAATGACATTATGGTGTTGAGTGGTGTTGGTGCAATAGGACTTTGTGATTTCTTTAGTGTGATGAACGATTGATGTCCGGGAGACCTTCCGTTCCACGATACCTTGTGTCATAATGTTTTCGCGGGTGGGGTGGGTGAATCGACACCACCATACCACCGAAGGGAGACCCGGAGATCACGTTCTTGAAAATAGGATTTCACTACAAGTACCTACCCGGTCACTTGAAAGCGTGGGAAGGTAAATAAGTGAGTGGATGGATGTGATAATGTGTTGCGATTCGTTTTGTGAATTGGAGTGAAGTGTTACCCCCTGAATATCTTGGATTGCTTGCAGAGTCAATAAAAAGAGGTAAGTGAAGAATTGGTTCAAAAGTAATAATAAAAGTGGGCGGTGCCGACTCGCGTCAAAATTTGTGAATGAAATACCGTTTGACCACGTTTGACCTAGGAGGGAGTTGCGCGATCGTAGGGCTGTCCAAAAATTAAAATAATAATAATTTATTTAGTTTTGTATGGGAAAATATTATTTATTAAATATTACGATATCCACTTTCTGACACCACTATAGTATTTATATGAGTATGTTAACATGGGCTAGTCTCGGCTCATATACCCATTTACCTAACACTCTGTATAATGTATGTATACTTTGTTTTTTTTTTAAATACATAAATATTATACATAGTCACACCCAGACCCGTCACAGAAATTAAAATTCATCATTTCAATTTCTGCCCGGCCGGGAATCGAACCCGGGACCTCTCGGCATAGTAGTCCGTTCTGAACCACTACACCAAACGGCCGACAAATGTAAATGTTTGAATACTTATATAATTTTATACCACCGGTTTCGGGGAAGGGTCCCACAAGCAACCAGTGGTCGGGGTCATAGCCACCGGTGGTCAGGGTCATTAAAAATGTTGTACTATAAGCAAACTTAATGCCTTATGGAATTCTATCCCAGTCCACCATTGGGCCAAGCAGTACTATACCCGGCGATAAATATTGCACGTCGACCTTTAGAAAGAGACAACCGGCTAATTTCGGTTTCGTTATCACTGTCGCACTTGAACAATGACTGACAATGACGTTTTGTCAAAGTGTATAAACAAACTTTATTTTAAATGTGTGTAATTGATTTTGTGAATTAAATTTCTAAAAACTTTTTATAGTCGTGAAAGAAAAGTGGTTTAAAATGTGTTAAAGTATTTGTCGAAGAGAAATACTAAGAGTTCGGACAATATTTTCATTGAATAATGTTTTGTCAATGACGTTTTGTCAATCGTATAGGTAGTGTGCGACAGAGATAACGCTCTACGAGCCGAAATTAACCGATTCTCTTTCCAAAGGTCGATGTGCAATATTTATTGCCGGGTACTGTAAATTTGAGTTTGCGGTGCAAAAATAATTAAAATGTACTTTACAGTAAGATAGAATTTTTAAGGATATGTGATATGTGACGCGGGCAAAGTCGCGGGAAAAACCTAGTACAACAAAACCAGTCCGTGCTATCGGTTGGCTGCTTTTTGCAGCTTGCCTTAGCACCTTAGTAAATGTTGTCGCACGCGGTTCAACAGATGGCGTTGTACGTATTTAAATCGCGCTAACATTTATTTTTTTCCATTTCTTCATATACCAATCTAATATGAAGCTGTGTTGCGACGGAAGTGAATGAGGAGCTAAATTTCTCAAGAATTTTTGAATGGCAACGGTTATTTTTGACGTTGCCTACGAAATTATATCACAGAATGAAGTTTAGGTTATGTATGGTAGGTACTAACTACGTACAGAAAGTTTTCTTTGCGAATTTATTTTAAAAAATGTGCACTGATCGTCGTCATCAATATGGTGTAATTTATCGAGCGGCAGCCGGAGCAATAGGGCTGACTGCTACAGAAGCTACTATTTTTTCTTTTTTCCAAAATGAATATTTTTTTACAATAGGTGAAGATTACTCGCGCATTCTTCACCCATTTAAAAAAACACTGGAAATAAAAAAAATACGCTTAGGGTGCGCGATAGCAACACAGTAAGCTTCAAGAAGCTTACTGTGTCTTACTTAGTCATATCAGTCATATCAGTTCGGCACTGTGTACCTACCATGAGTTTACGTCAGGTGTGCTCGCTAGCGAGTACGTCAAAAATCTCTATGAAGATTTTGTTTCTTGAAAGTAGCCGCTAGGGGCGCTGCACAATATGTCATACATTTAAATGTCATTTTTTTACGCAGTCGCTAGCGAGCTCACCTAACGTAAACTCATGGTAGGCACACTGTGCACAGTACCGATCACTGACATAAGTCAAACGAAACGGTGCTCGAATCTTGTAGAAAACTTTCTATGCGTAGTACTTATTATTATTGTGTCGTGGTTTAATTATAAATCCTTCAGTCTTGTTGATTGTCCTCATTTTTTTTAAAAAATTATTAGCAATTTGTATTGCACAAATTACTAATAGTCCCGTTAGCCCCTCATGTTAAGCTAAATAAGCTTGTGTTACGAGTGGGCTCACCACAATAGTCGAGCGGCGGTGGGATTCGAACCCGCGTTCCTCGGATCTCGAGTCGGCCAGTCCGACCCATTCACCGTTGGGCTATCGTGGCCAATTTTTAGGGTTCCATAGCCAAATGGCAAAAATGGAGCCCTTATAGATTCGTCATGTCTGTCTGTCTGTCCGTCCGTCCGTCTGTCCGTCCCTATGTCACAGCTATTTTTTTCCGATACTATAAGAGCTATACTATTTAAACTTGGTAAGTAGATGTATTCTGTGAAAATAAATAATAATAAATATGGGGGGCTCCCCATACTTAGTTAGAACTGAAACTCAATTTTTTTTATCGTCAAACACATACGTGTGGTGTATCAATGGATAGGTCTTCAAAAATTATATCGAGGTTTTAAAATACTTTTTTTCTAAACCGAATAGTTTGCGTGACAGACGATTCCAAAGTGGAAAAAAGTTGGTCCCCCCCCCTCTAACTTCTAAAATAAGAAAATGAAAGATCTAAAAAAAACATATGATGTACCTACATTACTATAAAATCTACCAACGAAAATTGTTTTGAACGAGATCTAGTAAGTAGTTTCTTTTTAATACCTCGTAAATCGTAAACCGCTTATTACCGCGTAATCTTTCATACTAATAACTGAGTATTTCTCAAAAAAAATGTACGTAACGAAACGGTAGTAACGAAATAGTAAGGCTATAAGGCTTGTTATACATTGGCGAAATATTATGAATGCTCTTCATTTATACAATTCGAAATATTTGTAAGTATGCACCCAAATACGGGGTAATATTAAGGGGTTAGAAATAAAATAAGGGAGTAATCATTCATACTATTTTAATAAAATTATTTTTGTTCTATCATGTTTATCCATTTTGAGTCGTTCTCTGTAAGCTTTTTGCCTTTCGGCATTGGTTTTTGGCGGCATTCCTAAAAAAACAAAAGAAGTGTTCACATAAAAACGTAATCTAAATGATTTGAAAATTTTTGCTGGTGGCACTTCTGTAAAGCAGATAGTATCCAATCCTTTTGTTATTAACGCTCTATATTTTTTGAAATAAATTAAGTAGTGAATATTACTATGCTTAGTCAGGTAATAACAGTATACACTCAGCATTATGTTGTACTTTTTCGTAACGTAACGAAATTCGTAAAAAACGTAACGAAATATTAGACAAAATGAGATCAGAAGATGACAAGGGTGGAAACAACCTACGATTCATGTTGTTTATTTACGTGCAATATGTGGGCATATTATAAAAGTGGAATGCCGAGTTGTATTTCTAAAACTTGTTCTATTATTTTATACTATTTGGCTGCGACTCGGCGTGACGACAATACAAAACATTTTTCGCGAATCGGTGTTCATACATTCACACAATACATTAGACGCCATGTTGTCATAAACGACATATTATAAAATCGCTGTGATTTAATATTCTTAATCATTAATTTTATGGCAAGTGTCCATCAGGAATCATTGTTCTTACACACAGAATCGTATTATTTCGCTTTCGGGTAGTAATATGTCAAAATTGTTGGTTCTTAGGCGAACAATGTATGGAGAACGAACATTGTCCTTTCATCCCCACTTTACATGTAGGAAAGCTACTCTAAAAATTTTTTTTTTTTTTTTTTTTTTCAAAATATTATTCTACCGTTTTGTCGGCGTAATCAGTATACATACTTCCACAAAATTACAGCTCTCTAATGCTAGTAGTTTCCAAGCAAAACCTCGGACAGACAGACAGTCAGACATATCGAAACTACACTCGCGAGCAAAAATATGGAATCACCCTATTTGTTTCGAGCGATCACAAAAACTAAATGACTAATAGAAGACAAATAAAAATGGTACCATTTTAAAGGTAATATTATAAACTTTAAATTGATACCACAGATACATGCATAGTCATTCAGTTCTTAAGATCGCTCGGAACAAAACACAAGTTGGTGATTCCATATTTTTGCTCGTAAGTATATGAGGGTTCCTAGTCAGGACTACGCGACGGAACCCTAAAAATGTGATTTGATTTTGTATGATATATTCCAGGTTACTGGACTACCACACCAAAGCGGCTCACACGGGCGAGCGTCCGCTCAGCTGCTCGGTGTGTCGCGCCACATTCGTGTATCCCGAACACTATAAAAAACACCTCAAAATACACAACGGGGAGAAACCTTACGCTTGCGAGGTAACTAACTATAGTCTGGTCCGTGAGCACGTAGAACTTTGTCCAATGACCCCAAGCTACCCATCCTTATCGCTCGCGCGTAATTATATTGCTGTCGCGACTGTGCGACGCGCGCCCGCAGTGAGTGTGCGAGCGCAACAGCAACATAATTACGCGCGAGCGATAAGGATGGGTAGCTTGGGGTCACTGGACAAAATTCTACGTGCTCACGGACCGGGCTTTTGCAGGGATATTATGGATATCCGTAACCGTAACCGAAACTTTCGGATATCCGAAATAAAAAAATATCCGAAACCGTATCCGATTCAAGTTTCAAAGGCATAACAGCCTGATTTACCTTTATAATGCCATGTATAGTCTGGTCCGGGAGCACGTAGAATTTTGTCCAATGACCCCAAGCTACCCATCCTTATCGCTCGCGCGTAATTATATTGCTGTCACGCTCGCACACTCACTGCGGGCGCCCGTCGCACAGTCGCGATTTTTATTTTTTAATACTTTTTATTAGATGTAAAGTGTGCGTTCATGAATGAATGAATGATAGGTAATTACAAATACGAATACCTACTTTTTTTAATTTTGTCACGCACGTGTGTGTCTCCGAACACTACAACTTTTAAAACAATGTAAGCCGCAGGACCCTCGGAATCCATTTATTTTCGAAATAAATACGCACAAGTATCACAAATCGTTCTCGGTTCGAATTGCAAGGCCGCTGTATAGCCACAACGACACGACGGGAAAACCCCGGTCAATATTATAACAAAGTAGGTAAGTAAATTCTCTTTTGGAATTTGACAGTCAATAGCAGGTCGATTGTACAAAATTATTATTTTGTTTTGTGATTAGTTACCAAGTAAAGTGATACAATAACAAAAAAAAGCCATTTGTAAATTTTAATTACTAAAACATTAACCATAATAAGAGTTTTTCATGACTATGTAGAGATATTCGTATTCGTATTCGCCGAATAGTAGATTTAACATTCGTATTCGTAAAAGTAGTATTCGTTGCTTCACTAGTTATTTATTTATTTATTTTAGGGCTGATTTTTCAATTGTTGGTTAAGTTTTAACTGAAGAATAGAACTGTCATTTTGACTTATTTCCCATACTAAAACTGTCAATATGCCAAACTTATTCTTCAGTTAAAAGTTATCCAGCTATTGAAAAATCAGGCCCTATTTATTTTAAACTTTAGCACACATAGAGACAATGCACTGTGGCGGACTTAATGACTTTTTAATAAAGAAAGAGAAAAGAAAGAAAGAAAAAACATTTATTTGGTACCAGAGTATGTAGAGATATTCGTATTCGCCGAATAGTTGATTTAACATTCGTATTCGTAAAAGTAGTATTCGTTGCTTCACTAGTTATTTATTTATTTATTTTATTTATTTTAAAATTTAGCACACATAGAGACAATGCACTGTGGCGGTCTTAATGACTTTTTAATAAAGAAAGAAAGAAAAAACATTGTTGCGGCCCTACTCGCGCCTCGTCATATTCTAATAGCAAAATCTACTTCTAATGTAAATGTCACATAACTTTTGTCAGTCAATACTTTATATTGAGAACCATTGTATAAAATCACTTCTCCTTTGGATTCCGATCGAACAACATCAAAATTGTAACGTCTCAAGAATACAACGAAATAAGCAGTTTCCGAGTTTTATTTATAAAATTCCATCGCGTCTGCAAGGCGCGAACAAACATTTATTTGGTACCAAAAAAATAAGACGTTGATTTTTTTTACAGGTGTGCGGCAAAACGTTCACCTCGCGCGACAATCGCAACACTCACCGCTTCGTCCATAGCGACAAGAAGCCTTACGAGTGTCTATCCTGCGGCGCCGGATACATGCGCAAGCAGCTGCTCTATGCGCACATGCACACTACGGTAACACTTCCCCCTTATCATGGTAACAAGTCCCCCTTGCCGTGGTAACAAGTCCCCCTTGCTGTGGTAACAACTAACAAGCGACAAGAAACCCTACGAGTGTCTCTCCTGCGGCGCCGGGTACATGCGAAAGCAGCTTCTCTATGCGCATATGCACACTACGGTAACACTTCCCCCTTATCATGGTAACAAGTCCCCCTTGCCGTGGTAACAAGTCCCCCTTGCCGTGGTAACAAGTTCCCCTTGCCGTGGTAACAAGTCCCCCTTGCTATGGTAACATCCTTTTATTAAGGTAAAACTACCTCCACACTATGGTAACACTTCCCCCTTATCATGGTAATAAGTCCCCCTTGCTATGGTAACATCCTTTTATTAAGGTAAAACTACCTCGACACTATGGTAACACTTCCCCCTTATCATGGTAACACTTCCCCCGTATAATGGTAACACTTCCCCCGTATAATGGTAACACTTCTCCCGTATCATGGTAACAAGTCCCCCTTACAGTGGTAACACAACTCCAACGTCACGGTAACACGTTCTCTACACCATAGTAACACAACCCCCACACCACGTTAACACGCCCAAACTTTGGTAACACGCTCTCCACACTACGATAACACGACCTCCACACCATGGTAACGAGTCTTCCTCACCACTGTATCACCCCCAACACATCATCAGAAGTTATAATAGTGCCTAGATACGACACTACTTTAAAAGCGTTTTTATTAAATTATTTCTGTCAGTTGTATTCTTAATTAATTAAAATACATGAAAAGACACAAACCATTAATTGTCATTATCTCATTGCAGGGTCACGTCGCTGAATCGATAGTAGTAAATCAACCGAGAGTTATCAAGGCAACAGAAAATGTAAGTTATTCCACATGTTTCTATCAAAAAGATATCCAAATGCTTTTATGTATATTCAAAAATCTGTTTTGTCTGTAATTTCTTCCTACATCACAGTGGATATTAGATAAAAAACAAATTATAACTTTGTACATTTTACTTTGTACTTGGGGGAGGCCTTTGTCCAGCAGTGGACGTCATTTAGCTGAAAACGAAACATTTTAAAGCCTGTAAACCTTAGAAAAAGAGGCTGACAATTATAGTGACTGAGTTTCTTGCGCTGCTTCTTCTCAGCACTGGCCCATTTATTGTCCTGAAGCAGTGCTAGGGTTAATACTGGGACGTGTAAAAGTGCTTTTTTTAAAAGCCTATTTACAGAAATAAATTAGTTTTATGAGTTTTTTATTCAAATGAAATGTATTCGTCAACAAATACATTTTGTTTTAGGGTATCGTCGTAACACCGTTGATGGACGTGAACGGTGTAGAAATTAAAACAGACAAAATGGCGAACGCTGTGAGTTGGTCGCGTTTTTTAAATAAGACGTTTTGAACCGGACGTCCGATTGCAGGACCGCACAGAGAAAATGACAACTGCTTTGGAATAAAAATTACAATAGTTCTAGTGCTTATTGCTCAGTTAGTGCCTGAGCGCACTAAATTTGACATATTATGATGTGACATTGACATATTATGACGTGAAATTGACATATTATGACGTGACATTGACATATTATGAAGTGACATTGACATATTATGACGTGCTATTGACATAATAATGACGTGACAACATATAAATCTGAAACATTGGCGAACGTGGAAACACAATAGCCATAGAGAAGAAGAAGAAACATATTTGATATCTCGCTGACGATTGACATCTCAAAAACACCCTCCCGTACCGGTCCTCAGGCACTGACTGATTTAAGTGCTAAAGCGCGGTCTGCGAGCACGTAGAATTTTGTCCAATGACCCCAAGCTACCCATCCTTATCGCTCGCGCGTAATTATATTGCTGTCGCGACTGTGCGACGGGCGCCCGCAGTGAGTGTGCGAGCGCGACAGCAACATAATTACGCGCGAGCGATAAGGATGGGTAACTTGGGGTCATTGGACAAAATTCTACGTGCTCGCAGACCAGACTAAAGACCTATGTGTAATGCGGTCTTGCAAACGCATAACAGACGTTCGGCTCAAAATGTCTTATTTGAAAGAGCCGTTATAGATAACTAGTAGCTATTATTAGAGGCCGGTAGATCTATTATCATCCTACTAATATTATAAATGCGAAAGTTTGGATGTCTGGATGTTTGTTGCTCTTTCACGCAAAAACTACTGAATGGATTTTATTGAAACTACAGTATTATTGTTTGTAACCCAGATTAACTTATAGGCTATAATTTATGCCGATCTGTGTCACTAAATTTCACGCGGGTGAAGCCACGGGCAAAAGCTAGTCATAAATAAAACACTGGGTACTTAACTTTCACATTAAATTGTCTCATTTTAAATACAATTCATTACAAACGTAGCACAGAAGCGCGCGGAGTTGTCTAATCTGACGTTTCTAGTATATATTGACATTACGTCAATGTCACTATGACAGCAGCTCAATGATTATAACGATAACCGTTATTTTAACGTTTTAGATTTTTCACAATTAACATTTTGTTACTGGTAACATTCCCCGAAACAATTTAAGCCATTATACGTCCCACTGTTGGGCCCAGGCCCAGTCAAAATGTACCTGTATACAAAACTATAATAACCTGATACTGACCTGTCCTATTTTCTTTTAAAGTTTCTAGTTACTAAACAGCCGTGTACTGAAATAAGAAATGTTATATAATAATTTTCTTTCCAGATATTTGAAACAACACAGGAGCTGGAAATGAATCAAACCGATGCCGATGTCAATACAGTGGGTTAGTATCATCATAAAATTATAAAATAAATAACATAATATATTTATACAAGCGAAAGGTCACTAATTAACTCACTGACTGACTCACTCATCACAAAATCTCAGAAACTACAAGTGCTAGGAGTCTAAAATTTGCATGGGGGTTCCTTTTAGAACGTAGGTGCTCACTACGACGGGATTTTGCAAAATTCAACACCTAAGAGGGTAAAACGGATTCACGCGTACGAAGTCGCGGGCGGCCGCTAGTTTTAGTATAAAATTATGTAAAAAAGAAAATTGAGAAGATTATAGGGCAATAAATAAAAAAATAAAAAAAATATATTTACTGCTAATCAATTTAAATACATACGGGACTATTCCCACCTCTCGTTCCCACCGCTGCAACTCCTGTGTAGCCAGGATCTACAGCTTGACCGCCAATAACCCAACCAGTGAAGGTCAAGTGTGGCCCGGTGTTAAATACATCAGATGCACAGTATTAAAATTATTTCGTCTTTTCAGAAACCACTATGAGTCTAGTCCAAGCGAGCAATGAAGCCACATTCTACACCATAGGTCAGTATTCTTTTGAAATATTATCTAAGGCTGGGTCGCACCACCAAACTCCATAATCACCGGTTATAGTTAAGATGGTGCAACTGAGGTTAACAATCAATTTGTTAATCATCATCATCATTTTAGTCACAGGACGACCACTGCTGAACATAGGCTTCCCCCAATGCTTTCCATGTTGCCCGGTTGGTAGCGGCCTGCATCCAGCGCCTTCCTGCTACCTTTATCAGGTCGTCGGTCCACCTTGTGAGTGGACGTCCCACGCTGCGTTTTCCGGTACGCGGCCTCCACTCCAGAACCTTGCTGCCCCATCGGCCGTCAGTTCTGCGTACTATGTGCCCTGCCCATTGCCACTTCGGCTTGCTAATCCGTCGGGCTATGTCAGCGACTTTAGTTCTAGTTTAGTTAAAGCCTGGTCCGTGAGCACGTAGAATCCCGTCCAATGACCCCTAGCTACCCATCCCTATCGCTCGCGCGTAATAATGTTGCTGTCGCGCTCGTACGTGCTCACGGACCAGGCTTTAGTAATAATTTGTTAATAGTGACTGATCATTTATTTAGTTTTTGCAATGTAACTTAATTATAAGCAAAATTGGCTATACGACAAGACATTTCACAAAAAATCCTGTCGAATAGGCAATTTGTAAGCACATGTCAACATCATCATCTTTTCAGCCACAGGACGTCCACCATTATTAATTTAATGTTGACTCAACATGTGATATCTCTTATAACTGTGTAAATCTTTTTGTTTCAGAAAATTTTGAGGGATTAATAGAAAACAGCTCGGAGGACCAAAGAGAAGTAAGAATCTTAACAGAGTAAATACATATGAGTAGGTCATCTTCATAGAAACGCACGGGCGCGGTTTGTATGTGAGCGCGCCAATACGTATGCGGCGCGCACGCACACACTGACAAAATTTAGCGGGGAGTTGCGCCGCTCACATACAGACCGCGCTCGGTGCGTTTCTATGAAGATGACCTACTCATTTGTATTTACTCTGATCTTAATTAAACTGATGAATGTACACTTGAAACTGTTTTTATCACATTTAACGCTACTGATAAACAGCGCCATCTACCAAGACAATCGATACAATATCGATGGCTTTTAACATCACAGTTTATCATAGTGCTTGCAAGTAGTAAAAACAATATTGTTCTCTTGGTGCACTGACTCTGGTCACAGTAATAAACCGAGTAGGGATGTTATGGATATGTAGTTTCGGTTATGGATACGGTTACGGATATCTGTGCTTTTTTTTTTTTTTTTTTTGCAATAGTTAATGCAATTTGCAATAGTTGTTCAACACGGTTCATTCATGGCCGTACACTTGGCATTATAAAGGTAAATCAGGCATAACATGCCTTTACATACAGTGTGAGTCACGTTAAAGTGTACATATGAAAATAGATGAAACTAGACCTATTTTTATCGACAAAAAAGAGGCCAAAAAATTTTTGAGATTTTTTTTTAATTTTTCACAGAATTTTTTTCTTCCAATTACTTATAGTAAAGAAAACGTAATAACTTTTAAACTAAGCGGTATATCCTGATAAAATAAAAACAGTAATAATGCTAATTAACAGGCGATACTAAAAAAATACATAAAATACAAAAAAAAGGCCAACAAATAATAAAAATGATACTTTTTGAAAAAAATCTGCTTAAAAATTCGTGTTTTTTTGGTTATTTGATAAATTTCTCCAAAAAATGCCCCTATAACCGGTGGTTTTTACGACTTTGTATTATTCTCTATCGTATTACCTTCGTAAAACCAAAAATCGCATGTCTCTATCCCTATCACAACATTTGCAATGATCGTTTGAACTAAGTCTCTCCGGGTGCGCTATTCAACGCTTCGTTAACAACGAAACTGAAAATGGCTCTAGATTTGTAATTTAGATAAAGACAAGTTTAATTTCAAATAAAAACAAAAGATTTCGAAGTAAAATCAGCATTTTAGTTAAAATTAAAATTTTCTCTACCTGCAGCGGAGAATAATGTTGTGGCAGGCCTTTGTTCAAACGCTCATAGCAAATGTTGTGATAGGGATAGAGACATGCGATTTTTGGTTTTACAAAGATAATACGATAGAGAATAATACAAAGTAATAAAAAACACCTGTTATAGGGGCATTTTTTGGAGAAATTTATCAAATAAACAAAAAAACACGAATTTAAAAGCAGATTTTTTTCAAAAAGTATCATTTTTTATTATTTGTTGGCCTTTTTTTGTGTATTTCATGTATTTTTTTAGTATTGCCTGTTATTTAGCATTATTACTGTTTTTATTTTATCAAGATATACCGCCTAGTTTAAAAGTTATTACGTTTTCTTTACAATAAGTAATTGGAAGAAAAAAAATTCTATAAAAAATTAAAAACAAAACTCAAAAAAATTTTGGCCTCTTTTTTGTCGATAAAAATAGGTCTAGTTTCATCTATTTTCATATGTACACTTTAACGTGACTCACACTGTATAATGCTATACAAAACAAAAATTTAAACTGCCTACATCCGAAACTATCCGAAACTTTTGAATCGGTTCCGGTTTCGGTTTCGGATATTTTTTATTTCGGATATCCGAAAGTTTCGGTTACAGTTACGGATATCCATAACATCCCTGAAACCGAGTACACCATAAATTAAACCTTATTTTTTCATTTTCAGATTTTAACCACCGATGCCAAAGGAGACATAATGAGACTGATACAAGTGCAGTTGCCAGACGGAAAAACTGGTTGGGTTGCCATAGACCAATGAAAAAAGTGCTCATTATCTATAAAAGTTTTTATCAGATTAGAAATCTGTAATATTAGGTTTAAAGTTGTCTCCTAAATCAGAGCTGTGTTAGTTTTTAATAATAACTAAAGTTAAGCAACTTATATTGTGGTTAAAAATGGATGGTTCACCATTTGGCATTTATATTATACTTAACTATGTATGAAAATATTTGTGTTATGATTACAATAACACTGCTGGAAACGAACCCGCAAACTTGGCTGGTGTTTCGTAGTTCAGCATCGAGCCACTAGGTAATTAGTATTTTATTTTGTAGGTTGCCATCTTTAAATACAATAATAGCACAAAATTATTTTAAGTCTCTGAAGTCATTTTTTTAAAAATAAAATAAGCATAAGGTTATGATAATTTAAGCAATACTACTCGACTGAACTCGTTGTTTATAATATTGCATAAATTAGTATTGTACTTTTTACTGCCTGGATGTATTTTAAAATACCTTATTTACATTGTTTTATTATAAATGTCTTTAGAGTGATGAAATCAGTTTTTTTTATTATTTCTACTATTCTCCACACTTATTTACATAAACGATAAAAGATTTTATATAATATTATTCTATGATTTTACTTCTTCTCAATAAAACATAACTTCTATTTACATCACAAGTAATAAGTACGTAACATGCTTTCGAATAAAATTAAGGTATGCTAAGAATAATTACTTATGTAAATTATTATTACTGATGTACATTTTTTAATTTGTCTGTACATTGTGTAAATATACACAAACATTCTTTTCATAAACCATTTAATGGCTTTCCTGTGTTTTTATTTTTATAGCAATTAGTCCCATGTAGGAAATTATATTCAAACTAGCTTTTGACCACGGCTTCGCCCCCGTGAGTAAAGGATAAATCAAATGAGGGTTTTCGCGATTGAAAAATCCGCCAGATGGCAATACGTAGACGTGAGGTCCAAATGCTGCATGATTGGTTATTTTTGACAAGACATTGACAAATATGTCAAAATCCACCAATCATGCAGCATTTGGACCTCGCGTCTACTTATTGCCATCTGGCGGATTTTTCAATCGCGAAAACCCTCATTGAAACGCCACTCGGTGGTGGTGACACCACAATCGCCACTTGCAAATGGTAGATGGTGTGATTCAAAACCATACGATGATTTCAAGTCTTGGACTTGTAACAAAGGGAAGAAGGGAGACAGAAAGCACTTGTCGTGTTGATCGCCTAAACTGAACTCTCGCTGCTTATACAACTTATGAAAAAACTCGCCAAGTGCAAGTCGGATTCGCGTACATACATAGGGTTCCGTAGGACAATGTGATTGTTGTAATGGGAACTATGGGAGCCCCCCTTTTTAGGGGGTTTATTTTATTTGAATTTCATTATTTATTTTGAAGTAAATATACAATTAAATATGTGTTCTGTGAATTTAAATATTTTCTCATTAATATTTGGGTACGGAACCCTAAAAATTGGTTTCACCATTGGACTTTTGGTATGTTCTAAAAATAACGTTATTCGTTATTTTACCCCATGGCAACATTGATGCGTAATGTCAAACTTTTATGACATATGCGTCACTGTCACAGTCAGCTGTCAGCCGAATCCGCAAATAGGCCATTTTGATCATTCCAGTTTTTCCAAGATGAATTTTATTATAATTATTGATTTTTAGCACAAAGACTTCACGTTATACGTGGAGATATTGGTATCTGAGAGAGCACGCTATCTAACAAATATGTAATTAATAACTTTTTGTTGTAATTTGTGGTGATAAAAACAATTTTAGTGATAAGTCGGTAAGTTTTATCGTAAAAATGACGTATTATTTTGTAATAGCGCTCGTAAAAGCGCGATTAACCTTCAGCCTTCACCGCCAAGTCAGCTTTGATGATTACTAATGTAGGTAAATAAGTTATTGTAATGTAATCCAACATCTTGTTATTGACATATTGATGTGATTGCGATACTTCGAAACGATATTTACTACTTACGATTTATGTTCGTACAAGTAACTGTAAATTGAATTTCTATTCGTGTGTACGGTTTATCGTTCATCTGTATGAAAATGGATGGAATTCGTATACTTATAGAAAGTAAAACAAGTTGCAATTTGATATAAACTTCTTTCCTGGGTTGAGTGGGTTCATTAGCCCTAGAATATTTCTTAATAATTATAGTTTTTTAATAATGGATATTCAAGATCGAAAAGAAGATAAAAACCACTAATTACGGTACCTACCTTGGTTACATTTTGTTATTATTTGTCTCGTATTATGCAAGCTGCAATGTTTTCTTAATTTAACTCTAAAATCCATATAAAAGATTTGAATTCACGGAATTTTATATTAAAATAAATATATTCAACTTTCAGCTTACAATACAAAATGGTGTCCGTAAAAGAAGAGGTCGATGTAAAAATGAAGATGGAATATGATCAAGACCAATCTGGATGGAAAGTAAAAGAAGAATTTGAGAGAAAAGACCCAACATCATTTCTGCCCGAGGAGCCAATGTCGTATGAAATCAAAGAAAAGAAAAAAAAGAAGAAAAAGAAAAAACAAGAAGATCCTTTCAAAGATATAGAACATAAGCAACAAGACGTCTTCACAGAACCATCGTTGGAATTGAAATTAGATCCAGAAGTAAATATTAAAGTTGAAAACATTGAAGTCGAACTGGATTTTAATGATGTGAGTATGTTATTATAGTCAACTAGCGGCCGCCCGCGACTTCGTACGCGTGGATCCCGTTTTACCCCCTTAGGGGTGGAGTTTCGTAAAATCCTTTCTTAGCGGATGCCTACGTCATAACATCTTCCTGCATGCCAAATTTCAGCCTGATCCGTCCAGATGTTTGGGCTGTGCGTTGGTCAGTCAGTCACCATTGAGTAATAATATATTTAGATTGTGTAATAAACTATACATTTCTGTAAAAAAAGCACCTATTTCAAGATAAAATGTCACAAACAAAAACAAAATATGGAAAACTATTGTTATTTTAAATACAATAATTATGGCTATTGAAAAATGATAACCAAAATACTATATGCATTTTAATAAGCTGTATTGTTAATCTAAAAAGTTACAATGAGAGCCACTGTACAAAAGAATGTGTTTAAATTAATTCTTTGTCAATAATGAATTCTAATGTATGTATCTTACGACCCATTGTACAGAAAGGAAATGATAAAATGTTATCTAAATTGTATGTAGTTGATAAAAAATTGATTTTACTGACTTCCAAATAATATCATAAGTTAATGCATTGTTTGCAGTAATTCTAAGAGGATTTGTATTTAAAATTTATTAATCTTAGGGCTTGATAAAACAAAACAATCAAGATCCACCAATATTCAGTCTGTTAGTAAGCAGGAAGTTCAACACTGATATTTATGCAGTTGACATAGGTGCTACTTTTCAACATAAATGTATAATTCGTTGTATATTGATTGACAACTTTAGTAAAACTGATTTTATCGGATCACTTAGACTAGGCGCAGACCACCGATTTTTAGTTGGCCGATAGTTGGGCCCGATTTTAATTTGTATGAAGAATCGGCCCAATCAAATCGGTGTAATGTGCGCACTTCCATACATGCCCATACTGATCAACTACCCGACTAAACTATCGGCCGACGAAAAATTGATGGTCTGCGCCTAGGCTTAACTGAAAAATAAGTTTGTCACATTGGCAGTATCAGTATGACAAGTTTATTCTTCAGAGTTTAATATCAGCCCTTAGATGTATGTTAATGTAGTCATGTTTATTTTGTATTCAACTTTTTAATCTTTCAACTTTCAGTTTGACAATGGCAGTGGGTTAACTGACGCCTTGCCCGACGATACCCAGGAGCCAGTTGTGAAACTCGAGCAAAACCAGCATGCGTTGCTACTAACTTTTGAGAGTGTCATTAACGAACACTCTGTACTCGGATTAAACAAAGAGAATAATGAAGTTGAATCTGAACACGAGGAAAACGTCAAAATTGCGCCTACATACTTGTGCAAAGTCTGCCACCTAGTCTTCAAGTCCACGAAAACTCTAAGAATGCACCAGAAAAGGAAGCACAAAGTGTACAGACGGTCGTTCAAACACATCTGTGACTATTGTGGCATGTCGTACGAGACTAAAAACAGTCTTATTGCACATATTAGAAGAAAACATGGCCCTGATTCAACGCCTGAAGATAAGGAGGAACGGACTTGCGAAATATGCGCGTTAGTCTTCAAGGGCATGGCTAGATTACGGATGCATATGCAGAGGAAGCATGGGTCGTTTGTAGAGTCATTTAAACACGAATGCAGCGAATGCGGGCTCACGTATGACAAATACAGAAGTCTCATGGTGCATTTTCAACGCAAACACAGTGGTGCTAAGAAACCTATAGAGAACCAATGGTACAATTGCCCGTTCTGTCCCAAAATCTTTACTAGAAGAGAGACGTACGCGCGTCATATGCAGAGAAAGCATAAAGTGTCTGAGGAAGACGCTCCAAACGAAGCTACGCCTAATTATTTAGAGAATTGCAAGAATGAGCAAACTGGAGAAATTACTTGTAAAGAATGCCCTCTAGTTTTCTCTTCCATCGGCTATTTGAAGTTGCATATGCGAAGAAAACATAATGCTTTGAAGGAATACTTCAGATTGAAGTGCAGTTTTTGCAATTTGTCTTACGATAAAGTAGAAAGCCTTAAAAGGCACGTTAGAAGGAAACACGACCAGGGTTCACACTGTGAGGTGTGCAATAAACAATTCGACACGAGAGAATCCTATTTAAATCATTCACACATAAGGGCAATTAAGGAATGCTCGCTTTGCGGACTAATTTTCGCGTCGCAAGGTGGTTTGGCAAAGCATATTAGGTGCACGCACAAAATCGACTCCCCTAAAGTAGCCTATTGCAATATCTGCAACGAAGGATTCCACGACAGACGTCTGCTCAAACCACATCTACTAAAAGTGCATTTAAAAGTGTCTTACACGTGTAAATATTGCAAGAAAATCTTCAAGGCAAAGGAGAGTTACAGGCGGCATGTGCTAATAAAACACTTCGCGAATAATCCTTTAAATGTACAGAAGGAGCAATGCGACCAATGCCCTGAAGCGTTTAACGGTGAATTCGAGCTGTGCAAGCACATAAATCTCGCTCATGGTAAATGTAGTGTTGTGAAACCAGACGTAGAAGTCAAAACGGAGGATGCAGACATGAAGAACAACTACCAATGCACAAAATGTCCGGAAATCTATCCTAACTTCGAGCAGTTAAAGCTGCATTTCGAACAAAACCACACCTTTTCAACGGAGACTCAGTGCCAAATGTGCGGTGAAATGGTCCCTGGTTCAGACTTGCAGAAGCATATTAAAAGTGCTCACACAGAGACCACAGTTCAGTGTAAATACTGTGAGTTTAATACAACAAATAAAAATAGTATGACACAGCATTTATTAAGGCACAAAAATGCCACAACGTTGCACTGTGAGTTTGCCGGTTGTAGATACAAAAGTTATTATGAAGGTGCTATGATGAAGCACAAGCAAAAGCATAAAGAGTTAGGTGTTAAGTTTCAATGTTCCAAGTGTCCCTTTCAGTCGATGAATAAATACATTTTGAGATACCACGAGGAAGCGCATATGACTGGGAAGAAAAGGTATACATGTGATCAATGTGACTATGCTACCATTTTGCCAGCGAACCTTGTTCAGCATAAATACAAGCATTCTACGGAGAAAAGGTTTAAATGTGAGGTGTGTCCGTTTGCAACGAAATACAACACATCCTTGCGTTTTCACGTTAAAAAGAAACACTGTGATCTACCAAGTTTCAGTTGAGTTTAAATGTTAGTATTTTGTTTTATTTTTACATTATTGATAATTAAATATTAAAGTATTTGGTGTTATGATGTATTGGATTTAATTTAAAATAACTTTTCCAACATTTCCCAGCAACAATTCTGATGTTCAATCAACATTCAAAATTTTAATAATAGGGGACGACTTATTATTCCCGCGTAAAAATAATGCATAGTGTGCAAAACTGCGTACATAGATAACCATTTATGTACGTACTTTTCGATGCATATTTAAGCCAAATGCAAGATGCTTCTAAACAAAAGTACTTTAAATATTTTGTGTATTATTAATATTAGTTTGAGACATTGAAAAAAAATCCATTTTATGAAATCTAAAAGTTGCAAAAAGCGCCATCTATATTAGTAAAATAAAACTAGTTATTAAGCTGAACGCCGCAAAAAGTACTTCAAAGCGCTATCTCTTGGCTTTTGCCCAAACTAAGTTGTCATTCGTAATTTAACGAAAAAGTTCCGCCCTCTAAAAATGGCACGAGGCAGAGGTCGTAAGTAACGTAAAGCCGATGACATTTTCGTTCGGTTTTCCGACGACTGAACTCGAATATTTTTCTTCCTTCTTTGTCTTGCCACAGTAATTTGCCTAAGAAGGATAGAGAAAACCGCGATCTACTAGAAGCTGCGAGCGAATGACAGATACAGAAACGTCGCGAAGCGAAGAAGAAAGAACTTGCTTCCATTGCTTTTCATGAAAAGTGTAAACATTAGTGCATTTATCGTTGCAATAACAAATTAATGGCATAAAATAGTGTGTGATAGTGCTATAAACATGGATATCATATCGTCAGGGGATTTTAATCTCATCAATCTTCCTGTGGTGGTGTTAGAAAAAATATTTTCATACCTTACGTATGATGATATCGCAAAGAATAGATTGGTAAGATATTACTGTAATTAAAGACATGATCGCATGAAATGCTAATTAGTGTATTACAAAAGTAATGTGCATTTGAAATATTCACGTAATTTAATTGTAAGACCCTGTTCAAACTAGCAATTCAAAGTGTTTTAATTCGTTTTGTTCTTCACTGTTCTGTTACCTATTTTATTTATAGCATTACTGATTTATCGGAAAATTACTCTACCGGAACTATTATTGATATGTGTCTGCAAATGTAGTAGGCACTTAAACAGCTACCTATCTTTCTTACAAGATTTTGGCACAGAAGTGTTAGCATACAAAAGATAGATTATGTACTATGAAATTGGTAGTTATCTTACATCATATTTATTAAATTGAATGCTATGCAAAACTGCATTTTAATAATATTCGGTCAGAGGGTATCTCTTCCAGTTAACATTGAACTGAATTCAGACTAGAGTCTTAACTAGATGATGCACAATTCATTATTGATTTGTTCGATGATGATGATGATGATCAATTACATTTGAAATATTATCATCCCAACTAATATTATAAATGCGAAAGTAAGTCTGTCTGTCTGTCTGTCTGTCTGTCTGTCTGTCTGTCTGTCTGTCTGTCTGTCTGTTACGCTTTCCCGCTTAAACCTCGCAACCGATTTTGATGAAATTTGGCATAGAGATAGTTTGAGTCCCGGGAAAGAACATAGGATAGTTTTTATCCCGGTTTTTGAAACAGGGACGCGCGCGATAAAGTTTTTCTGTGACAGACAAAATTCCACGCGGGCGAAGCCGCGGGCGGAAAGCTAGTAAAATAATATATTTGGGTAAGTATGTAATTATGATTTTTCTAGTTTAAATCATATCTTCAATGCATCAGTTCTAAGGCATGTCTAAGGCATGCTAATAAATTGATTATTTGATTGCCAGGAAACTAGATCTATACTAATATTATAAATGCGAAAGTAAATCTGTCTGTCTGTCTTGCTTTCACACCTAAACCACTGGACCCATTTTGAAGAAATTTGGCATAGGGATAGTTTTAGTCCCAGGAAAGGACATAGGATAGTTTTTATCCCGGTTTTTGAAACAGGGACACTTGCGATAAAGTTTTTCTGTGACAGACAAAATTCCACGCGGAAAGCTAGTGTAATATAAACTGTATTGTTAGAGGCTCATAGATGGTAACCTCAAAACTTTTCACATTTAATTTCGACTTTTTGTCAAATGACTGTTTTTAAATCCATACCAGTTACATGCCAAAAGTAACTCCTGTCTCGCGTCTGTAGTGTCCGTCTACTCATAAAGTAACATTATCACGCTTAAACTGCTTTATGATTTAGATCTGTCTACTCTACTGATATCAATCATTTCACTCTCACACTGCTTAACTGATAAAATTTTCCAGGTATCGCAGACCTTCAACGAGATGGGCATGCGGTTACTAAACCGTGGCTTCGTGCTCATCGAGCGACGTCATGCACTCGCGCTCAAGGCGGTGAAAGCACAACTGCCTCGCAGAGAGTCCGAACGCAGGTACAGTAGTCACTCAGACTGTAATTCAAGTCACTCAGGTTCTGTGGGTCTAGACAAAGTGAATATAATAATCGCAAACCAGTCGAAAAAAGGTTGAAAAGCCTTATTTTGTATGGAGTTTTGACGGATTCTATCAAAAAGTGCAACTTGTCTAGGGGGACTGCTGGTCACTCAGACTCTACTAGTCCCTGAAACTTCTAGACACTCATGCTCTACTAGTCACTCAGTCTTCACTAGTCACTAAGTAAGACCACTAGTTACAATATTCTTCTATAAGATTTTAAACTTTTGCATTCCATTTCAACTAAAATAGAAAGACACGGGTCTTAACGCGACGTTTATTGATGAGTTATATCATGTACTCATGGCTTGACGTTTCGGCTGCTATGCTGCAGCCGTGGTCACAAGCAGACTGGCGTCGTCCGCATTAATAAACGTCGCGTTAAGACCCGTGTCTTTCTATTATACTCTTCTAGTCACATAGACTGAGGGTTTGCTCATCGAGCGGCGTCATGCGCTTGCGCTCAAGGCGGTGAAGGCACAACTGCCTCGCAGAGAGTCTGAACGCAGGTACAGTAATCACTCAGACTGTACACTCAAGTCAGGATCTGCTAAGCTAGTCACTCAGATTCTACTGGTCACTAAGGCCCAGAACTGACGGTGAAACGGAACTGCAACGAAACTGCAACTGCTAGTTACTTTTGAGTTGCATCTAAGTTTCTGCCATAGCGTCCGTTGAGAGACCACACATGACGCGACCAGTTCGAAACTTTCAGTTTCAGTTTCATTCATAAGAATCATCAGAAAGTTGCAGTTTCGTTGCAGTTGCATTTCACCATCTGTTCTGGGCCTAAGACTTCGATGCCCGTCTTCACCATCAGTCCCAAATTTTTAAGTGACCCCTATAAAAACAAAATTCCTTAAAAATTAGGGATTGATGGTGAAAACGGGCACTAGACACTCATGGTCTACTAGTCACTCAGAATTCACTAGTCACTAAGATCACTAGTTACTACTCTTCTAGTCATATAGACTGAGGCTTCGTGCTCATCGAGCGACGTCATGCGCTCGCGCTCAAGGCGGTGAAAGCACAACTGCCTCGCAGAGAGTCCGAACGCAGGTACAGTAAAGCCCGGTCTGTGAGCACGTAGAATTTTGTCCAATGACCCCAAGCTACCCATCCTTATCGCTCGCGCATAATTATATTGCTGTCGCGACTGTGCGACGGGCGCCCGCAGTGAGTGTGCGAGCGTGACAGCAATATAATTACGCGCGAGCGATAAGGATGGGTAGCTTGGGGTCATTGGGGTTACTAGTCATAGTAGAGCATGAAAGTCTAGAAGTTTTAGGGTCACTCAGTCTTCACTAGTCACTTAAGTAAGACCACTTAGTTACTATACTCTTCTATAATTAAACTTTCGCGTTCCATTTCAAGTAAAATAAAAAGACACGGATCTTAACGCGACGTTTATTGATGAAATTCATAAATTCATAAAATTCATAAAACACATAGACTGAGGGTTTGCTCATCGAGCGGCGTCATGCGCTTGCGCTCAAGGCGGTGAAAGCACAACTGCCTCGTAGGAAGTCAGAGCGCAGGTACCTCACTCATACACTCATTTATGCATCAGACATTAAAGCCTTGGGAAGACCAAACGCGGGGCAGTAGCAGCGCAGTTTGAATGCGGGCCCGCGCAAGTTGTAATACAAGAAACTCTTTGAAGTGTGTCACACCAAATTTGAACGCGGGCCCGCGCTCCAACCGCGCCACAATATGGTGTAATTTAGCCTGTCTCAAGAGTCAAGCACCATTTTGTTGACAATTGTGTTTTTATTATTATTTAGGCAGTTAAATACTGCACAGTAGTACACCATTTTCTTTATTTTCTTCCGTCATACACAAGAATACGCGTGCGTGAGTCAATGTTCGCTCGTATGTGAGGCCTAGTCGAATAGTATCCTGTAGGTGGGCCATCGTGCGTGTTTTGTTTTCGATGTAAACTCGCGGAGATGAACAGGCCTGATACGGGTGTAAGTATTGTAAGTAAGTAGGCACTTAGTACAAGTTACTCAGTCTTAATGAAATAACAAATGCTGTTTCAGATACCACCCGCTAGCCCGGCACAGTGACATCTTGACTTCCTTAGAAACTCGCATATCGATGCTTAACATGACGTACACAAAGTTCATAGACAACGGCATCTGCTGCTTCATACCTGGCAAGGTGAGATATCTTTTAATGTTATCTGGTATACTCTGGTCCGTGAGCACGTAGAATTTTGTCCAATGACCCCAAGCTACCCATCCTTATCGCTCGCGCGTAATTATATTGCTGTCGCGACTGTGCGACGCGCGCCCGCAGTGAGTGTGCGAGCGCGACAGCAACATAATTACGCGCGAGCGATAAAGATGGGTAGCTTGGGGTCATTGGACAAAATTCTACGTGCTCCCGGACCAGACTATAGTTTGTTACCAGAGATAATTAAAGTTATAAGTGAATTTTGACTTTCTCAAATAGTTTTTTTTTTGAGACTGCATAAGAAGAATTAGACAGCCTTTGTTCAAAATATCGACTCCCTTTCGTTTCGTTGCAAGGCATTAGATAGAAGAAAGGTTATGTTTTTAACAATAAAATAAAAAGTGTACCTATCACTATGCATAAATGTTATAATCCGTACTTCCCTACCAATATTATAAATTCTCAACTAATTGATAAAATTTGGTGTATTAGAGATAGTTTCAAATCCCAAAAACATCAGTCTTTATCCCGATTAGTAAAAAAGGGAGGAACTTATTCTTTGAAATACAGATAGACCAGAAAAAACGCAAGAAAAAGATAGTGTGAATTTAGTGTGAGAGTGTGAAACGGAACGTAAGGGAGTGAGTGAAAGATGTGATTGGGACAAGGCAGAACAGAATACGGTTGAATCAGGGTTTTCGCGTATGAAAAATCCGCCAGATGGCAATACGTAGACGCGAGGTCCAAATGCTGCATGATTGGTTATTTTTGACATGACATTGACAGATATGTCAAAATCCACCAATCACGCAGCGGTCAGACCCCACATCCACGTCCCGCCATCTAGCGGATCTTTCGTACACGAAAACCCTCATTGACGTAGCGATTCCTTTTCTTGTGTTTTTATCCCGGAAAAATACAAATAAAGCTGGAGAAATACACACTGCTTTTCAATGAGGGCTATCGTTTTTATACTTAACAATTGGCACCCCTGGCGATTGACAGGACCTTACTCTACAGTGGCGCCATCTTGATGAGTGCAAATACGATAGTCCTCCTACCACTTTAGCGCTCACCAGTTGGTGCCACTGTCTTCGCTACTAGCAAGTGACAGGACCTTACTCTACAGTGGCGCTAACTGGTGACCGCTAAAACGATAGCCCTCATTCCTACAGCTTGGGAGCACTAAATGACCTGATTTTATTTAAAAAATTTCCAGGTGATAGACGAAATGCGCCGCGTTCTCTCCATAGTGGAAACGACCAAAACGCCGCCGCGAGCGCACGAAGTATTGCAAGAGTTGCGCGACATATCCAGTATGGCTATAGAGCATTTCGATGACAAGATATCGCCGGCATTTAGGAAAATGCTGCAGGAATCAGTACCGCAACCAGTGGCCAAGCCTTCGCATTGTAAGTTGAACCACAGAATAATAATAAGTACTACGTACAGAAGTTTTACTTCGCGAAGGTATTTAAAAAAATGTATGCTCAATGTCATTAACAATATGGTGTAATTTAGCCTGTCTCAAGAGTCAAGCACCATTTTGTTGACAAACGTCAGTGATCGGTACTGCGCCGAAGCCATAGGGCTGACTTCGGTAAAATGATGTGACGTGAGGTGCCAAACTGCGGAAAATGGCGGAGGAAATACATGATTTAGCATGAATTATCATGAATAATATTAACTACTTATTTACCTCTCAGTGTCTTGAGGCAACTTAAAAAAGTACATTCTGTGTTTTTATTATTATTTAGGCAGTTAAATACTGTACAGTATTTAGTACACCATTTTCTTTATTTTTTCCATCATACACAAGAACACGCGTGCGTGAGTCAATGTTCGCTCGTATGTGAGGCCTTGTCGAATAGTATCCTGTAGGGTGCCATCGCGCGTGTTTTGTTTTCGATGTAAACTCGCGGAGATGAATAGGCCTGGTTGAATTCTAACATAAGGTACTAAGGTTTACAATGTTAAGATTTGTTAGTTTTGGTCCTACAAGAGTTGCGCGACATATCCAGCATGGCCATAGAGCACTTTGATGACAAGATATCGCCGGCGTTCAGGAAAATGCTGCAGGAATCAGTGCCGCAACCAGTGGCGAAACCTTCGCATTGTAAGTTGAACTTTAACATAAGGTAGTAAGGTTTACAATGTTAAGATTTGTTAGTTTTGGTACTATAAGAGTTGCGCGACATATCCAGCATGGCCATAGAGCATTTCGATGACAAGATATCGCCGGCGTTTAGGAAAATGCTGCAGGAATCAGTACCGCAACCAGTGGCCAAGCCTTCGCATTGTAAGTTGGGTTGGACTTTAATATAAGGTAAAGTCCGGTGCTGAGCAGATAGAATTTCGTCCAATGACCCCAAGCTACCCATCCTTATCGCTCGCGCGTTATTATATTGCTGTCGTGACTGTGCGACGGGCGGCCGCAGTGAATGTGCGAGCGCGATAGAAATACATTAACGCGCGAGCGATAAGGATGGGTAGCTTGGGGTCATTGGACGATATTTTATGTGCTCGGCGACCGGACTTTAGTAGGGTTCAGAATGCTAAGACCTGGTATGGTCTTTTGGTACAAAATAATAAGGTAGTAAGGTTTACAATGTTAAGATTTGTTAGTTTTGGTACCACAAGAGTTGCGCGACATATCCAGCATGGCCATAGAACATTTCGATGACAAGATATCGCCGGCGTTCAGGAAAATGCTGCAGGAATCAGTGCCGCAACCAGTGGCCAAGCCTTCGCATTGTAAGTTGGACTTTTATTATTATTATTACAATAATAATATTTTAATATAAGGTAAAGTCCGGTCGCCTAGCAGATAGAATTTCGTCCAATGCCCCCAAGCTACCCATCTTTATCGCTCGCGCGTAATTATATTGCTGTCGCGACTGTGCGACGCGCGCCCGCAGTGAGTGTGCGAGCGCGACAGCAACATAATTACGCGCGAGCGATAAGGATGGGTAGCTTGGGGTCATTGGACGATATTTTATGTGCTCGGCGACCGGACTTTAGTAGGGTTCAGAATGCTAAGACCTGGTATGGTCTTTTGGTACAAAATAATAAGGTAGTAAGGTTTACAATGTTAAGATTTGTTAGTTTTGGTACCACAAGAGTTGCGCGACATATCCAGCATGGCCATAGAGCATTTCGATGACAAGATATCGTTGGCGTTCAGGAAAATGCTGCAGGAATCAGTGCCCCAACCAGTGGCGAAGCCTTCGCATTGTAAGTTGGACTTTAATATAAGGTAAAGTCCGGTCGCCGAGCAGATAGAATTTCGTTCAATGACCCCAGGCTACCCATCCTTATCGCTCGCGCGTAATTATATTGCTGTCGCGACTGTGCGACTGGCGGCAGTAGTGAGTGTGCGAGCGCGATGGCCTTATACAGAAGCTCAAAGTTGCACAGCGTGCTATGGAGAGGGCTATGCTCGGTGTTTCTTTACGAGATCGAGTCAGAAATGAGGAGATCTGTAAACGAACTAAAGTCGCTGACATAGCCCGACGGATTAGCAAGCTGAAGTGGCAATGGGCAGGGAACATAGTACGCAGAACTGACGGCCGATGGGGCAGCAAGGTTCTGGAGTGGAGGCCGCGTACCGGAAAACGCAGCGTGGGACGTCCACCCACAAGGTGGACCGACGACATTTATTTATTTTTTATTTATTTATTTGGGTAAAAAAACAGTATTGAAGTACAGTAGCAAATAAATAGTAATAATATACCAATATTATCTAAATTCAACACCAGCATCATTTACCACAGTTTAGATAAAACAGTTAATTAAACTTGTGTTGAGAGTGGCCGTAGTAAACACTTACTTATTACACAGACAGATACACTCATTAATTTTGCACTTACCTCAAATTCTATTTAATTGGGTATTTGCCAGCGCTCCCCAATAATTCTAAAGCACTACTGTTTTTAAAATGGGCACTTAGATTAAAGAGAAGAAGAAGAATTAAGATTTATGGTTGAATTGTAATTGAAAAAGTAGTTTAATTGAGTTGATAAAATATTGACGTCACCGGCTAGTATTTCCATACAAAATCTATGGGAGAGTCTCGTTTTGACTGTTTTAAAAAGTACGTAGGGATGTTTCGTGGGTAAAAAAGCAAGAGTCTTAATTAGTTCGTCAGTTAGCTTATCAAAAACTACTCAACACGTATTTTTCACTGTTTAAAACTAATGAAAATGTAAAGAGATTAAGCGTACCAAAGTTCTAAAGAAAAGGCCCGTGACGTCAGTGAGTGCGTAAAAGTGCAGCACTTTGTGACGTCGCGCGGAACTTCAACGCACTATAACTTTGTAATTATTTGTTTGATTGACAATTAAAAATATACGTGTCCAATAGTTTTTTATATTAAAATTGACGGAATAAAAAAATTTTTTTTGGAAACTAGCCTATTGGTGGTGGCAAATGCCCTATTGTTTGTTAACGAAGTAAACATTTTCCTTCCCAGCAACAGTGTTGGGTCCGCTGGTGCTCCGCAACGAGATCATAGCGTTGCGGAAACGATCCGTGCTCAACGCCAAGCTGTCTCTCTACCTCGCGGCACACTACAACAAGGTGTTTAAGAAGGTATGTCCGTCCGTTCGTTTCAGCCATAGAGCTATACAGGGTGGAAACGATAAGTGATCTCACTCGATTATTTCTAAGCTACACAAGATATCCAAAAACTGGTTACTGATCCTGAAAGTCCTTCACAAGCTCTATCCAACGGTAACAATAATAGGTTACAAAATAAGCTGGATCTATCCGAAAATTCAAAGTTTCCAGCTTCCATACATTTAGTACTGCCACAGTCATGGCACTCATGTGTTGATAATGTTATAGCAAGTAAAGCCTAAAACCAATGTTTTCCATGAATAATTTTAAATAAGAATGCAATTTACGAATTCATTTTAAGGGTTAACTATTTAATTTTTTAAAAATACACTTCTAATATTGTGTGGCTGGCATACATTTGGTATGGAGGCTAAAAACATTGAATTTTCGGATAGATCCAGTTAATTTTGTAACCTATTTATTTACTGATACCGTTTGAAAGAGCTCGTGAAGCACTTTCAGGATCAGTAACCAGTTTTTCGATATCTTGTATAGTTTAGAAATAATCGAGTGAGGCCAACTAAAAGACGGTGGTTTGCGCCTAGACTAAGTGTTATATTCCCAGAGTGGGGGCATTTTCTGCGGGTCTGAAGCAAGTGGTAACGTTTACCACTAGACCACAGAAACAATGTGGCACATAGCTCGTAGAGCTGATGGCTGCTGGGGCAGGAAAGTTTTTGAGTGGCGACCACGAACCGGAAAATGTAATGTGCAGGCCCCCCACTAGGTGGACCGACGATTTTATGAAGGTCGCGGGAAGTACCTGGATGCGGGCAGCGCAGGACCGTTCGTTGTAGAAATCCAAGGCCTTTATCCAGTGAACATCATTTGGCTGAAACCACAGATCACAGAAACTAAAGGTAGATGTGACAAGGGGGCGTGGCCGGTGTCGCAGCAATATGCCCAAAAACAGAACACATTGCTCGCGACAGCAATGATGACAGCAGCGACGTCATAATGTAAACAGCTTACATTGCTTGCGTAGTACCACAAAATAATATTAAGTACTACGTACAGAAGTTTTACTTCGCGAAATAATTTAATAAAATGTATGCTCAATGTCATTAACAATATGGTGTAATTTAGCCTGTCTCAAGAGTCAAGCACCATTTTGTTGACAAACGTCAGTGATCGGTACTGCGCCGAAGCCATAGGGCTGACTTCGGTAAAATGATGTGACGTGAGGTGCCAAACTGCGGAAAATGGCGGAGGAAATACATGATTTAGCATGAATTATATTAACTACTTATTTACCTCTCAGTGTCTTGAGGCAACTTAAAAAAGTACATTCTGTGTTTTTATTATTATTTAGGCAGTTAAATACTGCACAGTATTTAGTACACCATTTTCTTTATTTTCTTCCAATGTTCGCTCGTATGTGAGGCCTTGTCGAATAGTATCCTGTAGGTGGGCCATAGTGCGTGTTTTGTTTTCGATGTAAACTCGCGGAGATGAACAGGCCTGGTAGTACTAAAGATTATTCGACTGTTGAGTACTGATACCGCAGTGGATAATTAGCACATATTTTGACTACTTTGTGTGTGTGAATTTCTAATGCGACACTGAGTTTCGAACTCGGCGCATTAGTTGACATCTCTCTATATCCCTCAATCAAATCAAATCAAAATTATCTTTATTTGTTTAGACTAAATATATGAATATATCTTTATCTATGACCCTATGAATATATCTTATTGTATGATTTGTGTTTGCAGATGGAGGAATACAAGAAAGTAGCGGTGAGGCAGCGCAAGGTCATCAGGTATCTCACGAGGAAGAGCCGGGACCACGAGGGGGCCATCGGTAAGGAACCCCTACACTTATACAAGCGACATATCAAGCTCACACTGGGGTATCATACATTTTGTATGGTAACCGTTTAAACCAGATTGTTGTCGTGACCCGTCAGAACTGAATTAGTTTCAAGCATTTAGTATACGACACATCAGAATCATCATCAGTCACATCCTAGTCTGCATGTCGCTTAACACCCAGGTGCGATTGCGGTCAAATACCTGTCTTGTCATGCATAAAAAAAGAAGGACAGATGCTTAAAAAAACTGTCCTCTGGGTTGTCTGAGAAAGATTGCCTCCTAAAGTCCGGTCGCCGAGCAGATTGAATTTCGTCCAATGACCCCAAGCTACCATCCTTGTCGCTCGCACGTAATTATATTGCTGTCGCGCTCGCACACTCACTGCGGGCGCCCGTCGCACAGTCGCGACAGCAATATAATTTCGCGCGAGCGATAAGGATGGGTAGCTTGGGGTCATTGGACGAAATTCTATCTGCAGGGCGACCGCACTTTAGCGATAATATCATATGACCGCTAAAATTGTGCTGTTTCGATTTTGTATTTCTTTTATGTGGCTACGTTAATGTCCAAATTGCATTATTTAATTTTGTAGAAGTAAACACTGTGTATTTGTTTCAGCTGAGCTAAAAAAGCGGATTGAAGAATGTGATATTAAGTACAGTGAGCTCACTCACACAAACCAAGCAGTGGGAGGGAAAGCTATCGCTGGTAAGTTAATTCATCATCATAATCATCACCAGGTCATTTAGTCTCTCTTTCATCATCATCATCATCTTCATAATTTCAGCTACAGGACGTCCACTGCTAAACATAGGCCTCTCCCAATTATTCCAAATTGGTCGCATAATTGTCTCTTTATCCGGATTTGTCCTAAACCATGATGCTTGCATGTTTCTGCATTATTCGCCTTAGTTTAGAACTAGATGCCGCTATGTAAAATATCCAAGAGTAATAATGTTTATCTGTATATATAAAAGAAAGTCGTGTTAGTTACACCACTTATAACTCAAGAACGGCTGAACCGATTTAGCTGAAAATTGTCAGGGGGGTAGTTTAGAGCCAGGAGAAGGACATAGGATTTTTTATTGCCATTAAGGCGGAACAAAGTTCGCCGGGTCAGCAAGTTTATTATATTTAAAAAAGTTTCATCATCATCATCAACAGCCCACTGCTGGACTATGAGGCTCCTCCACTATAGTGGAGGGTTTTGCCATAATCCCCACGCTTGGCAGGCGGGTTGGAGATCGCAGTTTAAAAGATTGATTTTTTATGTATAACAAGGCAGGTATTTGACCACAATCGCACCTGGTGTTAAGTGGGATGCGGTCTAGGATGGTACATATCTGCCCTGTAAGTGCCTGTTCACTCTCGCCTTGAAAAGGCCCGGATTATAGTCTTCAGGAAAGACAGCAGCAGGCGGCGAATTTCAGTCCCTAGCTGTTCGCATTATAAAAGAGTCATCGAAACGCTTAGTGCGAGCTGGTGGAATGTCAACAATATACAGGGTGGAATTTTGTAATGCCACCTGGAGGGAAAGTACTCTTAATATTATAGATAGAATTTTTTTCTCAAAGAAAACATTCCTTTATTTTTAAAAAGAAATAAAACTGCATTCAAAGATTTCCAAAAATTTGCTTGCCACACCCTAGAATCGAACCAACTAAAATGTGTTAAAAATTACACCCTGTATTTTTATTACATCGATCGTTAGGGTCAAGTATAAGGATGAAATCTCTCTAACAAACTTGATAAATCAAATGAAAGGAAAAACATGAAATCTTAAATTATCTTAATTATGTTACAGAAAATTGCATGTAATGGTACTGAATTTTCGAAAAAAAATCGAAAATCTTTGAATGCAGTTCCCTTTCTTTTCAAAAATAAAGGAATGTTTTCTTTCAGTAAAATTTTCTATCTGCAGTGTTAAGAGTACTTTCCCTCCAGGTGGCATTACAAAATTCCACCCTGTAGATGTTTTTCAGAGAGCCGTTCTCTGTTTGATGTGTAGTCCCTAAGTCGCCTCTTACGACACCCGCGGGAAGAGTAGGGGTTGGTGACAAATGTATTCTACTCTGTCGTCACCACACGGCAAAAAGTTTACTCTTACCTTTTATCTTTATCTATTTACTAGCTGACCCGGCGAACTTTGTTCCGCCTTAATGGCAATAAAAAGTATCCTATGTCCTTCTCCTGGCTCTAAACTACCTCCCTGACAATTTTCAGCTAAATCGGTTCAGCCGTTCTTGAGTTATAAGTGGAGTAACTAACACGACTTTCTTTTATATATATAGATTGTTTAAAATGTTATGTAACTATAATATTGCCATTGTTATTTACAGGCACATCGGCAGACGTCGCATCAACATCGGCGCAGCCGCTGCGGCACTTCGGCAGCCAGATCAAGCTGGACCTCTCGGTCCTGCCCATCGGGACTTCCAAACGGAGTCAGGCCAAAAGTAAGTATGATTATTCTTCTTGTCGTGTCGACAACAAACCTATACAGTGTCAACCCAAATCTCCATAAGAGTGGCGTTGTCAGTAGCCTTCATTAAATCTTCCTGCGTGCAGTCGTTTAGGCACTCAGGGCACGACATAATGTGCTTCGTCGACTGGGGAACAAAACCACACTTGCACTCCAAGTTTCAGCCATCCAAGAATCCCCACTTGAACAGATTGTCCTTACTACGGCCGACCTGCGTCCGAAGTCTATTTAAAGTATGATAATAAACTCACAGGAGATAGTAGCTATTTTTATATTGAACGTTCAGATTTTTGACGTTTATACTAATCATCATCATCATCTCAGCCATAGGTCGTCCACTGCTGAACATAGGCCTCCCCCAATGACTTCCACATCGCACGGTTGGTAGCGGCCTGCATCCAGCGCCTTCCTGCTACGTTTATGAGGTCGTCGGTCCACCTTATGGGTGGATGTATCACGCTACATTTTGCGATACGTGGCCTCCACTCGGCTCAGCTGTTTAATCCACATAAATTCATAAAAAAAAATCATTAAGTCAATATTGAAAATAAGTTGCTTCGTAGCGATCCAAACATCAAAAGGAAACCTCTCATTAATAAAACATAAAATCTATCCATCTAGTAATTTGTATTTACGAATTATTCCTTACAAAAATCTATGTCATAAATAAATGTTGCTATATTAAAAAAAACTTCCATTCCAGTGTTGCCAAACATCAAACCGCGGAAGCCTCTCATCAAACTGCCGAGTCTATCCGAAGAGGATTCCGAACCGCCCCCGAAGAAATCCAAAATGGACGACAATCCAGACCCACCAACATCCATTAACAAAAAAAACCAGTGCACAATGGCCAAAATACGGGGCATCACAAAAGAAATACGGAATTTAAGTAACCTCAACATTGAAACGAAATTGAAACGCCCAGTTAGTTTAACTGCGTTGGATTTGTTCGAGATTGAGTGCAAGAAACAGAAGCTGGATTAGTTTTAAACCCATTTACATGTATGGCATTATACACATGACTAGTGTGTAACAAAGTCGGTATAAAAAAGGAAATACGGAATTTGAGTAATCAACAGTGAAACGAAAATGAAACGCCCACTAAGGCCCAGAACAGACGGTGAAACGCAACTGCAACGAAACTGCAACTTTGTGATGATTCTGATGACTGAAACTGAAAGTTTCAAACTGGTCGCGTCATGTGTGGTCTCTCAACGGACGCTATGGCAGAAACTTAGATGCAACTCAAAAGTAACTAGCAGTTGCAGTTTCGTTGCAGTTGCGTTTCACCGTCTGTTCTGGGCCTAAGTTTAACTGCGTTGGATTTGTTTGAAATTGAGTGCAAGAAACAAATGCTAGTTTTAAAATATCTACTACTGCTTTTACAAATGTATGGCATCATACACTTTTGTGACAAGTCCGTAAGTAATTTTTACTAAATAATAAACGTATTGGTTATTAGTTATTGGTAAATTAATTACAATTGGTTAGATGACACCAATAATTACAACAAACAACATAAATGAATATAAATATAAAAATATAAATATTCTTGGACATTTTACACTACGCTTCTAGTCCCAAACTAAGCAAAGCTTGTACTATGGGCACTAGACAACGGATATAAACATACTTAAATACTTTTTTTTTTGTAAATACATACATAGTAAACATAGTAACACCCAGACCCGTCACACAAATTAAAATTCATCATTTCAATTTCTGCCCGGCCGGGAATCGAACCCGGGACCTCTCGGCATAGTAGTCCGTTCTGAACCACTACACCAAACGGCCGACAAATGTTTGAAATTGTATGGGACTTGGTGTATGGTGTTTTAAATTGTATAATAAATCGTGATTACTATTAATATAACAAATAATGGATAAAATGCCATAAATTTTGGGTGGTATTGGATGAGATTGTAATACAGGGTGGAAACGATAAGTGATCTCACTCGATTATTTCTAAACTATACACGATATCGAAAAACTGGTTACTGATCCTGACAGCGCTTCACGAGCTCTTTCAAACGGTACCAATAATAGGTTACAGAATAAACAGGATCTATCTGAAAATTCAATATTTTCAGCTTCCATACTACACTTGCGAGCAAAAGAGTGGAATCACCCTATTTGTTTCGAGCGATCACAGAAACTAAATGACTAATAGAAGACAAATAAAAATGGTACCATTTTAAAGGTAATATTATAAACTTGATTCCATACTTTTGCTCGTAAGTTTCTTGATATCTTGTATAGTTCAGAAATAATCGAGTGATATCACTTATCGTTTCCACCCTGTATATCTTGTTTTTATATAAATACTTTCACAAGTACAAGCACTTTCAAACGTATGCATACCCACTTCCCACTAATATTGGCACCATTTAAAAGCCTAGTTCTAAACTTCATTTCATTAAAGAAAAGGTTTTTACCCCAAAAATGTATTTTTTGAAGGATCCAGTGTTCTTAAAGCGACAGGTAGTTACGCTTGAGCCAACTTTTATGGCTATAAAACTTAAATTGGGATTAATCGCTATCCATCTGTTAAAGAGGACACGTGAGATCATTATTTGGTTTCATAACCACAAAAATTGGTCTAAATAGTCCCAGAGGTGAGGCGCAACATTGGCTTTTTTCAAGTCACATTTATGGTACATGTTAATCGTTTATTAAGAAATTAAATGTGTTTTTCTTTAAGTTGATTTATTGGGCTTTCAAATAACACCAATATTGGTGGAGAACCATGTTTGTGTTAGAATAAAATAAAAGTAAATGTCGCGGGAGGTGCGATTTATTTGACGCCGAGTGTATTTCTTTGTTTCATTAAAACACTGTTTGACGCGTTTTACTGGATTATTTTTATTATAGTTTTTATTGGAGTACATACATAAGTAGTTTTTAATTGTGCTAACACACTCATTAAATGCAATTTGTAATATAAGAAATTGGATGGTTTATTATAGATTTCTAAATCCTATTTTGTTAATAATTATCATAAAATACATAGTGTTCTCATAAAAATCCTGAATAAATAGGGAACCGTTTTTTCATAGGTGTAAAATAAAGGGCCTGATAAATGTCCCTGATAATATCTTTTAGGAAGTTATCTGTCAGATAAACTACAAGTTTTCCTTGCATACGTCTCTAAAATTAAATAGCTTTACTATGTTCATTTTTGGACCTTAACATAAAGTACTAAGGTTCACAATGTGGCAAGTTGCAAAGAATTGAGAATTAAAAAAATAATTTATTGAGAAAGGAATATGATAAAAATTAAGTAAATTTCGAGTCTTTCATGTTCCGCCTATAACCGCTATTTTGTAACTTTAAGCTTAGTCGTAGACCACAGGCTTTTTGTTGGCCGATAGTTGGGTCGGGTTTTTTGCAGGGATGTTATGGATATCCGTAACCGTAACCGAAACTTTCGGATATCCGAAATAAAAAAACATCCGTAACCGATTCCAAAGTTTCGGATAGTTTCGGATAAAGGCGGAGTCTAAATCTTAATATTTGTTAATATTTGTTACTTGTCTGGCATTCCCTAGCATCATCTAATATCCCCACCTGTTTTAACCTTATCTTGTACATAAAGTGGCTATGTGGGTCGCGCAGCATCTTGCTATTTGAATGTTACATTTTAAAAATTTTAATATCCGAAACCGAAATTATCCGAAAGTTTCGGATAATCCGAAATGATTTCATAACCGTATCCATAACCGAAACTTCATATCCTTAACATCCCTGGTTTTTTGGTCAGTATGAACATTGTGTTGTATGGAAGTCCGCATATTACACTAATTTGGTATCGGCCGATTCTTCATACTAATTATAAATCGACCTAATGAGGGTTTTCGCGAATGAAAGATCCGCTAGATGGCGGGACGTGGATGTGGGGTCTGACTGCTGCGTGATTGGTGGATTTTGACATATCTGTCAATGTCATGTCAAAAATAACCAATCATGCAGCATTTGGACCTCGCGTCTAGGTATTGCCATCTGGCGGATTTTTCATTCGCGAAAAGAATCATTATCGCTCGACTAAAAGTCTGTAGTGTGCGGGATATCTAAAACTACAGTTTTTATTTAAATTAAGGTCATATTATTGAGTGCTTGCTTAGGGTAAACGCATTTGCAAAGGATATTGTAACTTGTTTCATAAGAAATAAGGTTGTTATTTGTAACTGGAAATTAAATTTTAAGGGCGTTTTTAACACGAAATACTCGTACGTACGATATTTGTAATATCTTTTAAGATTAACTGATAAATTATAATTATTTGTACGAAATGGTTGTAATTATGCAATAAGTTTAAAGGCTCGTTGTAATCCAGTTTTGCATGATTCGAAAAACTGGGCCCGATTGCGCTAATTTGTAATACATATATCCAATTCATTGGCGTTTCAACTCCAGTCGCGTGCGACTTGCGCTTCAATATCGTTCCAGCTGAAGTGCAATTCAGTATCGCGGTAAAGTTCACGCGCTTTATGCACTTTCCATTAAAACTCCGAACACCTTATTTTTAAACTAAAATTACTAAACACAGCAAATGTTTGTGAAGCGTTTGACTTGCGTTTGATAAAAAGTAGCTTTCTGTCAGCTTTTACGTAAAGGCGCAGTTATACTCCGTCTACATTTCAACTTCGTTTTAACTAGCTGTCAAAACGACACCGCGATACGGATTTGTCAAACAGCTGAGGTTCGGTTGTTGTCCAGTCGCATTGGAGTTGAAATTTTTTAGCGTAATCGGGGCCCTTATGTGTGTCTGAAATTAGTTTTTTTTGCGGGACACTGTAAACGGGATGTTCGTGTGAACGCAAAACACGTAGTACTAAACGGAATCCAGCAAAAAACAGTTCCTGCTAAAAACGGGACGTCAACGTGGGAACAAGACCTAATGCACAATTTCTGTACGGATTATACTGTGTCAAAGATTAAGCTTAAAATCGTAATGTGTGTGTTTACCCTATATTTAACTGTATATCTTATTATATTATAGTTATTATATTATATTCGAGTATAAAATGCACTTGACTAAGTATTAGTTATAGATTTAGATATAAAAGATAAAAGATTTCGTTCAAATGATACGATGTGACGCCATATTATATTTTATTTGAATGTGAAAATCGCAATATTTTATTTAATACATTTTTCACCCACTTCTCATACAGGGAGTTAATTGTCTTCTAAATGTTTTTAACCGACTTTAAAATAGGTGGTTCTCAATTGTATGTTTTAATTATGCTCATATAAGTTGTCATACCAACATGTAAAATAGAGTAAGAAACTGAATAACATCACTTTTACTCGTAAAAATTATGGTTTTATTCACAAATTGGTGGATTTCGGTCTATTAATAAACAGATATTCTTTATTTTCGTGACAAAAAATAACTATGTCCTTAGGTCCAGTCACAGGGTCCAGTCTATTTGGGATACCAATATCCTATCTTAATTGGATTAATACAGTTTACATTTGGTCTGCTTGCTAGCGATTGCGTAAAAAATTACGTGGAATGTATGACAGATTACACGGCGCCCCTAGCGGATACTTTCGAGAACTAAAATCTTAATATATTTTCAACCGACTTCAAAAAAGGAGGAGGTTCTCAATTCGACCCGTATGTTTTTTTTTTCTATGTTTGTTACGCGATAACTCCGCCAATTATGAACCGATTTGAACAAATCTTTTTTCGGCGTATAGGTAATACCTCAAGGGTGGTCCCATTTAAATTTAATAATAGAAAAAACAACCCCCAAGGGTGGAAAATTGGGGATGAACTTTTTTATACGCAATATCTCCGCCGATTATAAATCAATTTAAACGATTATTTTTTTGTTGAATAGGTATTATCAAAAGGGTGGTTTCATGCGAATTTGAAGAAAATATTTCACCCCCAAGGGTGGAAAATTGGGGATGAACTTTTTTATACGCAATATTTAATCTACCGGATTTATCTTTTTTTTTCGCTTCCCAAAGATGCTGAAAGGTATGTTGGCCATGTAGGTAATCAATATTTCTTAGGATAGTATAGGAACCTAACCTACCATGACTACTGCTCAGAATTCGTTCGTTCGTTTCAGCCAAATGACGTCCACTGCTGGACAAAGGCCTCTCCCAAGGTTTTCCATAATGAATGCATACTTACCTACATACGTACCTCATTACAAATAAGTACCTAGATTAATTATTTTTTCACTAGACAGCAACCCTAACAGCGTAAGAAGAGTTCAGAGGCACGCGATAGAAAGAGACAAAACTTGTAGGTGAATAAAATTGTAGGTACGTAGTGCTGTGCGAGCTGAATTCCACTGTATCGCGTCGTAGCAAGACTCGCATTTATTTAAATCGTCTTGCGGAGTAATCCTTCTGTACCTGTACTATTACTTATTCTGTGTCGGTAGGTAGGTAGGTATGTTTTTTTCTTTCACATTTCAGTGTTGTAGGTAAGTAAAAATATTGTCCTCACACATACGGAAACTATTTTCAGAGTCATTTGTTTGACTCTTAAAGATTGTACGTTAACTGCAATTTATTAGCTTATTTTAGTTATTCACAATTAGTAACATATGTCGTGCTTTTTAGAACCTTGAGCAAACAACTTTTCGTGTTCAATAAGTACCTACCTAAATAATTTTAATTTGTTAATTTGCAATTCGTGAGATCGTTTTCGTACGTGTAACGTCTCAGTTAATCGATCATTATAATCATTGGTAATCGAGCATTCCCCAAAAACTATTTATTGAACTATTTATTTTATTTAATATCAATACAGTGCTGTTCACACTTAGAAGTTTACCTCCAAAAAGTTACAAAATACATCTCTACAGGCGGTTTCTGAATTGCGATTTTAAGCTTGAAAAAGCTCATTTTCTACTTAAGTCCGAACTTAAGCCTATTTTCTTTTCTGAATTGACTGGAGATTATTCAATTTGAAGTCTCAAAGTTGATTTAGGTAATAGTTTGTCGGCGTAAATAGTGTGTGGCACCCAAAATGGCCAAAAGCTGACAACACCACCTTATTCCATTGTAACAAAGACGTGTTGGGAACTTTTTGGCTATTTTGGGTGTCACTTGTGATCAAGGCATTAGCGTCAAATAGGCTAATGCCTTGATCACAAGTACCGAGCAAACGGGCGAGACAGTGCTCTCGGCCGAGTACTCGGTGTGTGTGAACATTACGCCGAGTGCTCGGCCGAGCTCTCGAGTATGTGACTCGCTCACCCAACTGTCTCGGCCGAGTAAACATTTTACTGTCTCGCCATCGGTACGTGTGATCAAGGCTTCACTGTCGAAAATAGACTTTATAGTTACGTAGAAAATGATCACGACCGAGATAAAAATCACCAATTCAGAAACCGGGGATTTTTAAACAATAAATCATCATCAACATTTTATAATTAATTATCAGTTGTCATCAATAATCATCATTTGGATCTAACATGATGATAATGATGACATATGAAATTATTGTCTATTCTTTATAGGTCATTGTAACTTTAAAAATCTCTCGGAGAAAGTTTAACTTTTAATTATAATTTTGTATTAGACTGTATTTGTAAATAATTAATGGTTTAAAATTTTGACGTTTACAATTAGATTTTTCTGTAATAAATCATTATAATTAAGTATTTTAATTGTTTTTGATCGGCAACGATAAAAAAGTAGGAATTACTGCGTGTGTACCTATTTTTTTTACTTTTTAGAAATTGTAAATATCGTACATTCGTACTTGAAGGTTACGCAAGTAGGTACTTAAGCTATAATGAATATTTGCGAATGAATTTTTATCCAATTATCTAAAAGAAACCTCAAGTTTGTCTTGGAAACGTCAAAATTTCGTAGATTTGGCCGATACGATACGAATTCGTGATAAGGAAATGTATTTAAAATTTTAATACGTTTCGAAAGTTTTACGTAACAGATTTTTGTCTCTACCAAAAGTTTTGTGTCCAAAGGTACGTTTTAGTGAAATATTGTGACTGTTGTATGCAAAATCAACTTTGTAAGTTATAAAGAGTTAAATTAACTTTCATTTGAATAGGTATTCTGTAGTTCTAAAGCACTTAATTAACTTTCTAAGTAGGTAGATAGATTTTACTTATTGCAAACTAAATTGTAGGCTTAACCGGCTTTGAATTTAAGTTATTGTTTGTTTACTTGCTTTACCATTTCCATACAAATAATATAAACTCTGTAGACTTAAAAAAAACTATTTTTTTTTCAACAAACCTCTTACGAAATCGATAGACGTTCCATTCTTTTTCTATCATGACATTGACAAAGATTTATTATCTGTGCCTTTGTTGACCTCAGAATGGCGCGAAACTTTCGGAAATGTCAAAAGTAGGTATCACTTTTTGACAAACTTTCTTCGATTATGCAATGGTTGTGCAGAAACAAATTGCAATTTAACTTGGAAACGTATGGGAAGTAGTAAAGCGATGACATTGCTTATTCCAATAGCTTAGTGCTAATTTGTAGAGACGCGAACAGTTTTTGATAGCTAATGCCATTCAAATGACATACTTACCTATCATAAAACATAATGTTAGTTTTAAGTTTTTTTTTACTAAGGATACTGGCTAAGTGGCACCACCTAACCTTGACCGTAACTTTAAGGATAACCGGTGCTTTTTGTATGGAGCTTGACAGATTTTTGACGTTTGTCAAAGTTAAAGTAAGATGGTGCAACCCAGCTTGTATTTTTCAGCAATGAAGTTAGTCAAAGTATTTTTCAGCAATTAAGTTAAAGAATTTCTAGAGATTTTTAGATAAGATTTTTTTATCTAAAAACATTATTTTTTAATATTAGTTTATTTGTTATACTTCTTCACAAAATGAATAAAGACTCCAACTCAAGAAACTTAGTTTAAAAAACACGACTGAACTTCGTCTATGACATGTACATGTACATTAATTAGCATGATTTTCATTGATGTAGCTATGTAGAAAATTAGCATTCATTCGAACTTGATTCGTGTACAATCGTTCATTCATAAAAATAGCCAATTTGCGCTTTTTGCTGATCTTTGATTTCCAATTTGAGTTTTCAAACATCAACAGACGTTCTTAGATATAAAAAGTTACAGAAGGGACAATTTAATAAATATCTTTAGCACTTTTTGAGCCCATAAGGCCAGAAACAACATTATTAGATAACTTTTTGACTCATAAATAAACCCAGGGCCAAGAACATTGTTTATTGTAATTAACTGTCAGTTTATTAACATGTGAAAGTTATATTAGTACCTACATATTGCTCTAGAAAACATATTAATACAACAGAATTATCTTTTAATGGCGTTGCTTTCAGTTTTCACTTTCCGTAATGATCGTTGCGTTTGGGCGGGAAACGTATTTATATGGTGGCCATTTTCTTTGGCGCCATTTCTAAAGTGGACTCCGCTGTCGTCGAGTGTGCGTTCGGATTTTGAAAATTGTTTTCTTTTTTGCATCTTTTATTTACGGCCAGTGACTTTTAATCTGTGGTGTTCACGTGTCACGTGCTCTGTTTTCAGTGGTAACGGCAATTTAACCTTTTTTGTGCAAAATCAGTACTTTTTGTAGTTCTAGAGTAAGTTTTAGAAATAATAGTGTTCGTTCTTTGCTGATATTCGTGATGTAACATAGTTTTTTACTACATTCATGAATGAAACGTGAAAAACTACTTTCATTTTTCAATATTTTTCATAACTTCATAGGCACATAATTTACCAACTTATAAATAAATTATCGTATTGATTTTAGTTTTATTTGTACCTAAATGAGTCTGCTTTCTTATACTTAACTAACTAAATATAAACTATACTAAACAAATCACAATTGTAATATACAAATAAATAGTTTACACTTTACACATATCCACTAGGATATCTCTGGAACAATTTTAAATAGGTTTTAGTTACAGAAACCTTTGTCATATAAAAAATCCTCGCAGATCACAGACTTTTTGTCGGCCGATAGTTTAACCGGGCTGTTAATCAGTAAATATGTACCTATGGAATTACGCACATTACACCGATTTGGTATTCCTCATACAAATTGGAAGACGACCAAACTAACGGCCGATAAAAATTCTGTAGTCTGTGGTACCTACTCAAAAATCTGTGGGAGCTATTTGACAGTTCTAAAAAAGTATGTCAATTGACTAGGGTACACTATACCCTATTGCCAGTCTGTGGTCGCCTTCAACACATTAAAAAACCCATTTCATTTATTTCAAGTTGACTTCAACAAGTTACTTAGGTACGCCCGTATTCACAAACATTACTATGAGGACTCACAGTGCGCGTGGACGCACAGGGTGACACACGAGCCAATCACAGAACTCTATTCAACGCTGTGCGTTCGATTTGCTGCTTCACTTAAGCAAGCATCGTTTGTGAATACGAGCGTAAGCTTTCAAACCAACCTCTATTGCAAGTGGTCGTAAGAAATATCCGCGTGGAATCCCTCTGGTCCAGCCGAGTACTGCACCTTCTGCATTCTTCCGTCGGGTAAAAGCACGTGGTATCGTCCATTCGTGCTGTCTCCGTGCTTCGCTTCTTGGTGGCCGAAGTCGTTGCCGCTGTGTGCGTCGCGCACACGGTAACCGAACTCGTAGTTGGCGGCGTAGTGGAGCTGGAATAGAATAGAAATATTAAGGTAAAGTACTTTCTAGCTAGACTCAGGTATTCCCAGAATTCCTGTGGGTGGAGTAAAAGGCAAAGGACATAATAAAATATGCGAACATCAGGCCTCTTCAACTAGTCTGGACAGCGTGGGGACAAATCCTCGGTAGTCGAATTCGGTTAGATGATTGTCGGCTTTTTGTTCTATATCGAGTTGGCACTATGCTAAGAGTCACCGGGACATTGCTGGCTGCCATTGTCTATCAAAGAAATGTGATTATCGGTAATTAGATTAGATATGATTTATTAATTTTGGAGGACACAAAGATAGCGGTCAAACTGAGCCATGTCAGACAATATGGTGGTCCATAAGACATCATGATACCTACCTACCAGTTACAAAATTATACGATAAGTAGGTAAAATGATCCAGAATATCGACGTAAAAACAAATTTTCAATACCCCAATAAATTACTTTGCCTGTAATTACTTCTTCATTGAGTAATTAACCTAAAATTTGTACTAGCACAATAGCGGAACAATTATTTTTAATTAACTACTACGTTACAAACTAGTTTAGTAATCATAATTCTTTCAAATCGATTTCCTTGCATATCCTAAGGAAATTTTATGTGTCGATGAATACAACAATATTAACATACAATCAATATTTTTACCATTAGGAAATTACATACTTCTAAGGAGCCCCGTACTTTTATTTGTTTTTTTTTTATTTTATTTTGTAAAACAACAGATTAACGTAGGTACAACATGAATTAAGATAAAAAACCGCTCAAAAGTATCTACTAGAATATAAGACAATATTGGAGCTTATTCAAGATTGCTTTTTTTACGTATTTTTTTCTATTTCTGCGCCCCATGTGTGAATGGACTCTATCATTATTCAAACAACGAATAGAATAGAAAAAGTTTTATTTGAAAGAAAGGTATTGCCAAAGAGGTTGTCACCCTCAGCCAGTTTATTTACTTTAAGTTCTAATTTAATTTTATCAGAATTTGAATTACCGTAGCATTAGTGTAGAGCGAAAAACTATAAATTCACCATACTCTATCATTCTGTTCTGTTACTTACATAATAATAAAAAAATTGCGGGTCTCATCATACGTTTCCGTTTTTGACCCAAAAGCTATTTTACAAACTTTCATTTCTGTAGATGACATAAAACATGTCAAATCGGTGTTAGAATTTAAGTGACAATGACAAAATTTAAAGTTGAAGTGGTGTCCATAAACTACATTGTTTACCCTATTGTATTAATTTGCAGTGTAAACTCTTTATAACGTTACTCGATTTAACGACACACTCTGTATAACGTCGAAAACTTTGTTGGTTGTTGGTTGTTGTTCACACTCCATTTAAAGAGGTCTATTTCTCTATGATTACATGAATTTGATCACGATTATCAAATTGGATTCCAGGCAACACTTTGGTGCCTTTGGTGGCTAGTGGCCACACAGGTGATCAAAGTGGTCTTATCCATGCGTGATCAAAGGACACCAAAGTGTCGCTTGGTTTTAGAAACAGAGTAATAACAAGCAGAATATCAACATCACAACTCCTTTATTTTATCCGAAGTGTCAATCGTATTCCAATGTACAAAACACAAGATTGTCCGTGGTTATAGAAATGAGGTTTTTACCAACACTTGTCCACTTTGATCACCTTTGTGATCGACCTTATAGAGGGTTCTATAAGGTCAAAAATTCTCAGTCCCTTGAGAGTCGTTAAATAGAGTTTACATTTCATTTTAATATTTATTAGGTTTTGGAACAATCAAAGAACACCAATATTTAAGAAATTACGTTAAGAAAGTTTATATCCATATCAAGATAGAATCTTAACAGAACGGAAGTACATAATTAATTAATTAATTATTATAATGAACCATAAGTTAATGCAAATTATAAAGTTAGTTTACATAACATGGGCAATCAACGCGTTAAGTAATATTATGTTGAACTAAATGGTTTCGACAGGTAGAGCGCCATTATGTTATAATATAAATTAAATAGGTTATAATGGTGTTTACTACTTATTTATAAGTAGGTTAACTATCCATGCACATGAAAGTTATAATATCAATTAGTAATTTTAATAAATTGTTTAATAAATTACATGGTGTCTATTGGTTTCCTTAAAAGATAATTTAACTATTAGATATCTAAGTTTAAGCAATTTATAAACAACACAATCACAAACAATCTGCATTTGATTATTAAGTAGGTAGGTAGTTTGAAATAAAGCTTGTGAACCTAGTAGTTTTGAATTTAATATATTATTTTGATTAAAAAAGTAGGAGAGATACAATACAATTCAAAAGAAATAGATTTTCATCAAAATGGTAGCTAATTCTTATTACCACATAGGTACAAACAAGTAACAATCCAGCATTAACTATGCCTTGATTTTACTCTGTCCTCGCAATCTCACGACTATTTTTTTATCAAAAAATTAGTTTTTACATCTTAAAACAATATTTTTTATATTTACAACATTCTCAGCCTTGTTAGTAAAGATAATGCGACTGTTACAGAATGGTTTTGTTTCGGTTAATTAATCACAGCTACAGCATAATAAGTCTTACAATTTTGTGGCAAAATAACACCTGTACAATGACATAAGAGGCCATAAATTTTAGCTTGACGTTGTTCGTATGATGATGGCTAACCTTGCAGTTACAAAACAATGCTTTTTATGAGGGCTGCCACACGAGTTACATCGTAATAATAATATCATATTACAACACTAGTAACACTACGGTAATACGGTATCATTTTAATGGTGCTATAAAGCAGGGTTCGAGGATATATATCAAGGGATATATATCAAGATATATATCGGATATATCCGATATATATCAAGCCGGTTTTGACGATATATATCAATTTTTAAAATTTGATACTATATTTGTACTTTTGACATAAGATTTTTATTATTTTAGTTGATTTTACCGTTTTTAAAAGAAGATTTTATGTTTTTGCTTTATTTGTCTGATTTTAAGTTTTAAAAACATTAAAAACATGTTTATGTAACACATATGCAATAGTATTCATAAATAATACAATAAAATAATAGTATAGCTTTCATACAAAATTGATATATATCAAAGTTGATATATATCGGATATATATCATAAATATCCGATATTTTGATATTTATAATAAATATCGGATATTTTCGAACCCTGCTATAAAGTTCAAAACACGTTTTTTCAAGCAAAGCTGCAAACATTTTGATTGGTTGAATGACACATTTATTTAGAGCAGTGTTTTTCAACCTGTGGGTCGCGACCCCCTGGGGGGTCGCGAAGTTTCTATAGGGGGGGGGGGGGG